TGGAAATAACAGGTTCCCATTTTTGTAGGATAACCATCCACTGATCAAAGTGGTAAGGGCGATTATCCAATACTTTAGTGAGGTCCTCTTCATACTCAAACCTGAACTGGAAGCATCCATTGCCAAGATCTGACCCTATAGCTTTGCCTTTCAGGTTCCAACGATTAGATAAGTATGGTATGAGAGACCATAATCTTTGGAGAGATGGGTTTGTAAGTCTTCCCATGAGTGTGAGAGCATTTTCTCTTATCAGATCAGAACTGTCCATCTCAGGGGCACGAATTCTCTTGGGTGGTGGAGCAGAGAAGTCTTGAACATAATCATTTCCCTTTCCTTGCCTCTGGTAAGAGTTATTCTTCTCAGTCTCTGTACTTGAGTAGTACTTGTTGTGATTTCTTGGAGCCTCTTTGTAGTAAGAAATTCCCTTTCCTTTTGCAGAATATGGGATACGGGTACTCATGCTTGTACTTAAAGGAGTAGGGTCGCTTTTTCAAAGAGTTGAAGGAAGTAGCTAGGTTCTTCACACAAGGTGAGAGGGTTTGCCCAAACTAGAAGACAAGATTTGTCCCTTTAAAGTTGTAGAAACGGTTCTTCACATTCAGTGAGAGCATTCAATAGGGTTTGACCAAGTTTAAACATAAATGCAGGTTGTAAATGTACCTTAAAGAGCAAGCACCGGGTTGAGAGCAACTGAAAGCTGAGGAATATTGAAGTTCTTCCTTGTCATGCTTCTCTATGAGGGGCAACAGAGCTCAGCTTGGATCAAACTTTGGTTCCCAGGTTGAGAGGCGTCTCCTACGCCGGTCTCTCCTGAGAAAAGCACCGGAGCTTGCCTTCTAGAGCTAGTTTTTGGTCGGAACTTCTATTTTAGGAAAAGAAAAGTGGTTGAAACTTTGCTGTTTTTGGGAACAAGGGTTAGCTGAGATCTACTTTTCAAAAACCTTTACCACAAATAGAACCTCGAAACTAGTGCCTGGGAGAATAAGATATTAATGATAAAAAGTAGTGGCAAAACCGGAGCTAGCCTACAAGTATTTCCGGTCCTCATTCTATTACTCAAGACATCTTTTCTTAGGGGGATGCTCTAATTCCAATCATAGCCTTCCACAAAGTCCAATGTTTCAAATATCAGGCCAAAACACTAGAGTTAAACAACTATGATTTGTAATTTAGTAATATTTGTTTTTGTATATTACGTTAACTGTTGATAAAAACAAAAAACACACAAAACTTTGGCTAAATTTATATCCTTTTTTTTACTAATTAGTAATTGGTAAGTGTAGAGTACTAATAATTGTATCCGTTTTCTCTTACCAATAATGGTATTCATGTGGGAAGGAGGGAACTGCATACTTAATCTAACTTAATTATTAGAACTAAGAGAGAACCCGCAATATTCACAGATATTTTTTATTTGTGTTGTATTAATTTCTCTTGTATTTTCCTTTATACATTTTCTATTATATATATAAAATATATATTTTGATGATCCTAATAATCTATTCCATCTATTTTAAAAAATATATATTTGTTTTTTATACTATGATTCATCCAACATATGATGTTGCAATAATTTTTAACTTTCTAAATTACCCATTTTCAGATATTTTTTTGTTCACATAGCTTTCATGGATTCTCACTCTTTTTTCCACGTCTTTAAACTTTTGTATATATATTTTTTGTGTCTGTAATATTTTTCTCTTTTTGTTTTGTCATCTTTTCTTCTCTATTTTCACTAATTTGCTATCTATTTAATTTTTTGTTGCGGTATAATTTTCTTGTTCTATTTTTTTTCTTTGTTTAAAACTTTCCAAATCTATTGTTTTTATTTTTGGTCTCTATATCTTGCTCTTTTTATATTTATTTGCGTTTAGATTTTAGTTAGTTTGAAGATGACAATTTAATTATCTAGAAAGAAATGAGAAGACGCACTTCAAATTTTAAATTATTTTTATATGGTTTCTAAATTAAATTTGAGTGTCGTCGTTTGATTTTAGGGATTATTGTTGATTTTGCCCATTTTATCAAAATCTTTTGAAAATGCCATTTTCATTAAAATCTTACGGATTTGCCATTTTTTACCCTTTAAAATGTACGTATTTCGGATTTTTTTTTGGTAAAAACACGTAGTTTATACAAAATACTAAACCCTAAGAACAACCACAACCGACTAAACCCAAACATAACGAATAAAACGCATGTTAAATCATATTTCCGTAGCCTGAAAAAGGGCAAAATTCATAAATTATTCAAAAAAGGGCAAAATCCACAAATGCTATAAAAAAAATGGCAAATCCATAATTGATTCTTAATTTTATATGAACCGCTTAATGTGAACGAACGGAATTGTGGACTTAGAAGTCAGCTTTATAAGCAATAAGATCTCAACAGATGGACGTAGCAAGTCAACACCAGAAAAACACATCACCATCATTTCTCAAACGTGATAGAGAAGTCAAGCCATCAGTTTTAAATTAATTTTTTGGTTGGTAATGGTTACGTCTTTGGCGGGAAGGAAAAAGAAGGATACAATAATGTCGTTGGGTCAAAATAAAATGAACTTATATAATTTTTATATAAAGAACTTGTATAAATTTTCAACGTATGTCTAAGATAAATAGTAACTTATTAAGTAACAAGGACTTTTGGCTCACAACTTCCCACCAAACTTTGCCGTGATTTCATATTTTTTTGCCTTTCAGTTTATACTAAACTCTCATAAGTGAAAAGATCAATCAATGAGTATATCACTACGATTAAAATTGCAAATCAGAAGACAAAAAATGTTTAGGATGAATAAGTCTTAAATAATATTTCAAATAAACACAATTTTTAAATTTAAGAGTTTATTCAAACTTTTCATTTTGAAAAAAACAATGATTTGACGGATTTACTTGTAAAAAGACATCAAAACTGAGTGGTAACTGAGCATACAAAGTTGACAATTTTCCAGTTGTAGAACTTTGACAATTTTGAGTACGTAGTATAAGTTTGTAGCTAATTTCTTTATTTTGTTCAGTACAAATATATATATATATATATATAGTCACTATCAGTCTTTATTCACAATTTGAAACTAATAAGTTTTTCTTGCTACGTAATCGAAAAGGATTAGCGGCATATATAATTTCCATGTAGTGTCATAAAATTGTCATCAAAGTCTTTTTTAAAAAAATATTGGGTAGGCTGTGTCATCAAAGTCATTGTCGTATGTTTTTTTTTTTTTTTTTTTTTTGACAAAGAGTCGTATGTTTTCTTGATCAACACCATGTCTTTTCTTCTATAGTTTGTAATTAATGAGAACATTTCCTATAATTCGGAAAACTAAAAAATTAAATGGTGTTGGTAAAAAAAACAGGCGTACTTCTGAGAAAAAATAAACAGGTGTAAATATTTCCAATTCATAAATATAATGGAGAAAGATGGTGTAATATATAGAGAGCCTTTCTTTAAAAGAACAAATGTATAGAGCTTTACTAATAAGAATGGTTGGAATTAAAGATGCCATCCAATTAAAATGGTTGAATTTGTTGTCTCACGGAAGAAAAAACAACAACTTGCTGGGCTAAAACTAGATATTTATATTTCTGTAAATGCCAGCTTAAACTTAAAGGCTTGACATTGAAAAATAAAATGCCTTAAAGGCTCTTATTATCAGATACTACACGAAACATCCCATTCCAAAGTCAGACGCTACCGTCGCTACGATATGTGGTATTCCACTAATAAATACCATTGACATTGTAGATATATTACACGTCCTACAGTTATTGCTTTTTAGTTTTTTTTGTTACTATTCTTTACACAAATTAAAATATAAGTACTAAATGCATTGTAATGATTTTTGAAGATCTTAAGGATATTTGTTGACCTGTCCCTCTAAATGCATTGTAATGATTTTCTTTCTTTTTGAAAAGTTATAGGTAGAAATAATCTTATACTAGAAAATAAAACTATGTCATAAGAGGGTGAACTTAGAGAATTACTTTTTTTTTTAATTCCATCTGCTATAACTTATAACTGTTGGAGAGAGTAAGCTTATCTTACTTAATGTATGCAGTCTCTTTTTTTCCAACTAAGATTTATTTTTCTTCGAAATTATTGAGAGGCAGATATTTTTATACTTTTTGTCCACCTTAACTAATCTTGTTTCTAATGTAAATTAGGTGAGTCTCCATGTTACGTTGCGAGTCTTTTAGATTCCTTTTTTTTTTGTCAGCAAATGTCTTTTAGATTCCATCTTATTATTGTTGAGTTATAAACAATTTTATTTTTTTTTGAATAAATGAAGATTACGGATACGAAAGACATACATTTTTAAAAATTAACCATAGTTATACATAATTATTCTTTTAATTATTAGCATTTTTGACAAAATTCTTTCTATTAAAATGGGTGAGAAACCAAAATACAAGGGCACAAGGCCTAGTGTATAATATTTTGTCTTTGTTACAGCCGAATACTTTATTAGTATTTGAAACTCATATCTGCATAATTGCATGCTAGGCTATTAAATGACGATCGAAGATCCCAATAAAAATTGCATTTTCCGAGCATGTAACAAAATTATTCATGGTCAACTACGAGTAAAAAAGGAACTTATTAATAGTGGAACAGCTATTTTGTAGTAGTAGATAATAATAAAAGAATAATAACAGCAAAACAGAATCATCGTTGTCCTAAATAGTTTTTCTAAACGAAGTAAAAAAGTTGGTAAAAATGGGAAGAGAAAGAAAAGAAAAGAAACACAAGGCATCAAAACGGCGTCGTTGGAAGGAGAATATACCGAAATAGAAAAAGGAATATCTCATTAGAGAGTAGCTTATAAATGGCCGTTTCAAGACGCTTCAACTCTGTCCTTGTTCATAGGCAGCTTCAACGCTCGTTCCTCTCTCTCTCTCTCTCTCTCTCTACACATTTTCTCCAGACAAAAAAAGGATATTAAAGAGTTTATCACTTTCTACACTCTTTTGACAATACTTAAAACACTTGATCAGATCAGATCCTACACAAACTCCTCTTAGAAGAAGTTTCTTGTATATTCATGTAAGTCTTTCTTTAAATTTATGTCTTTTGATGTTTATGTTTATGGATATTTTATCAAAAAATTGTTTTTATGTTTATGGATGCAAAATGATGTTAGTTAGGAGTTAGGACGTTATCGTGTTTTTAGTTTTTTTGTTCCTCTCTGCCTCTTCAATCTCTGTTTGGTCGTGTCTTATGTGTTTTTTCTCAATGGAAAAAAAAAAATAGATCAAATTTTGCTTTTCCCACATTCTTGGATCATTATTAGCTCTTGAAACGTATTTGTTGGATCTCATCTCCCACTTTCTTGAAAAGTTTTTTGTTTGTTTTGTTGAGTGCATAATATATCATTCACAAATGAAAATTTTGGAAAGGACATGCAAAATAGTTTTTCAATAAAAGAGAAATATTTTCATCAATGAGAGGTGTGTCCGCAATTAAGACAAAACAACTCGCTGTCTTACTCTCACTAAAGTTTTTGAAGCTTCGTGTTCAGATTTAGTTTTAAACGTCACAAGTCAACTTTTGTGGGTAAAGACAAAATAGTAATAGTTGAAAAATCGTATAAATAGATGGATCAAGGACCTCTTATTTCTTCGTTGACTTTTTAAATAATTGGTAACGTCGGTAGAAACCCAAAAAATTAGGATATGATCGAGTTACACATAATTTCTCTCATATACTATAGAGTGTGGACTGCAAGAAAATTAGAGTTGACTTTTATTACCACTTCATTTCTTTTTCTTATATTTAAAATGCATTGGTTTCTTTTAAAATCAGTAAGGGTGTACACAAAAAATGAAACTTTTCGTTAAAAGCTACACATCTGAAAACACACATGTTAATTTTAGAGCCTACATTAAAATTGCAAGTTAACTTCATTCAAGTTCGGTCAACATACTTTATGAGATCAACGAAATGAGAAAACTTAAACAGAACTTTTATGCTATTTTAATGCGTTACTTTATATATCAAGTAGGGTCTAATTCGATTTGCTTGCTTTTATAAAATTGCCTAACTTATTTCAAGTTCGGTAAACTACTTTATTGTTTGTAATAAATTATTATTTCTTATTTTGCAAATCCATGCTAAATGAACTATATATATAAAATTTGAAATTATATACTTACTTAGGTCATCGGATCTGAAAATGATAAAAAAAATTAATATTTTGGCAAGTGAAATCGACAGAAACAGTAAAATTTATATTATCTATGATATCTTTTTAAGTTAGAGATCCCCACAAGTTACATTTAAATTTGATCAAATCCTAAATGGCCTATATACAAACTTTCAAAGGGTACTTAGAATTTTTTTTTCTTTTTATATGAAATTGCAGAGGAGAAGAAGAATGGCTAGGGATCAATTACAAGTGTTGAATGCACTTGACGTGGCCAAGACGCAATGGTACCATTTCACGGCGATCATTATCGCCGGAATGGGATTCTTCACTGACGCTTACGATCTTTTTTGCATCTCTCTCGTTACGAAGCTCCTCGGCCGTATTTATTACCACGTGGACGGCTCAGAAAAGCCTGGGACTCTCCCTCCCAATGTTGCAGCTGCCGTCAATGGCGTTGCTTTCTGTGGGACCCTCGCCGGTCAGCTCTTTTTTGGGTGGCTTGGTGACAAGCTCGGGAGGAAGAAGGTTTATGGTATGACGTTGATGGTCATGGTCCTTTGTTCAGTAGCCTCTGGTCTCTCTTTCGGACACGAGCCAAAAGCTGTAATGGCCACGCTCTGTTTTTTTCGGTTTTGGCTTGGATTTGGCATCGGCGGGGACTACCCTTTATCTGCAACGATCATGTCTGAATATGCAAACAAGAAGACTCGCGGCGCCTTTGTCTCTGCGGTTTTCGCGATGCAAGGGTTTGGAATCATGGCTGGTGGAATTTTCGCTATAATAATTTCCTCTGCTTTTGAAGCTAAGTTTCCAGCCCCGGCCTATGCGGACGATGCCTTGGCATCCACGGTTCCTCAAGCTGATTTGGTATGGCGGATAATCCTGATGGTTGGTGCTATCCCCGCGGCAATGACGTATTACTCGAGGTCGAAGATGCCTGAGACTGCAAGGTACACGGCTTTGGTTGCTAAGGACGCAAAGCAGGCAGCTTCGGACATGTCTAAGGTTCTGCAAGTGGAGATAGAGCCAGAACAACAAAAAGTGGATGAGATCTCAAAGGAGAAGTCCAAGGCCTTTTCCTTGTTCTCGAAGGAATTCATGAGTCGCCATGGGCTTCATTTGCTAGGCACTACATCCACATGGTTCCTTCTCGACATCGCTTTCTACAGTCAAAACCTTTTCCAGAAAGATATTTTCAGCGCAATCGGGTGGATTCCTCCCGCAAAAAGCATGAACGCAATTCAAGAGGTTTTCAAGATCGCACGAGCACAGACGCTCATCGCCTTGTGTAGCACGGTACCTGGTTACTGGTTCACAGTTGCGTTCATTGACGTCATTGGAAGATTCGCGATTCAAATGATGGGCTTCTTTTTCATGACGGTCTTTATGTTTGCTCTCGCTATTCCTTACAACCACTGGACTCACAAGGAGAACCGAATAGGATTTGTTATCATGTACTCGTTAACATTCTTTTTCGCCAACTTCGGACCCAATGCAACAACCTTCGTTGTGCCGGCGGAGATCTTCCCAGCCAGGTTCAGATCAACCTGCCACGGTATCTCTGCAGCATCAGGCAAATTAGGAGCAATGGTTGGTGCGTTCGGGTTCTTGTACTTGGCTCAGAGCCCAGACAAGAACAAGACGGACGCAGGATACCCTCCAGGGATTGGGGTCAGGAACTCGCTTATTGTGTTGGGTGTGGTTAACTTCTTAGGTATCCTCTTCACTTTCTTGGTGCCTGAATCTAAAGGGAAGTCTCTAGAGGAAATGTCCGGTGAAAATGAAGACAATGAGAATAGCATCAGTGATAATAGAACGGTCCCAATAGTTTAGGTGATAATACACCTTCTGTAATAATTTTCTTCTTTTTACTCCTTGTCTCTAGCAACTCAAGTTGTTCCTTGTGTAATCCGTTGATGCCTAAATGCAAGAGAAATCAAATTTAGAGATACATCATCGCTTAATCTCTATGGAGGATCTTCTTATATTTGGCGAATAATATATACTCTTAGATGAAATTTTGTAAATTTAGTAGACAATAGTCCATTAATTGTTATTTATACTTTCTACAAAAGATTCTATGCTTGAGCCTAGCAAAACATTTCTTAATATATCTTAGTTAATCATTAAGACTTTCGAGTTGATTGAAAGTTACTTAAATTCCTAATTCTTGTTGTCATGGTCTTTGTGATGATTTGAATCTTCTGGAATCCAGTCTTTTTTTCTGGTCAAACGGAACGATGAATTGCCTCTTGTGCTTTTTGCTTTTGGTGGCATTGTGCGTAGGGTCGAACAACGCAGACGCAGTGTTGGAGAAAAACTCTGTTCGTTTCACAAACTCTCTTGCACCGAACAATTCTCAAGTTCGTTGTTCATCATTCATCAACAGAAGACGACCTAGGCGTTCAGTATCTGAGCTATAACCAAACGTGCGGATTCAGGTTTCATGATACTATTTTGAAGACCAAGATCGACTGCAACTACACAAGGACGTGACTTGGTAAATTTTGTAAACTTCAGTTCATTATGGTGAGAAAATTGTTTGGGATGCTAGAGTAAAAAACTCCCAAATTAAAGTACTATAATTTAGTGGAATTTCTTATTTTTGTTTGACATGTTGATTATTTATTTTTTTGGGGCAAAACATGTTGAATATAAAATAAAAATATAATTACACATTGCAATGACTATTGGTGGTCGAAATATACATACTGTATCTTATTATTATTATCATCAGTAAGAATAAGAATTACTGATACAAAGCAAATTAAGTTTTTCGACGGGAAAAAAAAACCCAATTTATTTTTTCTATTTTCACCAGAACAAAATCCAGAGGCTCTGCTGCTCTCTCAAAGTCATCGGATATCACTTCGTCCGGGTATGTGTTCTATTCGCTTCTCGTCTGGAAAAATTGGACCTTTTGATCGCTAATCAATATCAATCTTGGCTTTTTTTTCGTCTTCCAGTTTTAGATTTTGTATCCCTAAGTTCCGATACTCTTACGAGAAGCGTTTTTATTTCAAGCTCAGAATCAATCTTAGCCTAGGGATGCCTATCGTTTTCATGTGTTGGATCATATCCTATGATTAAAAAGAGTTTCCTTTCCTGATTCTTTTGAGAAAAAGGTTTAATTTTGAGGAAGCAATAACGAGTTAGGGTATCCAATAATGTTTAGACCCATATGAATGACATATAAAGAAGAAGACTCTCCTTCGTAATTGATCTGGATTCAGTGATATAATAAGTATTGAAAGGATCAAGATTCCAATTTTCAGTATTTAGATGCTGTCTAATGATATTTGGTCTAGTTTCGTATGTGTGAAGTTCCTAGACTACTCAAGAAGAGCTTTTTATTTACTAATTCTTGTTCTGTGATCTTTGTGATCATGATTGAAGAAATCTTCTAAATAGCAGTCTTTTTCTTGACACCTATCATTTTTTAGTCGAACAACTTATCGTAGTTACTATGTTTAATCACTTGGTTTATACTTGACATTAGATTTTTTTCCATCTTCTGCAGGAAGTTGCATCTTTCTTGACCTCCTCTGAAGTTCAATTTCTTTCCTCGTCGGGAAATTAATCTTTTTCGGTGGCTGTAAGGTTTAATGGGCATTGAAGGTGTGCCTACGTATTCGAAATCTGGAAATATGGACATAATTTCAACTCCGCCAGGTTTTGTATCTCAAACATCGTTTGTGCTGAGGAATGTACGTCGAGACAAAGAAAGTTCCAGGTCGGCGTCGACACAAGAGCAGACAACTGGATTCGGCACAGATGGTGAAGATAGTTGCAATATGTTTCTTACAAACCGACCGTGGATAGTGCATGGTCACACAATTCCCAGCTCAGAGGCCTTAAGGCCGAGAAAAACTGAGGTCTCATAACTATGTCTACCTCTTTCCTCTCTTTCTTCCATATAGAGGTGTTTTGCTTAGTTTGCTGTTTTGTGAAGAGCAGTAAAAGGAATATAATTATTTGAGAATTTTTAGCTTAGCCGTGAGGACAAGGGTTCTGCACGTTGTTGGAGGGTCTTTTGAGTATCCTTGTTAGAGCCGGAGCCAATTTGTTGTGGAGGAATGTTTTTCCTTTTGTTTATCAAAATAGTTAGGTTTTCCTATTATTTTTTAGTTCTTCTGTCTATTATAAACATTCTTTGAGTTCAAAGAGGAGATATTTCTGGAATGTGTGCATAGTCATTACTACTAATAGACATTATACTTGATTGATGTATAAGCTCTTAGTTAAGCCGGAAATTTTCATGTTGTGGATTCCATATCCCTACTAGCCCCTTATGGTTTTAGTGTTCTAAGTGATTTAGCATGAATACTTTAGAGCTTGATGTGCTGATTCAGGTAGGTCTACTGTGCTCTTAGACGTATGAGAGGATAGGTATCAAGATTGTGTCTTCAGTCTTTCACATTCTTTACTTAAGTATGAAAAAATGCTCTTCACAGGGACGGAGAAGACGGCCCCTCAAAGTGTCTGAGACCGAAGTCCTTGAGGAAGCTCCTGTGTTCAACCCAACCGAAGAGGTCAGTTTTGCTTTCCCTTTATGAAAGAAAGATTAGAGTATTAAACTGCTCTACATCATCTTTGGTAAACAAACATTTACTCTTACAGAGGAATATATTTCTTATCCTCTAACCCAGAGTTACTGAATCATCAGGAATTCAGTGACACACTCTCATATATATCAAGCTTGCGTGACAGAGCTGAGCCGTATGGAATCTGTTGCGTTGTTCCTCCACCTTCATGGAAACCTCCATGTCTTCTCAAGGAGAAAAAAATATGGGAGGCTTCTACATTTTTCCCTCAAGTTCAGCTCTTTGGAAGTCATACCGAGAACCCAAAGATTAAAAAGGAGGCTGATGCGGATAGTGATGATGCTGCACCTGAGGAAGTTCAGTTTTGTAGAATAGAACGTGGTCCTGGGTATACTTTGGAGACCTTTAAAGTCTTTGCAGATTCATACAAGAAGAGACATTTTAGCACGAAGGATGAGGTTCTGGGTTCAGAGAACTCATCTACATCACTTAAACCAGAGGAGCTTACTGTGGCTGTAATTGAAAAAGAGTATAGACAACTTGTTGAGAGTCCACTTGTTGAAATTGGGGTAATGTTAAAATCAAGTCTACTGCTTTTACATATGAAATGGGCTATGTCACTAAATCGAAGTGTATAATTAGGTGCTTTATGGCAATGATCTAGACACCACAACGTTTGGAAGTGGATTTCCCTTATCTGCACCATCTGAGTCTTGCAAGTACCCATCAGGTTGGAATCTGAACAGTACGGCTAAGCTTCCTGGTTCTCTTCTATCATTAGAAGACTGCGAATCTATTTGTGTTCCTCGCCTAAGTGTAGGAATGTGCTTGTCTTCCCAGTTCTGGGTAAGTTTTAAAGTTGATGTCGAGCTATGGTCGTCACTTTCTGAAAGCATAAGTACTACTGGTCAACGAAGAAATAGCATTTTTTTTGCAAGCTACCTCTAGAATAAAATTTTCAGCATTGTATGTTTTTTAATCTAATTTGCTTGTGTTGTCTCATATTTGTCTCTTGGAATATCTGTTACTGAACAGAAATCTGAGAAGGAGAGACTCTACTCTCTCTGCTATTTGCATGTGGGCGGCGCTCCTAGAGTTTGGTATTCTGTAGCGGGATGTCATCGATCAAAGTTTACGGCTGCCATGAAGAGCTTAATCCCTGAGATGTCAGGAGAACAGCCAAAGAAGAGTTATGATCCTGTAAGTATTTGAACACATAAGCATTAATGGCAATGCAAGTTTCTTTTTTGAATACTCCGAAAGAAAATAGACAGAAGAGTGAATAAGAATGATTCCTCTAGTGATTTAGTTCTTGTTCAGCATAAACAATCATGACATGCCAAAATTAGAGAGATCACACAGTATTTGGATTTATCTGTTCAAAGCAAAGCCTATCATAACTTTTGATAAATTTTTGTGAGCTATTAAATACTAGTCTTGGTTCATTTACAAGGGAAGCAATTCATTTGGCAGGTGATGATAATGTCTGCATATCGATTGAGCATGGAGGGTATACCAGTGACCCGTTGTGTCCAGAACCCTGGCCAGTATGTTATTATATTTCCAGGGGCGTATTACTCTGCCTTTGACTGTGGCTTCAACTGTATGGAGAAAGCAAATTTTGCTCCCCTTGATTGGTTGCCCCATGGGGATATTGCTGTTCAGCTGAATCAAGAGAAGAGTAAAAAATCGCTGATATCGTATGATAAGCTATTATTAAGTGCTGCACGGGAAGCTGTGAAATGTCTTAAGGAATATGCCTTGTCCAAGAAAAACACAGCATGTTACACCAGATGGAATGATTCTTGTGGGATGGATGGGTTGTTCTCCAACATAGTCAAGGTACTGTTCCTCTTTGCCTGTCTTATTCCTCAGATTATGCACTAAACCTGTGTAGCGTGAACAATTTTCTCACTACCTGTTGCTTATTTTATTTCTCTCTTTTGTGTAGTCACGGATCAAGCAGGAGAAAAACAGACGTGAATTTCTAAGCAATTCCCTAGAATCGCAAAGGATAGACAAGAGTTATGATTCTGTGAGCAAAAGAGAATGCTGTGTATGTCTTGGGGATTTGCATCTTTCCGCTGTTAAATGTGCATGCTCAGCTGATCGTTACTCGTGTCTGAGCCACATGAGGAAGCTCTGTGCCTGTCCGTGTGACAGAAAGAGTTTTCTCTATAGGTACACTATCGATGAACTGAATCTTCTTGTAGATGCGTTGGAAGGTAAAAAGCTCAGCTCTATGTTCAGATGGGCAGGCATAGATCAAAAATACTGTGCTTCTCCAGCCACCACAAGTTCACAACCCGAAGAAGACAAAGGCAAAGAAACAGATGAGGTTACACCCTGTAACATCACGAGGAAAGATGTCGCAGCTGGAACTAAGGACCAGATGAGAGTGAAGGCGAGATCTATGGCTGATATACTACTGAATGTTAAAGATGGAAGCAATGATGCTAAGGAGACTTTGAAATCTTGTTCCAAGAAATCAAACAGACCATCATGCGATAACGATTCCTCTGAGGTCAACAACACACCAAAGAAACAGAAGCAGTGATGAATAATGAAGGAATGTTTTGTTTTTAATGTAGTTTAGTCATAATTTGCAAGACAGTAAAAACACTCTGTTAGTTTACAAAAAAAAACAGAGTCTTGCTACAGACTACAGAGAGTCAGAGACTAATGAAGCGAAACTTTTTTTTTTTTGGGTTCACTAATATTTATTTATGTTGACTCTAAAGTAAAAGGAAAATATTAAACGAAAATACAGAGCCGTTGGATTTAATGACTTTATGAGATCGAAAATACAGAGATTGTTTTTGAGAGCTGCGGTTTTGTAAAAAAAAATTGCTCACAATTTCTCTGCAAATTCAAAATTCAGTGCCGGAGATTACTCGTCGTCGTCTGTGTCAGATTTAGTTATATTTGCGATAGTTCGAATGGCGGAGACGGACGTCGGAAGCGTGAAGGGGAAGGAGAAAGGATCGGGAAAGCGCTGGATTTTGCTGATCGGAGCTATAGCTGCCGTTCTATTGGCCGTCGTGGTCGCTGTGTTTTTGAATACTCAGAATTTGTCGATTTCTGAATTAACCGGAAAAATATGCAATTGCCGTCAGGTTAGGTATTTCTAAAAGCTCTTGCAAGTTTCTGAATTGGAGATGCTTGAGCTCGTGATTGAAAAATAAGTTAGATTAGTGTTTCTATGTAAGAGATTAGCTTTGAAGCTCAACGATTACTTTGATTTTGATTTGTATTCTCGACTTCTCAATCATTTTGATTTTGTATTTAGGCTGAGCAGCAGAAGTACATTGGGATAGTTGAAGATTGTTGTTGTGATTATGAAACTGTGAATCGGCTTAACACGGAAGTGTTGAATCCATTGCTTCAGGACCTTGTTAAGACACCGTTTTACAGATATTTCAAGGTTGGTTTCTCTTTCTTTGATCATGAAAGTTGAGTTTTTTTTTTTTTTTTTTTCACTTGAAACAAGTATCTAGAGGATTTGGAGGTGTGTTGTGATAGGTTTGAATGCGTTTAATAGGTTAAACTGTGGTGTGATTGCCCGTTTTGGCCTGATGATGGCATGTGCCGTTTAAGAGACTGTAGTGTTTGTGAATGTCCTGAAAGCGAGTTCCCTGAAATATTTAAGAAGCCATTAAGCCAATACAATCCTGTTTGTCAAGAAGGGAAACCACAAGCTACTGTTGATCGTACCTTGGATACTAGAGCTTTCAGGGGTTGGACAGTTACAGATAATCCCTGGACAAGTGATGATGAAACGAACAACGGTAACTTTCCTTCACAACCTAACTCATTTTTTGTTTGTTTTTTGTTCTTTTTATGTTCTATGCATTTGGTACTTATATGTCAACACTCTGTCACTCAGTTCATATATTAATGGCTCATGAGACGATATGTAACAAGTAGCGTTTTTAGTATGGAATCGCATTGTGTTAGATGCAGTTTTTGATGACTGAATACATTATCGCAGATGACATGACATATGTTAATCTTCTGCTAAATCCTGAACGGTACACTGGCTATATTGGCCCATCAGCTAGAAGGATATGGGAAGCTATATACTCTGAGAACTGTCCCAAACGTAAGCTTCACCATTCCAAAGTGTTTCTTGTTTTCTCTATTTGTTTCTTTACACTCTTATTCTCCAACTTTACACTCTTATTCTCCAAGTGGCTGATTAATTCATATGGCTGTCTTAACTCCTGCAATTATACTGGGCTTCTACAGATACATCTGAAGAATCGTGCCAAGAAGAGAAGATCTTGTACAAATTGGTCTCTGGTCTTCACTCATCTATTTCAGTTCATATCGCTTCAGATTATTTACTTGATGAAGCTACAAACTTGGTAAGATCTGTTGTACATATCTGATCCGCGATAAATATTGCTTGAGCAGCATTAGAATGATCCAATGACTACTTTTTTTTTGTGTTTCAGTGGGGTCAAAACCTGACTTTGTTGTATGATCGTGTGTTAAGATACCCAGACCGTGTTCAGAACCTATACTTCACATTTTTGTTTGTTCTTAGAGCAGTAACAAAGGTCAGTTACTTGTCACTTTTCTTTTCTTTTCTTTGTCTGAATCCTAGGAAAAGGGTCCCAATGGTCTAGAATAGTCACAATTAGTTTTTTCATTATTTGTAGGCAGAAGACTACTTGGGAGAGGCTGAATATGAGACTGGTAATGTCATTGAGGACTTGAAGACCAAATCTCTGGTGAAGCAAGTAGTTGGTGACCCCAAAACTAAAGCAGCTTGTCCAGTACCATATGATGAAGCTAAGCTCTGGAAAGGCCAACGTGGACCAGAACTGAAGCAACAAATACAAAAACAATTCAGAAACATAAGGTCCTTCTTGAGTCCTTAACTAGCTTCTTTTGCCAATGTGAATATTTCTCCTATCCTTTTCTTGAGCAATAATGAAAGTTTTACTGACTGTGTTCTTTTTATTCCTCGATGATTGCAGTGCAATAATGGACTGTGTAGGCTGCGAGAAATGTCGTCTATGGGGAAAGCTCCAGATTCTTGGCCTCGGCACTGCACTAAAAATCCTGTTCACTGTCAATGGTGAAGACAATCTGCGTCATAGTGTGCGTTTTTAACACACCTGGAGACACATCGTCCAGTTTTTGAAATCTGATGCGTTATATATTTTCTTTGATTCTTGGGGACTGGCATTTTAGTGACGCGACAGACATATCTTTGTTATTTTCTTTTGCAGCTTGAATTGCAAACGAATGAAGTGATTGCGCTGATGAATCTTCTGAACAGATTATCTGAATCGGTAAAATATGTTCATGACATGAGTCCTGCGGCCGAGAGAATTGCAGGTGGACGGGCCTCTTCAGGGAACAGCATTTGGCAGAGAGTAGTGAAATCTTTAACGCAAACAAAAGGTAAAAAAGCATTGAAGAATTTGTAAACCTTAATCGTGAAGTGAGACTGGATGCAGAAACTTATTTTCTCTGGTCACCACTGGTTGAAATGCAGCTGTATCTGGGAAGAGAAGCTAGATCTTCGATGAGGTCTGGGGCTTGTGGGATCAAGCGCAGTGATGGCGGGAGAATATACTTTGTTGTAATGTAAAGAGAGGTTAATTTTGCAGGAAACAGTTATACAAAGCCCCGTTGATTGGATTACAAACCGCATCGAGCATCCTTATCGTGTTCGATGCCAACCCTAAGCTGAGACTTTTTTGCTTTACTGATTTATGTGACTTTAGAGAATCTTACATGAAAAAGATTGTAAGGATTATGGAAATGATTACAATCCCTTTAAAGTAATCGTCGAATGGATGGAAAACTTGAATGAACTGAGAAATCCTTTTTGTTTGTTATTTTATCAGTTTACACAGATTATAACCTGGCTACTCACAACACCTCACATTGTGAAATGTTGCGATTTGGTGAACGCTGCAGATCTAACTTCTTGCAACACATCCAATGTACCAAACTTTGATGGCTACACTTATCTAGTTATCTGCAGTATAGTAGAAGTTTCAATTTCTTTAAACCTGATATCTAGTGTAGAAGTTATCAACCATTTGTGTTTTCATATTGCAGACACTAACTGTTTGGTGAGAGCCAAGCCAATGGTGCTCACATTGCATATGCATAAATCAAACAAACTCTAGAGCAATAGCGTATTTTAATATCAATCAGCTAAAACACCCCAATATTTTGAATTTGAGTGTCACATGTAATACAAGGAGGTTGCCAAAAAGAATTATACTTGTACTTAAATATTGAAGATGAAAAAACACTAATTATAAAAAGATAATAAAGAGAGTTCAGCTTTTGCGGTTGACTTAGGCCAGAAATAGTGCGAGACATAAAGAGACACTATAAAGGGAATCCTATCCTCCACCTTAATCAATGAACACCTTTTGATTCCCTTGTTCTTTATTATTGCCTCTCCATATTAAACTTTTTTTGTTCTTTGTAACTTGATATGATACTAAATATCTACAAAACGATAACCAAACCGATTGGTTAGTAATTAGCATTGTAGATGAAGATCGATGGTATCCAAACTTTGACGTATTACATTAGATCTTTTATAATGAATGTGAGAATATGGAAGTCATTTTCATGTGTGTGTGTTTTTTTTTCTTGCAGAGTCAAGGAGTAAGTAAAATTGCATGGCAAAAAGTTTGAGAAGGTTTCTTTTGATGCCCTTCTTTTTAAGAAAAGTAAGGCTTTTAAATATTCATCACTTTCAGAAAAATAGTAGTTTGCAAGAACAAAAGATGATAAAAAAGGTAGTGGGAACAGACAAAGGCTATTGATATATAAAAAGGTGATTTAGGTGAATAACCAAAAAATAAAAAATAATTAGTTTTTTAGAAAGAAGGTAGAGAGAGATAGGAAGAGAAAGAGAGTGAATAAGGGGATTAGAGGTTAGTTATTGAATTAAAGTTTTTTTGTTGGTTAATTTTGCCAATTTCCCTATATAAAAAACACTCTGTCTTCCGATATCAGAGTCATCTTCATTAACTATTTATTTCATTTTCTTGCTTTTGGCTCAAACTTTTATCTATTACCTACTTTTCTTTTTGGTGCCTTCAAATTTGAATCTCAATGTCTCCAAGTTGGTAACTGCAAACTATTAGCTACAATACCACAGCTGTCATGTCGTTCTTCTTGGGTGATTCCAAATGTTTTCTTCTTTTAGTGACGGCATTGTTATAGCACTATAGCCGTATATGTAATATTTCGATTGTTTAATTTGACCGTATATTATCTTAGTCTTGGCTTATTATTGGTGATTTCCATTTTGTTCTACAGCTGATTTGCTATTTTGAGAAACTTTTTAGACTTATCGATTAACCATGCATTGGTACGAGTTTATATTTTCAATGCTTTATCTCGCTTGAAGTGTAGCCTACCCATATTTTCTATGGGTTAAACACATTTAATAGTGAAACTTTGGCAAAAAAGTTATGAAAAAACATTATTGCATATTTGTGACATAAATATTCAAGAAATTGTATTATTTATAGAACTCGGAGTTTCCTATACAATTCACTAATAAATCGTGATTTTCTCATCATATACCAAAATCATTATTCTAACAATATATGAGTCGATCATACGTCATACTATCGAATAAATTTCGCTATTGATGCCACTTTCAATTCATGGCCTTGTTTACTCTTCGTCATGCATTCCAAAGCTCCATCCTATCACATCTAGAAAGAATGCAACAACGAAAGTCATGACCAAACCTCTAATTTCTTTCATTGTATCTCTACCTCAATTGATGACAAGCCGATTAGAGATAGATTAATCTTTATTCGATCCATGGGTGATCTTGGCTTCTGGTTCTCGACACGAATTTAAATTAATCTCCTCACTTAATTTTTTATTGCTTCCTTTGCAAAAAAATTCATTTTGTTTCTTTTCGAGAAGTTGCAAATTAAACTATATGTAAATGAATGTTTCTTTGTTGAATAAATTTTGACATTGTAAACAAAAAAATGTTCATGATTAGGCATTAGGTACATAAAAACGTAAACGGACCAATAAGATCTTAGATTACAGACAATAATATATGCAACTGGAAAGTTAAGGATACGTATATAATAATCCAAAGTTGAAGCTAACGTCAAAAGTAGTGGAGCCATCCGAGAATAATGTTGGGATGATGATTTTGCTAACGTAACATGTGTTTGACCAAATGACATTGACCGCTCGAGCCCTTCGGTTTTCGTCCTCCCAAAGTTTTTTGCGTGGCCTTATTCGACAATCCTACATAAACCAATCACTTCGAAAATCTCTCCGAGACACACACGACACTTCTTGGATACACAAATTGACCTATTCGTGTTATTAATAGTTTAAATCTCTCTAATGCAAACAAATTAGTAGTCTCATTAATCGAGTTTGACAAAAGCTGATGATTGCCCCAATGAGAATATTTTGTAAAGTCATTAATATTTGTTTTCTATCCAATTTTGTTTTAAAATATAGATATCACTGTTTAAGTATAGAACAATTAATTTATTGTTTCTCTTAACATTAGTTATTATCTACCTGCAAGCCTACATAACAAAATCTGAGTAAATTTGGTCTGATGGTAGTAAAACAATTGGTGTAAGATTGTAAATTTAGATAATTTAAGATTTTTGTATTTTAGTATTTTAGGAGCGTGAATAATTTTAATTTTTGTTAATGGGTCAGGTCTATGGTGGTAGTAGTAAAACCATCTTTAAAAGTAGTCAATCGTTACAGTAAACAGGAACATTTAGCGTCAATCAATCACCTAATCTGATATCTATAAGTGGATAGCTGCTTCTTCAAGGCTTCAAATTGGATGTGTGACGCTCGGTTAAATATGATTAAATATTAATCGTATATAGCCATATGATACCTCATAACCTCAAACCATACGGTTAAATATATATCACAAGAAATATATAATTCTATTAAAACATTTCAGTCATATACTCATATAGACAGATTATTATTAAAACTTGGAAAGTAATGAAAAGTAGTGATGAGAAAGAAAAAAAGAAGTAGTAGTGACGAAGGCGCAGAACGATAAACTGTATATTTTCATTCTGTTATTTAAAATAATTTTTTGACATCAGGCGCATAATTTTGTCTATTTACGTGAGAAAATAATAATATTGAAATAGATGAGGTATAGCGTTGATGACAACACTAATTACTCATAATAATTCCTTGCATACACTATATTTTTATGTTGACAATTTCACTTTTTGAAAGGGTATGATCACACTCGTGACAATTAATGGGCATGATATTAAACAACAAATCAAAACTGTGTACGCATCATAAGTCGTTTTCGTTTGTTTTCTAAGAGCAACCCTGGGTCCAACTTATGTTATCATAGCAATTATACCCAAAGAGTTTTATATTAGCATTTTTGTTAGTGTCAACGAGAGACCTAGAGCTTTTTGTACGGTGTGAGTTTTATTAGATGAGACTGATTTAGAGTAAATGTTTTACGATTTTTTGGTGTTTCTCTGGTATTTAATAGACAGATCAGAGAAGCGATAAAGAATCTTCCAAGCAAAAGCTGGTTTTCAATGTAGTGGAAATCGATGTGTGTCGTCATGAGTTAATGTGGCTCATGATTATTGTAATCTCGCTCATTTTGCCGATGATCTTTATTACCATGGTCAAACGGCAAAACCTATTTTGGTTAACTAGTGTTTTACAAACGGGCACCATCCACTGATCCACATATAGACTTCAATTGTATTTAGCTACTTTGTTCGCAATAAAGTAGCAACTTTAATTTGTTTTCCCTATCACGTTTCTACGTACCAAAGTGCAACGTGCATACATTTTTATTAGTAGTTGGTTTCGAATATTTACACTAAAAACGAAATAAATTTAGCATAAAATTAAAAACATTAAAATAGGTCGTTGATATTGATATTTATATTGGTGGTTATTAGTTTTTTTAAATATTTGCATATCATTAAACGTACTAACATAAAAAAAAACGTACTAACATGTGTAATTTGCATATACATATGTTTATGCTGAGATATATGAGTTGTAAAATTACAACTATAGAAAAAGGACATGTTCTCTAGTGAATACATAATTTTTGACAAAATACTAACAATTCTTAATGTATTACTAAAATAAACGTCAAATGAAACAAAACATATCTATATAACTTTACTAGGAAAAGTCCCATTCGATGCATGGATGAAATTAATATAGTAAAATATGTTAGTATATTTAGTTACTTTTAAATATATGATCAAGAATAATTAATATAAATATTGTGACTAAGATATTACTTTTGAAAATAAATATTATGATTATATACTTTTCGGAAGAGCTTGTGTTAGATTTACCATAATCATCTTTAATGGTCACCTCTACATATTCTCAAAATTTTCGAATCTGTCCATTTGCGGACAAATGATGTGGCAAAAAGCACAACTATATTCACGGATTCACCATTTTTCCCACTATAAAAAAAAGTATTAGAAAAATAAGAGATTTTTTCTCAAAAAGAGAAATTTAGGAGCTAAATAATGATATATATATATATATAATAAATTGTATATCATATCTTACCATTATATATATATATATATATATATGAATTTATTGAAACTCTTATAATGTATTAGGCTATTAGCACATGAAAATATTGATTGAATTCAACTTTGTTTCAAAACCTACAAAATTCACAATTAAAAACATATATTATAGAACTTATAAAATAATGTGAGACTTTAAATAGGATGGTTGGTGAAGACTTTGACTGGCTATTTATACTTTTATAGTGTATTAGTATGGTGGAAGATTTTTTGTTCAAATATCATGGGTGTTATGGTAACGTTTAAAAGAATTAATACGTCATAAATTGTGATTGTCTTCTTATTTTTTAAAAGTAAAAGAAGATGCCAATTTAACGTCCAATGGCTACCAATTCAATGGAAATTAATACTTTTAATTGTAATAATGTGTTTTTCTTGTACGTATTAATAAAATATTATTCGGTGTCAGATTGCGATGAATGATTCTTAAACAATGTAGGTATTGCAACCCATAAACTATATACATGTACCATATCATAACAATTCATTAATTATAAGTAAAAACACATCACAATTTACAACACAAAATAACATAAACATTGAAAAATTAATTTTAACCTCATTAGTTCTATCATTAGATTTGACAGATTGTCCACCGCTTTCCACAAAGCAATACCCCGCATGACTTAGCTAATCTTGTTAAATCAGCTAAGCTGGATGTCCATCTCTCTAGACACAAGTACGAAACATATTATGACGCTCAAAACCATGAAACCTTATTATGTTCTAGTGTTCGTCAGATTCACTGAGGATTGTCCTTTCTTAGAAAAACATTTTGGGTACAAATATATGTATCTAAAGGAATGATTAAAAATATTGAGTTGAAAAAAATGAGTTCAATATCATTTAACTTATGCCTATTTGAAATAGTAGATGAATGAGTTAAACAATTTTCTCTTATAATTTGCTCATTTTTTCCAAAACTTTTGTTGAATAAGTTGAACCAAATTTTCAACATTTTTAACTCAAATAGTGGTCATTAGATGAATAGTATTTTTCAACCAATTTTATATCTTAAATTGTGTAAACCAATTTTACATCTTAAACTGTGCAAACCAATTTTAGTATTTTTCAACCAATTTGATCACGATGTCTTTAATCTCTAACATACCTATGATAGTTAGATTCACCAAGAGAATTTGGATCTCCGTCAACGCGGAAAAGACCGCAGTTGACATCGGAGAGAATTTTTCGAATAATATCTATCATACGTCAAAATTACCAGAATCATCATAGGATTGTGCAATTCTCCTAATTCCAAAAAAATTAGGTTAGAAGACGTACGGTTAGAGAGCTACTGTGTTAAACATTTTGATCAAAAAAGTTGTGAGAAATTTTGTATCTTGCAATAAAAAAAGATAATTTTAAATTCACAAACTAAAAAGAAAAATAGAAACTTTGATGAAGGCATAAATTTAGAGTTATGACTTAAGGTAAAAAGGAGATGGAGTAGTGCACGTGTGCTCCCAAAACCTCATCATCACAGGGTCATGTGCAAAATCAAATTAAAAACTCACTGGCTTGTACCATTATTAATCGCACAAGCAAATCAATTGTTTCCATCATACTACTCTCATCATTTCATTTCCTCTCATCATAGCTTCTTTTTTTTCTTCCCAACTTATTCTATTTCATGATCTATTTATTTCTTTTGCTACCAGATTGTTGGTAAAAAGTTTAAAGATTTGATCAAGAAATTGTTTGGTCACTTTTTTTCAACAGTAGAAGGCTTTCTTACACCAATTTTAAAATTGCAATTTGATATCTTTCAAAAATTAATCATGTGTTTATATACATATTATTAAATACTCTATAATTTATCCAATTTATAGAAAAATTAATATTTTCATTATATTTGGTCGTCATATGAGTTTCTGATAGGAGTCTCATATGCTTTAATTTCTTTTAAAACAAACATTTGAAAAAAAAAACTTTGGTATTGACAATTAGAGAAAAATCACAGTGGTCTATTGACAATTTAGAAAAAAAAAGAGTCTCTGTCTAGCTTTTCAAATACTAAAATGATTTTTTTCTTTGACAAAATAAAAAGATTTAAATGGCATAAAGCAGAAGCATTAATTAACTTTGTAGATTCACTTTTCCTTTTTATATTCTGGATTTATTAGCAAGACCCAAAACAAAGGTCAATATAGTCGCGAATCTCAAAGCCTCCTCAATCTCTTCTTCTTCCTCTTCTTCCTCTTCTTCTTCCTCTTCTTCTTCACTCTCTCTCTCGTCACCACCACCACTAACACTTCCACTGATTCATCATTCTCCACTGAGAATCATTTCTCTGGTTAATTCAACACTTCAAGTCTCTCACTTTGCGTCTTTTCGCGTGTTTTTGATTGCGTCTTTGGAATCTCCTCTACTGTTTCTAGGTTACTCAATCCGAAGAAATGGGAACTAAATGGAGGAGAATGAAACTGGCTTTGGGTCTGAATCCCTGTACCTACCTCCCAAGAACCCTAGAGGATTCACCCACTGCTTTGAATTCTACAGAGAGATTATCAGATGTTGCTCTGCTCTCTCCTCTTAACTGGCCCATGACTCCGACACCTTCCTCTCACGGTCTGAAATTCTCCAGAAACAGCTCTAAATCTTCAAAGGTTTGATCTTTACGAGACCCACTCTCTCTAATCTTGTTTCTATTGCTTGTTTTTGGTTTTGTGATAATGAGTTGACTTTGGATATGAGTTTGTCTTCTTCCTCTTATTTGTTTCTTCTTCTCTCAATTTTTAAATTACTCCAGTTATAGTGTTCTTGGTATTGTTTCTTTGTGAAAATGGAATGTTGAATTTGATATCCTTTTACTCTGTTGCTTATTGTGTTCATAGATCTTCATGATCTTTCCAATGATTCTCCTTTTTGTAGCTGTAATAGAGTTAAAGATAGTTTCTTTGTCTATATCTTGTTACTTAGAAGTAGTAGTTTGTTTCTTTGATACTTGTCTTAGACCTCTAGAACATGGACTCATACTTTGTGCTTAATCTTTTTGTTGAGCAGACATGTTCTATATGCTTGAAGAAGATGAAAGAAGGAGGTGGACATGCTATTTTCACAGCAGAGTGCTCGCATTCGTTTCATTTTCACTGCATTGCTTCGAATGTGAAGCACGGAAACCAAGTTTGCCCGGTCTGTCGTGCAAAATGGAAGGAAATCCCAATGCAACACCCTAGTTTTGATCTTCCTTATCTGTTTGCTCGATCTTATAACAATGATGCAGCTATTAGCCTTGTCCACCGCTTACCTAGACCTCGTGGAGTTATGAATCAAGGACGAGTTCTTGCTCCTGAGCCGTCTATGTTTGATGATGATGAACAGTTAGAGCAGCAGCTAGTATTTTCCGGGAAGAGCTATAGTGATGCTTTGGAGAACAATCATTCTGTAAGAATGATGGACTTGAAGATATATCCCGAGGTTTCCTCTGTACCACGAGCTGAATCCCGTGAGAAGTTTGCTGTATTGGTGCATCTTAGAGCTGCTGCCATGGTTACTGGAAATGCTAACTCTCTCAACAATCAGATATCTCGGTATCCTCGAGCTCCAGTTGATCTTGTCACGGTGCTTGACATCAGTGGTAGCATGGCTGGAACTAAACTGGCTCTACTCAAACGAGCAATGGGTTTTGTGATTCAGAACCTTGGTTCAAATGATAGGCTCTCGGTTATTGCTTTCTCTTCTACTGCTCGTCGTCTTTTCCCTTTGACTAAGATGTCTGATGCTGGAAGGCAGCGAGCCCTTCAAGCTGTAAACTCAGTGGTTGCAAATGGCGGGACCAATATCGCTGAAGGTCTTAGGAAAGGTGTCAAGGTGATGGAAGATCGAAGAGATAAAAATCCTGTTGCTAGCATTATCCTTTTGTCTGATGGACGAGACACCTATACCATGAACCAAGCTGAACCAAACTACAAGTTGTTACTCCCGTTGTCTATGCACGGTTGTGAAAGCAAGCGGTTTCAGATCCCGGTTCATTCTTTTGGTTTTGGATCAGATCATGATTCTTCACTGATGCATTCTGTTTCTGAGACCTCTGGGGGAACTTTCTCTTTCATTGAGAGTGAATCTGTGATCCAGGATGCTCTTGCACAGTGCATTGGTGGACTTTTAAGCGTTGCAGTGCAGGAGCTACGGTTAGAAATCGATGGTATGTGCTCAGATGTTCATCTCAGCTCGATAAAAGCTGGTAGTTATGCGAGCCTTGTTACTGGTGATGGTCGATCAGGATGTGTTGACATTGGTGATCTTTACGCCGATGAAGAGCGCGATTTCTTGATTTCTATCAACATCCCTGCTCAAAAAGATGGAAACGAGACGCCGCTTCTAAAAATGAGATGTGTCTACAAAGATCTTTTGACAAAAGAAATTGTGACGCTTCAAAGTCATGTGCTTAACATTCAAAGACCAGAAACCGTTGGTCAAGAAGTTGTTGTGTCCATCGAAGTGGACAGGCAAAGAAACAGATTTCTAGCCGCGGAGGCAATGGTAAATGCGAGAGCTTTAGCAGAGGGAGAAGATTTAGCCGCAGGTGTCACTGTCATCCAGAATTTCAGACTAGCTTTGGCAGAGACAGTCTCAGCAAAATCGGGTGACGCGTTTTGTGTGGCTTTGGACAAAGAGCTAAAGGAAATGCAAGAAAGAATGGCGAGTAAGCATGTCTACGAGGTGTCGGGAAGAGCTTACATTCTTTCTGGACTTAGTTCACACTCATGGCAAAGAGCAACATCAAGAGGAGAATCAGGAGACGGTTCAAGCTTTGTCCAGGCTTATTATCAAACTCCATCAATGGTTGAAATGCTACACAGATCTCAGGCCACATCGCATCATCATAGACTGATCCAGCCTTTGTTATCATTTGCATCTCAACCAAAGCCAAGGTGAACAAATAATCAAAATTCAATGTAAAATGTAACAGCCTTTTTTTTTTTTTTTGGGAAGTCTCTGAAAACATTTTGGTCTCTTTTTGGGGTGGTTGGTCTCTGTAAAGAAATAAGAAAAAAAGCAGGCAAGGGGGAGAGAAAAATGTGAATCTAAGTGGGGTTTAGAGGATCTTACAATTTGGTGATTTCATGGTTTTGTAAGTTGGTCTTGTTTCAGTATTTCATGTAATGGATGTATATATGGTATGAAGTTGTGTATAAAAAGCTTTTTGTTCAGAAGTTAAGAGTATGTGTATCGTCAACAATTTTACTGACACGCTAGTCAAAAGTTGAACCAGATAAAATGGACTAAACACTAAATTATGAGCGGGAAATTGAAATCCCAGGGTTTTTCTTCTGAAGCTTTTTCTGTAGTTTCCTTTTGCTCGACACATACGTAAAATCTTGTTGGTTTCCTCAAAGAAGTATCAAGTATCTATAGACTATAATGTTACGAGCAGTATTAACATAATATTTTGATTTTTTAGTTCTATTGAACATTTTGTAGTTTTTACCCCTTAAATATGTATTATGATATTATGCTAATCGTGTTGAGATCGACTAGTGTCGTCTCTAATACTCTTAGCCACCTTGTTAGCCGGAAGCATCCCAAACCAAATTGTTGAAGGAATATGAAGTTGTGATGGTAGTCAAATAGACCACACAACTGACACAAGTATTGATTTTAAATAGACTCTCGTATCTTTTTAGTGTGTACGATCACTTATGTTCACAATACATGTTTTTTTTTTAAAAGTAAAGAGTTAATAGATTAGCTAGTTAGTTGTAAAAGAAGTTTGGTGTATCCACTATACACCTTTGACCTTGTATAAATTAGATTCATCAGATGACGAGATTTTTATTTTATTTTAAAAGGTTATATCTATAATTCGGATTTAAATGTAAAGTTTATCAAATGTGGAAAAATTATGTATGTTGACTGGTTACAAAATTCTTTTTGTTGTAAGTTTTTTCTAGGAAGAGATACACTATTAATATGTTTAACGAGCAATTTTACCTTTTAAAAATCATTCTAGCCAAATTGAATTGTTGAGCCAAATATGTAGGCGAAGAACCAAAACCAACAGAGACCTAATCCCAATAATAGACCGAGTAAATGATGAGTCAGGTATCGTGGTTGAGATGGAGTTAAACCAAAGGTCTCCAAAAGACGAGACTCTGCAAGTTTCTTTACTATATGCAATCAATTTGTGTTTTAAATCTTATACTACCATACAAAATTGTTGTTGGCTCCATATAATGAATGTTGTTGATTCGTACATTATGATATGTGTGCTATAAATTATTTTCTTTTTTCTTTTTAATACAAAACCAAAGGACCTATTACACTAATCTTTTAAAATTTAAATAGAACTTTATTAACTTCACATATAGTTTCGATTTAATTTTCTTTTTGGGATATAAAAGAAGATTATTGTCTGAATTTCAATGTAAATTTTTATTATGAAATATGTAATTTTACCAGCTTAAATTGACTAAAACTGTAATAGATCATAATTTTCAAAACAGGACGATCGATTTGCTCTGTTCTGGAATTTTCACCACCCTTTCAATTAACACTAGAAGAAGAAATAAATAAATAAATCAAAGTACAATAATTTAACAACTAGTAGGGATAATGAAAAACATCACTTAGCTTACTCGTGATAGTAAAAAGGAAGTAAAATTTTAAAAATAAATTACAAAATAGAACAACTCTAAATCCAAATGCCAAAAGCCTAGCTAACTCGTTAGATATAGAAATACAATAAATGCGAAGTCACAAAAATAACAAAGTGTACTTCCCAATGCATTTAATCAAATTGATAATAAGAAAAAGAAAAAAAAAAAGAACAGTAGTATAAGAGGAAAGTGTGGCTAAAGGCAAAGTTTGGAGAATAATCAAAATAACTATGAAAAAGGAAAAAGACATGGAGAAAGAAGACCAAGAGACATCAGCAGTGGAGCCGCTTAGCCCGATTTCACAGTTGTTCCTTTCTCCGACTCTCTATTGCGTCATTATTTTTACTTTAGGGTTTAAAACTAGATGCAACCCATCTTCCATTGTTGAAGGTATCAAGAACACATGGATCAAGTTCCCTCGCTTCTCTTGCAAATTGGTAAACATATATGTCTACATGCATGCCTTTGTTGTTACATGTATTTGAGTATATATAGATAAATAAGATATTTTTTGGACAAAAAAAAGAGAAGATAAATAAGGTATTTAATAGAAATTTTGATCGTAAAACTAATGTTTCAGGAGATGAAGAAAAATGGGAAAGCGGTTTGGGTTCCTACTACTTATGAAGTAGAAGATCATGTTATTGTTCCAGATATTGATTATTCCAACATTGAAAATCCTGATCAATTTATAGAAGACTATACTTCGAACATAGCTAATACTCCAATGGACATGTCCAAACCTTTATGGGAATTTCATGTGCTGAATATTAAGACATCGAATGCAGAATCTTTGTGTATAGGAAAACTGCATCATTCACTCGGCGATGGGATGTCACTTATGTCTCTTCTACTCGCTATTTCACGAAAAACATCAGACCCCGAAGCTCTTCCTACTACCGCGGCTACAAGAAAACATGTTGATTCCAATGATAAGGATTGGTGGTTGGTTGGGAGATTTTGGTTCATGATAAGAATCATTTTCACAACTGTTATTGAATTGTTCAAGTATTGTCTTACACTATGTTTTATGCGGGATACTAAAACTCCTCTCAAGGGTAAAACGGGAGATAGAGTTCAATCTAGAAAGGTTATCCATCGGATAATAAGCCTTGATGACGTCAAGTTGGTGAAGAACACAATGGAAATGGTTAGCAATATTTAGTATTTAATATTTGTATAGTCATTTTCTTTATGTTAGTTAAATTTTGTTCTTTTCTTTATATTAATCAATTTTTTTTTGTTTTCTTATACTAAGAACTCCATAATTTTTATTTTTTTGTAGAAAGTAAATGATGTTCTCCTTGGAATGACACAGGCTGGTCTCTCAAGATATTTGAGCCGAAAATATGGTAATTTCAAATTCTTTCCCATTCTACCAATGTTATTGAGAGTAATTGACCTTAATTTTCTAGCAGTGATTTTTTGTCTTATGAATAGAACAATAATGTGATTGTTGTGATTAAAGGAAATATATAATATATATTATATTGCTATTTTTTTTTTTTTTGAAAATGCTATTAATTTTGCTACTAAAAGTTCTAGAGATGTGATTACATTAGAATTTTTGTATATTAATACTTAAACTATATCTCAGGCCTACGCTATTATCTTAATATATCATTTACAGTAGTTTATATCCTGATAGATGAAGGTATGGTGGTCGAGAAGAAAAAAATCTTAGAAAAAATCCGTCTTCGCGGTACAGTAATCGTAAATTTAAGAGAAACTACAAAGATCGAGGTAAACTCACTGTAACCATCATATTCATTATTCACTTTTACCTTACAAAGCAATATGTTTAGTAAGAAAGAGTTAAAAAATATGAAAATGTAGGATCTGGCGAATATGATGGCAAAGGGTTCAAAAAGTAGATGGGGAAACTTCGTAGGTATTGTCATTTTTCCTTTATGGATAAGATCTGAGGATGATCCGTTGGAATACGTCCAACGAGCCAAATCTACTATGGATATCAAAAAACTCTCCATGGAATCACTTATTTGCTATGGACTCATCAAATTTGCCATGAAAATGTTCGGAGAAAAGGTAGTATACAAAATCAGTATCAATTAGTTATCCATAATTATATATATACGTATATGAAAAAAACTATAAATTGCTATAAACAGGTAGTAGAAACTCTTGTTAAGAGAATATTTGACCATACAACATTGGCATTTTCAAATGTGATGGGTCCAGACGAAGAAACAAGTTTTTTTGGTCATCCAATGTCTTACGTAGCAGCAAGTGCATTGGGTGGATCACAAGTAAGTATACCTAATCAACCCTACTTGTATATCAGTTTAACTTTCTTAGAAATCATAGAAAACTTTGATGAATTTAACTAACAGTTGTTTATGTTTGTTGTTGAACAAGGCTCTTATTATCCATTTCGTCAGCTACGTAAACAAGATCATCATCAATCTCGCAGTAGACACATCAGTGATTCCAGACCCTCATCTACTATGTGATGATTTGGTAGAATCGCTCAATATCATCAAACTTGCTGCCTTGGAGAAAGGAGTTCATAAAATGGAGGTTTGAGACATGTATCCTAGATATACAAAATGAAGCCAAGTATGTTCGAAGATAAACTTGCAATTATGTTAGCTGCGTAAGAATTTCTTAACACAATAATATGTCCAATCTATGATATCTATTTCGACTTTCATGCTGATTTGTTATTGTTCGAATGATATTAATCTTGAGCTTTGTAATACTCTACATGTTTAAACTATGGATCTTAACGAAGCGATTTTTGATGTTTTTTTACATTGGTATATAGATCAAGTATGGCTAAGACTTAGAATGTTTTGAAACATGCTTCACCGGACAAGCAAACAGTTGACACGGTACTACAAAGCCTCAAAAGTTGAAAAAACGTATTTGGTCGAAATAGACAATAGCATTTACACAAGACTGCAAACATATTTACAATTACATAATCAGAGCTATTTCAACAACAAACGGAATTCAAATTTCTTTTTTACCTCGGATTTACCGGAACTGTTCAAGAGCTTGTGTATTGTTGTTGTTTCACGAGCTTCATCATGAAGTTAAACCTGGTGTCAGGAGATGTCTTTGGTTGTGGCCAAGTCGCTCCTTCGGGGATCTTGATGGATCTGAAACCTTGATCTTTGTAAAGTTTAGTTGCTCCTAAGTTGTTGAGATCACAGTGAAGGCCGATAGCTCTACATCCCCAGTTCTTGGCTAAAGCCTCTGCTTTCCATATGAGTCTCTTCGCTATTCCTTTGCGCCGGAAATTCTCTCGAACCGCAACATTTGATATGTAAGCGATCCCGGTCCTGGCTTTAAATTAGGAACACACTATCAAACCATTATAAGATAAAAAACGAATACAGATCCGAGGACAACACATTCTGAACAAAATGACAAGATCCTTCTTTCACCAAGATTAGCTAAAGATTTCGAAACTTTATGATTTTCCCTAGTTGCACATTTTTGAGACTTGGTCCTTAGTCTTAAGAACAGAGGCACAGTGCTTGACCACAGAAATAAAGAGCTAAGAAAAAAAGCAAACCTTCTCTGGCGGAGAGGTCCTTTCCTCGGAAGGTAATCAGCCACAGTATCAACAGTCAAGATTCCAGCTACATAACCTTTGTTTAAGCTGATCTTTGCATCAAAAGCTCCAATTTTGAAATCTTCACTTCCAAAGCAGATGGCTTCATCTACTGAGCTACCTATCACAGCGACTAAACAAGTCCTCTGGCACCCAGGTGGAATAGAAAATCCCATTACCATCGCCATCAGCCTATCTACTCTCAGAACAACATCAAGCGGGAACGAATATCCCGGGAAGAAAGAGCTGCAGTGAGTCTCTGCCACTTCCCAGCAGTCCTCTAACCGTGCTTCCCGAACAACGATTTCAGGTGAAACCGCTGGGAAAAGATCAACTATTTGACTTGCATTGCATGCTGCTATATAGAAACATAACAAATATATTCATCAAGGAACAAAACTGATAGAATCAACCCTATCGTCCCTTTATGATTGTCTTTTCACACTGTGCCCAGAAACTCAAACCCAATGAAAAAGCACTAACCTTTAAATAAAACAGTTAATTTGCTCAAATCATGCAAAAGCCTGAGCTTCATGAAGCAAACATGCAAATTCAATACCAGAACCTCTACAAAATTGATAGCTACAATCAATTGTGTAGTTAGAAGATGAGTTAAAAATTGAACCTTTCAATCATGGATGGTCAATTACACACTACAGAGCATCTAATTGAATTGGGGATGGGTTAAGTATTGGAACTCGATCTGAATCAACGCTACCGGTAAATCATAGCTCATCAATTCATCATCAAGTATAAAACAATCAGAGGTCAAAACCTGATTTGATTTGTGAAGGAGCTTGAGAAATAGAAAACGACGAGTGGCGTCTCCGACGATGGAGAGAGAAATTAGAGACTCCTGAAGAGGAAACGAAGCGCCCATAAGAGTTGTGCTTGATAGAAGAAGCCGGTGAAACCGCCGTCGTCCCCAACGGTGTGCTCCGCATTTTCTCCGTTCGCCGTACTTTTTTCTGCTTCTCTAGCTAACTTTATTTCTTACCCAACCCAAACGGCAATCAATGATTTTAATAACAAACCGGCCGGTTCGACCGGTCTAATCGCCACTCGGAATCAATTCTTCCTAAGTCACTCACTAACAATAATCTTTTTATTTGATCACTTACGTTAGGGAAATAAACACTCTTTTTCCCACCAATTCACACGTTTTTTTTTAACCCCACACCAATCTACATAGCCAAAACATCTAGAATCAATTTTTTTCGGATATATCAATTCTTGGTCATAAAAGTTTATAGTTACTTATTTTATTATTTTTTTTTTTTTTGTTTGATAACCCAGGTGTCCGGTCCCACCGAAGTGGCCCGACTAGCGTCGTGTCCAAGCGGAGCTGACGTGGTCCTGGAAGCCTGCAGCCGCCATGTGAATTCCGCAGTGGCCAGAAATCGAATCCAGGTGGCGGTACCCCCAGCTAGAGACCCTTTACCACTAGGAAACAACTCCTGGTTTATAGTTACTCTTTTATTCTTTCAAAAGTTTGTAGTTACTCTTATGCGATTTTTTTTTTCCTATAGTGAAATGGTTTGGCGACCAAAACAAGAAAAGAGATGAACAATTTTATACCAACACAATCACCATCATCCGTCATCATAACCATCATCATCATTTTTTTTAATTGAAACCATCATCACCATCATATCAACACCACCACCTGCATCATCTTCATTACTATAACATCATCATCATCATAATCATCATATGTCATCATCATCATCATATATGACCATCACCATCAACATCATCCATCATCCATCATCATCTTCATACCACCACAATCATCATCATCATCATTCTACAAAATATAGCTTCGTATTTGAATTTAACAACGAACACTTTCATGTAAGTTTACTTAGAAAATGCTTTGTTGTATTTGGATGTTTTTTGTTATTTTTTGGGATAAAACTTGTGTTTGGATTTTTCATAAACAGACCGATGTGACGTAGAATCTGATTTGTATTTGGATTTAATCCGCTTTAAAACTCTCAGCTATTTAACTATTCTCCTAAATTTTCATCATAAACACTAGTATTAATTTTCGGTTAGATTTCTAATAAATCAGTTATTCCACCATATTATGCAGTTACCATTTAAATTTATATGTACAAACTGGTTGGACTGTATTTTCAAAATCATATTTAAATCTTTTTTATTGTACCCATGATTAGCATGTTTCTAGGCTGTAGAGAAAACTATTCATGTGGACAATACTCAACTCACGGTTATTATGTACGTTATGTGATTTAACAACAACAACAACAAAAGAAAGAGAATTCTTTTTTACGAATTGAAAACATCCAAATTCAAAAACGAATATAACTTATTCACTTTAGTCGACGTTAAAACTCATCACGACTTTGAAATAGTAGGAGACCATCCTTAAATCCCAAACAAAAATACTTTATATCGATGTCGCTTGAATTGTCAAAACTTACATCTAAATAATGAGAAAGAAACAAACTATTGGAAAGAAATTTCAGTGAAAAGTTGACGTGGACAAGTTAGAGATTTCTAAGTTCTGATCTAAATCCAATGATATTTGGTGAGCCACAGAACCTTTATCCAAAAAGACAATGTAAATTCCGACCCAAGTGCAAGCTCATCACGATCCACAAATCTCGCCACGTCTCTCGCCGACATCATAGAAGTGTACTAACCGTGTGGATTAGATGCCATGTCTCCTGCTTAGAAGTTTCCACGAGAGAAGATTCACTTCTTTATCGTAAAAAAAAAAAAATCAGAATTATTTTCCATATCTTACAATTACATGGCTCGCTTTTTTAATAGTTAATGTTCTGTTACTATTTTCCTTACATTAATTAATACTTTATCGAATGTTTGTTTGAGCTATGGTAAGCTATTTGTTATGAAGAACAATAAAGTTGTCGGAACAAAGAATGGAGAACATTAAATGAAGGCTTTGTTTTCCTCTCAAGTTTTTACTTTTAAGCATCTCTTTACCAAAATTTTCACGTGTTTTAAACATTACACTTTCTAGAATGTTTACAATTTACAATTCGAATCTGTTTAGATAAATTGTAAATTACAATTGTGTTTTAAATTACAAAATTGCGAAGAGGGATGCTCTTACGATTACAATGAATTCGAATCTGTTTAGAAATTGTAAATTACAAAATTTCGTAGAGAAAATTAAAAGTATTGCTATCAATATATCCGTAATACTTTTATGAACGGTCCCATCTCTAGAACAATTGAGTAATATAACCAATGAAGCAATTCATTTCTATTTTATTTTCAAAAAATAATGGTCGTCGGCTCGATTATTAAGTGAAACATTTTTTTTGGTATTATTAAGTGATACATCATCTGTTGTACAACTTGATAATCCGCCAAATGCTTGGCTTCAAATGTATTATTGTATTTATCTCTGTGTCCAATCATACTCGGCCATTGACGGGCCTAGCTACGAATAAATTAGATGGGTCTCTAGTCTACCACGGACACCACGTGGACAAGATTTAATGTTCATGAAGGTCGATCGTTACCCAAAAAAAGGTCATTTGATCCCTTGTAAGTAAAAATGGATGATATATTCTGTCGATCGATATTTATTATATGGTTCCCATTTTTCATTCTTCATATTGTAATTCTCGTTCCACATATGAAATGTTTCAAATGTTGGGAATATGAGTTTTTTAAGAAAAATATAATGATCGTGGTAAATTGAATATATCAATCGCAAGCGGTTCCTTCATAGTTCTCCTTTCCTCCCCATTTTTTGAGGGCTGGTTAGGAACATCTTCCAAAATTTTCTTTCAGATTGTGTTTAATCGCTCGGCCACTTTAATTTGGTTGAGCATCTTTAAATATGGCGAGAGTTTTTAATTTTAAAAGAAAAACTTTTAGTATTAGACAACATTCTTCATCGGTGATTGTTGACTCTTTGATTAGGAGGATTTTAGACCACATTTCGCCCCATTTCACTGTCATGTCCATTTGTATCTAATGCTGCTCGTCAGATAATATGATCATTTGTTTCAATTTGTAATAAACTTTTCTCCAACTTTTAGATTAGTCGTATTTTTCTGTGTTAAAAAATTAAAACTAAACGGTCATCTCGGAGTCGAATATGGAGCAGTTCATATGAGCGACGATTCTTTTAAATTAAGTTGTTTTTAACTACTTCGCAAAATCACTCAATGTTTGTTAATTTTACATAACTTGCAAAACCTGGAAATGCCTACGAACATAGAAGATTTAAGCTAGCAGAAATATATTATTTACTGTCTAAATTAGAATCTTGAACGTAAATACGTAATTATGGGATATGAGTAAATAAAATAATGGTTGTATTTTTTCTAGACAGTTAAACTAACCCTAAACATATTAGGGTATTTAAGTTATAAATTGGTAAAAAAAAACCAAAATTTATATATTAGGATTTTTTTCTTAGGTTTAGCTCCGGCTATGAAGATATTACGCACAAAACAAAGCCTCGTGTAGTCTACATGAAATGTTTTCACATGGTAAACTTAACGTAATTTGTTTGTTCGTCTGTAAAATAACTTAATAGGAAAATACCAGCAAAAAAGGGCGAGAGATATAAAGCCGTTAAATAAAAGACAATCTATTTTAGATTAGTGATTTTTTTTCCCAACAAAATCGTTGCAAAATAACCAAAACGAAATCAATTGAAAGCATATTCTTTAGAGACCAATAGAGTACTTCATAGACTAATCACTATCATAAACACCTGTAGTGTTCCCTTATTTTACGATTTTCTTATTAAAAAAACAAAAAAAGAGAAACCTCATTGCAAAAGAGGAAAAACCTAAAGCCACATCTTTCCATAAATAGACCCACTCACCATCTCTGCACATCATCCACATCTTCTAACAGTCTCTCACTTTCTCTCTTCTCTCTCTCTTTCCTTTTCTCTTGAGTCCGTGAAGGCTAAGTCTGAAAGAATGACGAAGGATGAGTTAACGGAGGAAGAGTCGCTCTCCGGGAAGGACTACTTAGACCCACCGCCTGTGAAGATGTTCGAGGTGAGAGAGCTCAAGAAGTGGTCCTTCTACAGAGCAGTCATCGCTGAGTTCATAGCTACTTTCCTCTTTCTATACGTCACCGTTTTGACAGTCATCGGCTTTAAGAGCCAGACGGATATCAACGCTGGTGGTGGAGCTTGTGCCAGTGTCGGCCTCCTAGGCATCTCTTGGGCCTTCGGTGGCATGATCTTCATCCTCGTATATTGCACTGCCGGCATCTCTGGTCTCTCTCTCTTTCCTTGACCATTTTTTGCATTATCTCTGTGTTTTACAATCCATTAGCAAAATGCACATGCTTCATTATTCGAGGCTCCTAATCCTAAGTCCTTGTAACAAAGAAGCAATACTCAAAAATACCATATGAACCAACTATAGTAGTCAAATGATTGATGATACACAATGTTGACCATTATGTGGTAAGAAAACTTAGCTTTCTAGAACATTAAATTCCATCCGAATAATGTATGTTCTAAGATTTTTTTTGGTTTTCACAAAGATTAGTGTTTTCAGCTTTCTATATAAAATTAATGTTTCATTTCATATGTCCACTCACACCATTTAAATTCTGTTCAATGTAAATTTTAAATAAATTAAATATTGAATTACTAAAGTGAAGTGTTGCAAATAAACTTTCATTATGTGAAAACACCAAACCATATTCTCTATAAATAATCGGAGAAAGTAATTAGTTCAGAACTTTAGATAGTAGTCTAAGATTTAACCCCCAAAAAAAAAAAAAAACTATCTATCTCATTTGGATCAGCTGGTTTTATGAAATTATACTTATCATATATATGTTTATAGGTGGACACATCAATCCCGCGGTGACGTTTGGGCTATTCCTAGCTAGCAAGGTATCATTGGTGAGAGCTGTGTCGTACATGGTGGCTCAGTGTCTCGGAGCCACTTGCGGAGTTGGTTTGGTGAAAGTCTTCCAGTCGACTTATTACAACCGCTACGGTGGTGGAGCCAACATGCTCTCCGAAGGATACAATGTTGGTGTAGGTGTTGGTGCGGAGATTATCGGCACTTTTGTCCTCGTCTACACCGTCTTCTCCGCTACCGACCCTAAGCGAAATGCCCGTGACTCTCACATTCCTGTAAGCAATTTTAACTATGCTACAAGCCTTAATCACATGAACTAACATTTAAAAGTATCAAAAACCTAGCTAAAGAATTAAAGTAGTACATAAAATTGATAGTTTTCTTTCGTTTCCTTTATTTTAGTACTCGTGGTAATTACAGAAATAAATAATGGAAGAGATATCAGGATAGATTTTTTGATTTCGTTGTCGACAATTTTTTGGCTAAGGGTCGTACAGAATCAAAATCTAGTGCCAGCTATATAACGCATTTATTAAATACTGAAAATGATGTCGTCTAGCCATTTTGGCCTTAACGAAAATAATACGGACCAAGTAAGTGTAACGTCTATCTTCTTCTATGAGATAAACGACAAAGGGTGTCCAATTATTTTCATTCATTTCTTGTATCTTTCTTTGGTACCAAATGTCTTTTTACACGTTATAACGACATGCCCTATTTGTGCTCCACGTCTCTTCATCACATGTATTTGTATGTAAATGGTCCATATTTTGCATTTGCACAACGACCCATGTGTATATGTACATACATTTTCCATGATAAATGTCCTTTCAAGTATATATGATTCGTTACAAAACCAAATCTTTCTTTTATGCAAATGGTCATTAATTGATTCTTTGTCTATTTTGGTGATCTTGGTACCTAAAGTTCATTCAAATTCAAATTTCTATTTCATTTTTGATGACGTAGATTGATTTATTTGATTGAAATTAATGAATTGAAGGTATTAGCACCATTGCCAATTGGATTTTCCGTGTTCATGGTTCATTTAGCCACAATTCCAATTACTGGCACCGGAATTAACCCTGCTAGGAGTTTTGGAGCTGCCGTCATCTACAACAATCAAAAGGCTTGGGATGATCAGGTTTGTATTTTCACCATCTGATGCTTGTTCTTGGGCCTTGATTAACTTATTAATGAGTTTAATTCTTTTAATTATATACAGTGGATCTTCTGGGTCGGTCCATTTGTGGGTGCAGCCATTGCAGCATTTTACCATCAGTTTGTGTTGAGAGCTGGTGCTATGAAGGCCTATGGGTCAGTTAGGAGCCAGCTTCATGAGCTTCATGCTTAAATTTGATTTTTCGAACTATCGAAGAGGTGAAGAATTCTTTGGGCCAGGAAGGGAGAAAGGAAAAAAAAAGGGACCCAAATCATATAAAAGAAAAAACGAATATTATTTAAGATGGTCGGTGAGTGACATTTACTTTGTCTTATTTGTGGCTTTGTGGGGGAGGTTTGAGTGTAACAATTTGTAACGTGCAAGCCTCGTATGAATGTATGTGTTATTTGATGCATATGATATTTTTATATCTACTTATTGATGATTCTATCTTTGATCTATCATCATTATAACTTAAATTTCGAAGGAAAAAACATATTTTCATTATTGGAAATTCAAGAACAAACTCCAAAACCATAAACTACTTTTGTTCCTAACTTCTCAGGAATGTCAATGTCGATCACAATCTTAAATTTCATGCTAAAGATCCTTTGGGTCTTTTCCATCAACGGTGCATCCTACCAATCACTGAAAAATAAAGGGCACAAACATTTGTAGTCGTCTCAAACAAACAAATAAAAAATGTTGAAATGATAACGCCATGGTCATGGATCATGATTCATGACACATGTTTAACTACGTATAGGAGAAAAACCGAAAGCTTAGCCATGTGAAGAAAACATAATCTCAAAGAGGGAGATCATGGAGATGGAGCAGTTGATTAAGTAGACGAAATAATTTGTTTTTCCGTGGAACAAATAATTGAATTGGTTTAGAAAAATAAGAATTGGGTTTTTAATTTTTTTATTATATAAGGATAATATAGTCATTTCATAAATTAGTCCAAAACCCCTAATACACAACCCTTTCTTCTTCAACAATCTTTCATATCAAACCCTACTTCTCTTCGGTAAAGTAATCGTCATCTACTTTGGTCTTTGTTGATCACGCTGGGAAAGAGAATTATTGAGAAATTATGGTTCCGATCAATGAGTTCGAGACCTCTACATGTAACTCCCACGTCGACAGTGGATGGACGAAAGTCGTGTCTCGGAAGAAAAAACGGGCGGCGAATATAGTTGCTGCTTATGTGGAGGATGAATCGAACGGCACCGGTGTCGCTGAAGAGGGAGATGACAGCGTCGAAGAGATAGCGGCAAGGAATGAGAATCTGAAGCCGGAGGAAACTAAAAAGCTGAAACCCAAGAAGGAGAAGGAGAAGGAGAAGGAGAAGGAGAAGGAGAAGGAGAAGGAGAAGGAGAAGGAGAAGGAGAAGGAGAAGGAGAAGGAGAAGGAGAAGGAGAAGGAGGAGGAGGAGGAGGAGGAGAAGAAGGTGTCTTTGGCGGAAGCTGCGGCAAAGATCAATCTTCCACATCTTACGGTTTACCTCGTCAAAATATCGGTCAGTGCATGCGATATGTGTAATTCGGCTGAATCCGTTTGTTTAATCACTGGAATTCTTATCTTAATCGATAAAACCTTTTTTGTTTGTTGTTGTTGTTGTTTTTGTAGGAAATGTATCCGATGCTGCCAGAGTGGCAGCTAATAAAATTTGTCGACTACTTTGGGATAGCCTTTTGCGATGTCCCATTTTCATGGCCGGAGATGTTCAACAATCCTCCCTTGTTCAAGCTCATCGATGTGATCGATGTGAGCTCATTATCTTTTTCTTACATTTTTTTACGAATCAAATATTTCTAGGTTTGTTTCATGAAGCTCATTTATCTTCTTCTTTATTTTTTCTTGTATAAACAGGTTCCTTTATCTCATATTCCTGAATCTGTCTACAAAATATCAGTCGATTGGATCCAACGTCAGAAGTTAAACACACTCTGTGGCTTTATATGGTGGGCGCTTAATAAAATTAACGGTTGTTTGACAGAACTTCGAGGAGGTCCACCTCATACTTATCGCAAATCTCAGGTCATTCTTTTTTGGAAAACCTTTGGTCTCAGTCTCACATCAATTTTATAGCTGTGTGAATATTGAATTGTTACCTTTGTTTGACTAGCTCCATTATGATCTGTTTGTTTTACGATTAGGTGTCGTTATTTGTTACCTCAGCGATGGTATTGCGTGGGCAACCAAGTGCTTTGGCTCGTGTATTGCCGCCAATGAGGTCCAAGTATAGTAGGTACCGAGTACCAGACCTGCTTCCGGTTACAGTTTGGATGATAGCTCAGGTTCCTTGTGTGATCTATTTTGTCAACTCTTTTCTTTTCTCTCTGTGATCTGAAAGTTATTGAGCTGTGTAAAATTTGGACAGGCCTCCCGAGGTGATTTATTCATGGCCTTGTTTACATGGGCGGATACCTTGTTACCAGCAGTCGATACCAACCCTCGCTCACGGGATCTCATCCTGCAGCTGGTTGAGAAGTGAGTAAAAAAAGAGTATTCTTGCGTGGTCTCTTTTTGCTGTATATATACAATCATCTTGATCTTCTTTGTGCAATTTTCTTATCATCAGTATTTTGTCGCAACCAAATGCTCGGACCATACTTGTAGAGAGAGCTGTCTTTGAGGATCATGGAGTGATTCCACCTTTTTCATTTGAGAGCTTGTTGCGGCTTACGTTCCCTGACTCATCCGCAAGAGTAAAGGTAAGCACTATACTAGTATTAATGGAACTTATAAAACAAAACCTTGTTACATTTGTCAGATTCTGATCACAAGCATGGTCTCTGTATGCACACAGGCTACAGCGAGGTTTGAGGCTATTTATCCCTTGTTGAAGGAATTGGCTCTTGCCGGTACACCAGGAGGCGAGGCTATGAAAAAAGGCGCTCGACAGATATTCATTTTTTCTTTGAGATTAGCTGGGGAAGGTATTAGTAACAATCAAAACCTTGAGTCCTTTCTCTCTTCTCCAAATAGAGTTCTAATGTGTTGCCATTGTTACAGCAAATCCTGTTTTAGCCAAGGAAGCTACATCAATCGCTATCTGGGCTCTGACCGAAAACATAGTTTGCTGCAATCACTGGGACAATCTCTACGAGAATAATCTAAAAGCTAGTGTTGCTCTTCTTAAAAAGCTTGTAGACGAATGGAAGGATCATTCTCGCAAACTATCATCATCTCGGAGTAATACTCTAACTCTCAATCAAACTATGAAGAGCTTCAGGCTAAAAGTAATGGCTCTTTACTCTTCTAAGCCAACTAATTTTTTTCCCTCCATATTAAGTTGTGATTTGATCTAAGACCTTACATATGTGATGTTCTTAGAACGAAAAAGCTATTAATGAAGGAGGAGCCAATGCTTCTCTTTACAAAGAAGCTGACGAGTCATGCAAAGTGATCTTGGGAAGACTTTCCTGGAAAAGTACAGCCATTACTGCTTTGGTTCTAGCTGCTGTGGTTGTGGTTCTAGCTGCAGTTGTTCTATCTTTCAAACCGGAGGCTACAACCGTGCTGAAGAAGCTGCTGGACTCGTGGATGTGCACCTATACTTCAATGCGATCACCACAGCTTTGTATATAATTAAGAAAGAAAAATCATTGTCCTTACTTTTCTTTTGCTAGAAATTTGTGAATACATTTGCTTATTTTTTTTAGGAACCTGTGAATATACATATTTATGTTTTTGAACAAAAAACCGGCGTATCAGGCGGCGAATGGTGGCGTTGTTACCTTTGATGACGAGATAGCGGCGAGGGATAAGAATCTCAAGGCGGAGGAAACTTAAAAGCTGAAGCGGCGGCAAAGATCAGTCTTTCACATCTTAAGGAAGTGTCTTTGGCCGAAGCTGCGGCAAAGGTCAGTGCATGCGATATGTGTAATTCGGCTCAATCCGTTAAAAAAATTAGTTCTCATTTATTTATTTTATATTATAATTAATATAGTTGAAATATATAAATATTGTTTTTGAATTGTTGTATTTGTTACCTAAATGTGTAGAAGTGTTATAATGTAAATATTGGCAAGCATTTATAATCATGGACTATTATAATAAATTGATATTATTTTGTATCTAAAAAATTTACTCCGGTACACTACGACTCGATTTTTTTAAAATTTAAAACTTTAAATTTTAAGTTATTTTGTTTTGTTAATATTGTTTGGTTTGTTTAGTGTTAAAGATTATATAATTATATTTTTATTTTAATTCTATGATTTCATCGGTGGCATATTGTCCTGTACTAATAATGACCCAAACTCATCCCACCATATAACCTCTTCTCGTGAAATTAAACATCATTTTATTATATTTTCTTCATCCATTGAGTAATATATGTCGTTTTTAAAATTTTGAATCACATCATATGCATAAAAATCTATTATTTTATTAAATATATGTATTTTATATAAATTCAAAATTAATTAAATATAAGATCACATAAAATTGAAAGAAGAATCATATATTAATGTTTAATATATTCATGTATATATTCATATATCTGATAATCATAATAATCCAGATATTTCTGAGATAATCTTGAAGGTGGATGATAATTTAGTTTTTTGTTGATAATCAAGAGATATTTATGATAATTTGATCCCATTTCTGATAATCAATATAGAAGAATGTGTTAGTTGACATTAGCATGTTTTGGTAACGATGGAGGTGAGGATAAAGAAATTTGGCGAGCAAATAGCCAATGGTGAAAACTAGTTTGTTTTTTTCATAAAAGGTCAATGACTTCTAAACAAAATTATGAGTCTGGACTTATCCATCCATTTCGCTATCTTGGAAGTGTGTTAAACATCATCATCCATCCATTTCGCTATCTTGGAAGTAAGTCTTAAACGCGTTTTCTGTCTTGCAGTTGTGAGACATAATTCTATGGACTATGATCATCAACGTAGGGAACCTAGAAGCAAAATTACTATCCAATCCTTCTGGATACGTTCCCCAAAGACCTTGAGACACCAAAAAGTTTCAAAGACCATGAGAGACCAAAACTTTACTTCCTAAACTCAAGAAAATACTGATCGTTTAGGTTTGAGGACAAACCTGGACTTCTGGAGGAAGTTCTCTGTGATGACTAATTGAATTTCTGATAAACCGCAATAAGCTCTGTAGGCTGGAATAGTTGTATGTAGTCACTTGATTGAATTGCCATCCTTGTCTATTTCACCCTTCCTTAACCTGATCCTCTGTTGATCCAGTGACTGAAACCCCAACTGTTGATGCAACTTCAGGTGGATGCAACCCTCTAATCCATTTCATGCCTAAGAATAAACAGAACAGGAGATGCTGCAATTAAAAACGTCGGTCGCACTAATGCTGCAAATAAAAACCAACACATTAGAAATTGTAAATAAGAAACCACATTAGAAAGTTCTCTACAATGACTAAAAACATGAAAAAATAAGATTTCGTCCTTAAAATCCACGAAACTATTCAAAGTGGACAACCCTAATTACATGTTAATCGCTTAGCGTGATATGAAAGTTGATCATTAAGGCCTAAATTTATCGACTTCATTATATAGATAAAGACTGAAATTCTCGTTAACCTTCGAATGATGACTTTACAACTGTTTATATAGAGCTTGAGACTAACAAACTATACAACCAGAGCCGTGACTACTTGAATAATAATAATAAAAAAAAAGACATTTGCCTTAGGCCACATTGGGTTTTAAAAATTTAGAGGCCACATTAATAGATAATCTTCTTAGGTTAGTTAATCAAAATTCAATTTAAAATAGTAAAATTCATCTTATCAAAATTTGATCTTCAATATCTCTAACATTTAACATTCTTTTTTCTTGTTTAGTTGTATTTTAGTCTCATATATTTTTTAGACTTTTATTTTTGCTTATTTAGTATACATAATTAATTATTAAACACAAATAAATTAAATTTTTTGCCTAAGGGCATCATCAATCGCACAACTGATCTTAAAGTAATTATAATAATAAACAAATGAAGTAATAATATTATAATGAGATAAGAGAGAGAAAGAGAGAAATATATATATATATATAAGTCAAGATCAATGCTCAATACCAGATCTTGCTCAAGACCGTTTCTCCCCATGTTCCTCTACTATTTGAATTTTTTCTATTTTTTTATACCCAAGATCAGTGTAAAAGTTGCTGCATTGAGGATGGTCTAAGGCCTCTAAGACTCTAGGCACGGCAGTGTATACAACCAACAATAACTAATCGTTATATATGTATATACACTTTATAGTGAAAATGTTTGAAAATTCAAGTTATTATGAGATATTTGAATTGGTTTAGTTCTTCGTTATGTATCGTAGGTTTGGATTTGGGCTCATTAACTTTTTAATCTTCTCATTTAAAATCCACAAAAAACTTTGGGCTGTGTTTGGGTTGGGCTCATTCAAAGTCCATTAATAACTTTTTTCATTTTTAGCACAAGAAAAAGCTATGCTCAACAAAAAGCACCGCCTAGCTTCTCTAGAACCTCTCCATCGTTTCTCAATCCTTGTCTAGAACCCTAATTTTCACAATCACAGCTACGTAACCAAAAAATGGCAGCCGCCGCACCACCACCGCCACCAACAGCAGCACCAGAACCAAACATGGTACCACCACTAACTTCACCAATCGGCCACCCAATCTTCTCCCGGATCCGTCTCGCAACACCGTCTGATGTCCCATTCATCCACAAACTAATCCACCAAATGGCCGTCTTCGAACGCCTCACACATCTCTTCTCCGCCACCGAATCAGGTCTCACTTCAACACTCTTCACCTCTCGTCCTTTCCAGTCATTCACCGTCTTCCTCTTAGAAGTCTCTCGTTCTCCATTTCCAACAACCATCACTTCACCATCTCCCGATTTCACACCGTTTCTCAAAACGCATAACTTAGATCTCCCGATTGAGGATCCGGAGAGTTACAATTTCTCGCCGGATATGTTAAACGACGTCGTTGTTGCTGGGTTTGTTCTGTTTTTCCCGAATTACTCGAGTTTTTTGTCGAAGCCTGGTTTTTACATTGAGGATATCTTCGTGAGAGAGCCTTATAGGAGGAAAGGGTTTGGTAGTATGTTGTTGACTGCTGTGACGAAACAAGCGGTGAAGATGGGTTATGGAAGAGTGGAATGGGTTGTTCTTGATTGGAATGTGAATGCTATCAAGTTTTATGAGCAGATGGGTGCTCAGATTTTGCAGGAGTGGAGAGTTTGTAGACTTACTGGTGATGCTCTTGAAGCTTTTGATCAGGTAAACATCTAGAGATTGATGTTTTGGTGGCTGAGAGTTATCGAATCGAATCACTTCCTCTTGCTTTAAGCTTTAAAGTTTGTGTTTTTGTTTTGTTCTCTTGTTCGTACTGTTATGGAAGTGTTGGCATTGATGATGATGATGAATTCTCTGTGCTTACTTACTGGATTCTGAATGAGAACAAACCCTTTTGTTGAATGTATGAAATGTTTCAAGGTTTTAAAGTAGAGTTGTGTAATTGTGATTCCTCGCCGTGTTTGCTTTACTGTAGTATCTGGTGTAGAATTGGAGGTTTGTCATTAGTGATCCTAGAATACATATAGTGGAAACAGATAATTGTTCAGTGTGTTTCTGCTTTTGGGGTAAAAAATACATCAAATGTTGTTAGTTTGGCCAATTTGGTATAGTTGAAAAGTTTGATGTATGCAATACGATTACTTTGGCACATATGCAGGTTGGGAATTGCCATATTAACATACATAGGGAAACTATCTCTATCTCTTTTAACTTTCTAGTTGACGCAATCGCCTTTGTCTACGGCTAAATTTGAGGCGAAAACGTTAAGCTGAGAAGTGTGAAACGTAGTCGTTGCTTCCAAAACGCACCAACTCTCTCGTTTCATATTAATCTATTTTTTCGGGATCATATGGCCCAAATCCATAAGGAAAAGGCCCACTTATTATATTAAAGGCCCAAATCCCAACTCTAGTTTCCCTTGATTTAGCAAAAAAGTGTAGCATATGAAATTTTTTTCTCCAAAGACACATAAATTTATGTTATTAATAAATTTATACTACCATGGAATAAGAAGCAAATCTGCAAAAGTAGAAAGAATTTACAATTTTTTTTTTCTTTTAACTCATCAGCAATATATTCTCAAATTTTGTGCTACTATAATTTACTTACTCTTGTCTTATTTACTTAAGTAAGAATAAATTTTTATAATTATCTTATCTATGTAATTGATTAAAAGATCTTATAGTAGACTATTCCACAAAACGTGAATCATCATAGTGTTGTTAGTTTGTTACCCATTAGTTTAGCGACAACTGTCCTTTCACATCCTTATAATTCTCTTCCCTCCGATCATCTCGGAAAAACTTTGTATCAACACCAAACATAAAAATACTAATGGAGTTTCCACACCACCACCAGCATCAACGTCACCACCAACGCGACGACGGCGAAGACGATCGTCACTCCTTCGGGCAACCACCGCCACGCGTTGATGCTCCGCCACAACCTCATGGCCTTTACCAGTCACAACCTCATTTTGATCCCTACGCGCCTACTCAATCTCCGGCGCCTTACAGATCAGAACCTCAATTCGAACCCCACGCGCCTCCGCCTTATCGATCAGAGCCTTACTTTGAAGCTCCGGCACCACCGCCTGCGTTTGGTCATGTGAGTCATGTCGATCATCACTCCTCCAACGAATCCTACCCACCGGAACACCACCGTTACGGAGGTTATCCACCGCCGTATAATTCGACACTGGAAAGCCACGGAGGTCACACTGGTGTCACGCACGTGGCTCACCATAGCTCAAATCAGCCCCAATCGTCTCCTGGTATCTACCACCGCCCTGATGAGAATCGTGTACCTGATAATCTTGCCGGACTCGCCGGAAGGGCGACGGTGAAGGTGTACTCTAAGGCTGAGCCTAACTATTATATGACGATCAGAGATGGTAAGGTTATCCTCGCTCCAGCCGATCCATCTGATGAAGCACAGGTTTGATCCAATGAACCATTGGCTTGTTGATGTGTTGATTTATATGCATCTCAATTTGTTCACTTATTTGAGAATCTGAGTAATTTATGGTTATGCATAGCTTTTGAAATTGTCTTGTGTTGGAAGATTGAATCTTGTTGATTATGATTTAGAATGAAGAAACACGTTTCAATTGTTATCTACTCTGCTATTCTAGAATTTAGTTTTGTGGTTCAATTTCTCAGATCCTCTTGTTACGTTCATGTTTTGGCTTTGCATACAAAACCAGGATCATGTTGTATATATAGGCTATGATCCTGATGCTTCCATTGATTGATTATGTTAAAGTAGGACATTTTATTGTTTGATATCATAGTTTGTTGATCCTGGCATTACTGATTTTGATGTATGTATTATCATACTCATGAAATGGTTTTGGATTCGCAGCATTGGTACAAAGACGAGAAATACAGCACTAAAGTGAAGGACGCAGACGGTCATCCTTGTTTTGCTCTTGTAAACAAGGCTACTGGTGAAGCAATGAAGCATTCTGTGGGAGCTACCCATCCCGTAAGCTTTTCTTTCTTAGACCATGTCATTTTTGTCCTGTGACTTTCATTATTTTCAGTGTGACATCTCAGCCTTATCTAAATGTTAGTTTTCATAACCTTCAACGTGTCCTGAAAAAAGTTATTCATCATGTTATGAAAATTCTACATCACGACATTAGTCACCAACTAGGGACTTTAAAATAGGAAGAAAGGAAACAGAGAGGAGCATCAAGAGTTATGGGAATAGTTTTGGGGCTTGGAAAGTTTAGGGTCTCTAGAAGAAACTCTAACTACAGTCTGCTAGTTTAGTTCTGTGCTTCTGCAGTGTGTTTTTTCAATAGGCTCGATGTGCTTAAGCAATATTTTATTGGGTATTGCAGGTGCATCTGACTCGATATGATCCTGATAAGCTTGACGAGTCTGTACTATGGACAGAGAGTAAGGATTTGGGCGATGGATATCGCACAATAAGGATGGTAAACAATACAAGGCTAAACGTGGATGCATATCATGGTGACAGCAAATCAGGTGGTGTCCGTGATGGCACGACTATTGTCCTCTGGGACTGGAACAAAGGCGACAACCAGCGCTGGAAGATCTTTCCTTTTTGTAAGCTTTTCCTAACCGTTTCTGCTTAATTTTTAAATTGTTTTTCTTGCATCAAACTAGAGAGTAAAGACCATGAGGTAAACTCTGAAATGGAAATGGTCAAAACCAGAGCTAGAACTCTAATGAGCTAATGTATCGATGAATCTGACATTGTGGTTCGGTTCGATTAACTCCAAGAGTGTTAACTGATATGTTGAACCAGATAATTAACCTCTGTTTAACTGAATTTCGTAAAAATGCAGGAAAATTGGCGTCTGGAGTGGTAAAAAGTTGTTTTGTGTGTGTGTTTTATGAATAAGAAAGAAACAAAACTCAGATTTGTTCATTGTTTGTGTCTTTGTAAAGACTTGATGGCATCTGTAATATATATCTTACTTGTATTCCAAAGTTTGCGTTTTTACAGATACATACACTTGTGTACATGTGGTTTATAATTTTTTTTCTAATCTATTTTGAGATTTTTCATCTTCGTTTTGTTCATAAATTTCAAGAGTTGTAGTGAAAGGAAGAACAAACTCTCTGATAAATTTGTTAGAAACAATCTCTTAAATTTAATTAGAAATTAAATGGCTGATATATTGGATTTGTAGTTGTTAGAAACGTAATGCGTCTGTCTTCTTCTTTATTCCTTTTTTTTTTTTTAAATTGTGAATAAGATAATTCACAGATTTTTATCGAATTATGTTGATTAGTTTATTTTAGTAGACTTCCGCGCACGTTTATTTGCATTTCTGTGATAGTTGTCTTTTCTTAAACTATGAAGGAGTATAATTTTTGCGTGGACTAAAAGTTAATTTAATATTTTTACAATATATTTTAGGATTGGATTCTTATAAAGTACTACAACAAAATATCGGAAATCTTCAACGTGGTTGAATTATGAAAATTTTTAATAGAGGATAAATTTATCGAAGATCATCATCATAAATGATTAACATATCATCTGTAATCAAATATTTTTTTTAACGAGATATGACAGACAACATTTTAGAATAAAATAAAAAAATCCTTGCATTTTCTATGTGTAATAATCCCTATCGCTACCAAGTCAACCATCAAAAAAAAAAAAGAAAGACACAACCATTAGCTAACGTAGACAAGACATTCAATTTCTTGGGAGCTCAATAATGGCATCATAAAGCTGAACCAATCAGTTTGATATTTGTGGCTGCGGAAAAGTGAGGTCCTTGCTGCATGAGTCAGACCATCACGGCACTTGCATCTACCAACACGTCCCAACGCAACCATTTATGACACACTCAAGTCTTTTTTTTTGTGCCGACATAAAAACTTGGTTATGGTAAAGATTTTTTGTTGTTATAGGTTTTGATGGTAAAAGTGGGAGAAATTAGTGTCGACAAAAAAGAAAGTGGGAGAAATTAGTAAAAAGATGAATAAAATGGATCACAGAAATGGGATGGAGATTATATAAGAATAAAATTTGATTCTATTCACCATTTGTTAAAGAAAAATTATAATTCAACTTTTTCAAGCAAAATTAGTTATAATTTTTGTTCTTGTGGTTCCACTACTATAAATAATGAAATTTCATCAAAATAGTTTATTCCATCTGTTTCTCTAATTGTACAACCATTTGGATCAGATTGATTATTTTTCAGTTCCAAATGTCAAATCATTTTAAGTGATAGTTTAATGGAGCTTGGCTTAGCTACTCAACGACACATAGTTTAGACTAGATTATCATTTATCAAGGTTTGGTGATGATCAAAACAATAGAACATTGATTTGGTTAGACCGACTCAAACTGACAGAACATAGAAATTAACGTTTATTCTTCAATCATACGATAACATCTCCCATGTATCTTCGCCATGCATGTTTTCCCTTCACTTCATTGGCCTAGCCGATCCTTCAACATTGTCTGATCTCACATCAGGCAATTCAACGGCCACGATCGGCACTTCGTTTACATCGGTTTTATTTGCAAGTTGGTTCTCTGTTGGCAAATCCGTTTTCGTGGAACCTTGATACATCATGTATAGTATCATCTGAGCTACACCGAACAGAAAACCGAGAATGTTTGGCATCTGAAGGCAAAGCAATATATAGACTTATTAGTAAAATAATTAGTTAAAATGTTAAAAGATGAATGTGAAAATGTAAAATTAATATTACAGCGATGAACTTGTCTTTGATAAGAAGTCCATAAAAGAACCACATGACGGCGTTAAGAGTGAGAGACAAGGAGAGAAGAAACGGCATGTACTCCACACTTTTTGTCTTTATAACCTTCCTCTGCACACATTACACATCGTTTGTCAAATTCCAATTCATTATAAAAACAGCATGATGTTTGAAGAAAAGCTGATGGATTATTACCATGACGCTTAAGGGGGAAGCAAAGACGGCGAGACTGTAAGCAGCACAAACCCATCCAACGGTCGAGACACGGTGTTGTTTTGGAACCAAAAGATTGACTAGAAGAATTAAGAGACCAAGTCCACCGATGTTGCATATCACTATCAACTTCAACGTGAATATCTGCCAAGTTTACATCCAGATTAGTGTAGATATAACAATCAAGATTTTTGAAACTAGAGGTGCACATACTAAAAATAGAAATATGTATTTATAGGAACCTTGGCCTCTCTTGGTGCGTAAATGATATAGAGAAACAGGTAGGAGATTTCAATGAAACATCCAAAGGTGTTTATACTAATGATGAGATAAGCATGTGTCTTCATTATTCCGTAGTAGAGGAGAAGAGTTGCACTTGCTAGTGCACATATGTACGGTATCGACTGAAACCCTTTTGATGATTTCTTCTTGTATATCCCATAAAACGTTGGCCTAAAATATATATGTTTAATCAAATACTTACATATCAATCGTTTAATATATAGTATTTCGACTCTTAGAAAATTAGACACTTACACTGGTGACAAGAACACCCCAAAAGACACAATGTTGCCTGAAAACAAAAGCCAGATCGTCAATATTAGTGTCATGAGCTTCTTTATATTAGGGTATAAATGTCAAGTAATATATTCTAAAGAACATAACTGAAAAGCATAGAAAAATAAAGGAAATAAATTACCTAAGAGACCAAAGAGAAAAGCAAGTTCATGAACCTTGAGGAACATCTTTCACTTTTCTCTCTTTCTCTCGGTCTCTTGCTAGAGTTGCTAGTTTAAGAATGCTTTGATTTTAGTTTCTTCATGCAAACCTCCATTTTATATTAGCTTTGGAAAAAAGTGAGTCATTCTTAATTATAAATCCTTAAACCAAAAGAAAAGTGAGTCATTCTTGCATTTTCAATTTTGTCCCCTATTTAATTTTCTTTCTTTCTCTTTTTAAACAAAAAAACAAAAGTTTGGTTCAATTTTTCTTGGATTCTGTTATTTTGTACAATACTATAATGTATCACTCAGTAGCACAGGTAACTTTTGCATGGCTGACTGGCTGTAAATTGCTGGTGACTTCTTCAGTTTGCCAACCAGCAAATTCTTTAGTTTCTCGTTTTATTAAACCAATCTTAATGCACATTTAATACTTGTTCTGATCAAGGAAACCATAACTTCGAATTTCTTTCTTGTTTTTGTATGTCTTTTTTTTTTTAAGTGATGAGTTCCTTTCATTTAAAATCAATCTCGATATTAAGAACATGGGGTGTAGTCGATGGTTTTAGGCCTGAAAATGTGGAACAGTGATTTTTGACAATTTGCGCTGAAGTAAATTTTGCAATGTCGTCTCCAAGTTACTCATTATTTTGCAAATATAACATGTGGAGACAATTTGTTGCAAGAACGTTGCTAATGTGAGTTTTAGGATGAGATCATTTGTCTCAGCTTTGTGATTTTTTTAGACATATCATTTTCATTTCTTCACAAGTTTTATCGGACAAGTAAGCTATTTACCTCTCAACCTGAGCCTGGTCATTATTGGAAATTCACTAAACTAAAACATCTCCCACAAAATGTAATGCAAAATGTATGAAATCTGTGTGAACCCTAAAACTTGTGGAGCAGTTTAGAGATTTAGTGACATTTAACTTAATAAATAATCAGGTGATTGGAAGGTCTTGTCATTAGGTATTGTTCCTAATTGTTAGGCCTTCTAAATCCGACAAAGTATTTTTGCATTAGGCTAAAAATTTCTTAAAGTCGTATCATCTCAGTCAATTATAATTCAATTAAGACATCATATAACTTAAGTAGCAACCCCCTGAATCTGGTTCAATTTTTGTGTATATAGCCAAATCAATTAAATTTATTTATTTAGATAAAACATTTATCGTCTGCTCTTATACTCATCACCCATCAGTGATGGGTCATCACCCTAATGGCCTAATTATATGACATTGTGTAACTTATAACAACCTTCCATTACTAGTGTTAAGACAACAAATGTGATAACTGATAAGATTATTTGCTTGCACATATCACCAATGAGATGATTTGTGAACATGTTAATGAATTAAGTATTTTTATTAATAAAGGTAAAAATAAATGAAAACTATTAGCATCAAATTATGTAGGTGAGATGGAGGCATGCATGTGTTTGTTAGGCACATACCTGAGGCCTTGCTTGTTTGGTCTATTTCTTTGTTAGATTTTTAATTTGGTAATGAACAAGACGCACGCTTTTACTTCTTGAGGACATAAACCATTCCCTTAACATATCTTCTAATTAGATGATTCAAAAAGAATCTTTACTTTTGTCCCCAAAAAAAAAAATCTTTATTATTATGACAACCACACGTTTATACATTTAGTTAAAACTGATTAAGTTTGCGTTGATTATTATTTTCTCGACTATTTGCTAACTGTAGTAAGAAAATAAAATCAATATGATTTATGAACCATGGAGCTTTATGAAGAATTCTGAACATTTAAGCTGTTTGATCACTCAAGAGGATACATATAAGTTTGTACCAAACATAAAAAAAAATGCTTCACATTACTGGATTCTTCAGTGCTAGAGGCAGTCTCTAGCTTCCTTGGTCTCTTATCTTCGCGTACTTCTTAATCATTTCGATCCAATTGAAGATATTACATTGATACTCCAAGAAATTGAGCAAAACTTGGATACTTTGGCTCCCATCCTATTTCAGCTCGTGTCTTAGAGTTGTTCAGTTTCTTCCCTAAAGGACCACTGGTGCCTACAAAAGCCACAGTTGTCAGACTTTATGAAGTTTAAGGATTTTCAAGACGAGCACATGTCAATATTTGATGAAACTTACTCGTGAAACCTTCAAACTTTTTATCATATTTTCCACTTTGATCCATCAGGTCCACCACCTCTTGCCTGAGCAGAATGTGAGGTCAAACATGTGAAGTGTCGAATGTTTGAAACCTCAAAATAAAGCAACATTACCTTGACAATGGATGGTTGTCACAGCCCAAGAAAATCCGACCACCGGGTTTCTTTTTCATGATTGCAACTGCCAGCGACGCTGCATCCTGTTCAGAAACACATTACAGAACCTGATAAGAGACTAATGTATAGTATATAGCCAATGCTAGAGAATGAGTTTATCTTATATGACATCTGCAGACTAATGAATGTGTTATGAGAATGAGCAAATCACAAATATACCTCATAGTGTATGAGATTCAGGATATGATCAGGACGAGCATCTACTGTACCCTTACTCAACCAGTATGTATGTGCACCTCTAGTCTCTGTGTATACAAAGTTCAGGAGAAACATAATGCTCAAACTGCTAGAGACCAAAACAAACCCTTTCAATATTTGCTCATTCAGTTTCAATATATCGAAATCCAAAAGGATATGTAAAGCCCTGCCAATCTAAGGACAGTCCCTCCACATTCCAACACCACTTTTTCAGCCTTTAAAAGCACATCAGTTCTTGGACTCTTTCCCAGTGGCACCACTGGAGAATCCTGCAGTGAAGGGTGATAAAGTCAAGAAATTCTTAAAGAGTAGCACATATATATTCACAATGAACAACAAGTTGCAGTACGGTCTAGAATATTGTATACTTGATTTTCATAGATTTCAAATGATGAGAGACTGTTTTCCCCAAATTACATCAACAAATCCAACTCTTTTGATGTTATTGTGTTTAACCACTTTGAAAAGAACACTAAAATGTGATGTTAAAGTCTAAAGTTAGGAATTTTAGGATGGAGAAAACTGAAAGGAAAGTATGTTTTCAGGTGCTGAGACAAACCTCATTGCATTCTCCGTTATCAAAACAATCATAAGGTGCAGAACTAGATGTGAATAAGAATGATCCTTCGCCGTTCCAGTTTGATGCTGCATTCCTGATCCGTTTGTAAACACAAACACACACACATATTAAACAGTTGAATCAAGGCAATTTTTTTACCGCTGTCACATAGGATGAACTAAAAAGGACAAATTGACGTTTAGCTTCATTTTTCTTCTTTAATAAAGTCAACCGCACATTATTCCACATTTCTGGCATTCACTAGCAGAACATAATGCATAAATTGATTTTCTAGTTATTAGAACATGTGATTTTTTGTAATTAATCACCTGACTTCACCAGCATAATCAGCGCTTTGTGATGGAGGAGCACAAAAGATCACATAGGAGAACTTGCCCCCATATTCGGTTCCTTTAAGAGATGGTTTGATGCCCAACTTCTCCAACTCATCATGATGATTTGCTGTTACTGTCTGCCCAAAGATTTGACACTCTGGATGTTCCTGCTCCACATATAAAGCTCCAACTCTAACTTCCATATTGTGAAAACATGACTTTTACTATAAACGTTGTGAAGAAAAAGAACTAGTCACTATCCACACACAACATATTGATAAACACTCAAGACACATAAAACAGGGATTTACAGGACACATCATAAACGTTTTTGTTTTCATAATACAGAAACAACATATCTATCGAATTAAGGTCAGTCCCTGTAGGAGACAATGATGTATGGGACAATACAACAGAGAAATTATACCTGTCTCCATTGTTCTGCAACTAAGCGTCCAAGAACACCCGGTCCAACAATCAGCAAATCGTTTGCCCCAATTGAAACATGAGACTGGACCTTCAAGCCATCACTGGTCTCACCTTCATACAAAAAAAATCAAAGCAGGGCACAAATAACATAAAAAGGGGTCACTACTTGGAGAAGCAAAATCACAAAATCTGAATTTTCCACATTCTTAGCTTCCTAATCCATGCAATCACAAAATCTTAATCAGTGTACAGCTGTAATTAACTCACTAAGTATCCAAAATTAACATCGAATTATCCAAAAAGTCAACGAGAGGTCAGCAACAGTACACTAATCCTTAAAGAAAAACTACATGGAAGAAGCAGAGAGTGAGGATACCAATGGTGGAGGAAGAAGAGGCTTGAATAGGAGTCGCCATTTTATAAGACGTTGATGGAAGAAAGAAGGAGACTTTGGGTTTATCCTCCTGACGTCTCAAAGCAAACTTAAGTGAAAATGAAGAAGATACTGAAGTCGATTGCTTGGAGAAATGATGGGTCGATAGAATTCTTGAATTGGTCGTCGGATATGAAATGCAAGAGATGAAACCCATCAAGAAAAAAGCAAAAAGCTTTGGTTTTTGACGACGGAGAAGATTGAGTTGGCGTGGCGAAAGAGGTGAGATTCTCCGTGAGACTTTGGTGATGGGTGCTTCTGGTGTGTTTTAACCAATGGCGTATTTACACGTCACGAAATCCAATGTTGTAGAATATTGGTCATTTTTTCTTTTCATATTCTAAGTTTAGAGGAAACAAAAGGAATGAGATTTGCTATTAATATTAGGATTCGATAGTTTTACAGTTTACACACTCTTCTGGTCTACTAAGAATCTCTTCACATGAGCTCAGCTTCTTCGGTGTCTCCATCAACATCTTCAACATCGTTCTCGTCATTCTCATCAGTTGCATCTGGGTCTATTCCCTGCAATAATCACCCCAATTTTTGTAATGAACTAAAGATCATAGAAGTCGAAGCAACCAAAGAAAAAAACGATTGAAATTTAGGTTGACAAACCTTCATCTGTTTCTCCAAGCGATCTAGACCCTTTTTGGCTGCCTCATTCTGTGGATTTATTCTGCATTTACATTATTTACACTCTGTTATATAGTTTCTTGATTTGCTTAGAAACAACGAGAACTATAGGCACTACTGGTTTAGAACTTCATAGACCTTAATGCAGCTTGATAGTGTGATAAAGAATCTTGTAGCATATTTGTTGCAGCAAACACTTGAGCTAGCTTGACATGGAGAGAATCATCAGCCCAGTCTTTGAGATATCGTTCAAGTAGTGATACAGCATCTCCATTCCTCCCTTCCATTAGATGAAGCTCAGCCAGAGCTAAGGCAGCTCCAAGGTACCCAGGTTCAAGCCTCAGACCTGACTCGTAGAATTTTTTTGCCTGTTATAAAACCATATCATTATACTGTTACACCAGAAATTTCTATCCATATTGAAAAGATCACAAGTCACAAGCTCTGAATAGTTTCTCAGATTTGGTATACATTATGCTTATAAAAATTGAGATTTGAACAGTTAATTTCTTAAGGAACTTTCCCAGTTTCAATATTTAGTAATATATGCAACTAACTCCCTAAAGCTTTTGCCGTTTCTGCTTAAGATGTAGAAAAGTCTGGGTAGAATATTGATATAATGAAAATTGCCAAAATCCATGGAAGCATAACAAAGCTGAATGTTTGTACCTTTTCCCTGCCACTTGATGTACTAGCATGAACATCACCAACTAATTTCAGAGCCTTTGCGGATTGAGGCATTGCATTCATTGCTTCTCTGGCGGTATACAATGCTTCCTTGGTTTTACCAAATGCAAGATAAGAATGGACTAAGCCTGAAATGACCTCAATAGTGCAAGTTAATTCACACTCCAACCTTTTCATGATTGTTAAAGGTTTATACCACCAAAACAGTACAACAGTGGAAGTGTATATCAGATTTTTTTCCCTCGTGAACCAGACCTTGATATGAACGAAGATCGGACCTCAAATTCTGGGCAGCCCTGAAGGCGATCGCTGCAGCTTCTGGTCGTTTTGCTTGTAAAAGAAGATTTCCCTGATATATTAAAACTTAGTGGATATATATGCAAAATTATTATAAATAAATAAACTCCTCGTTAAACTAGCTTACCTTCATTATGTAGCCGGGTATGTGCCTCTCGTCTACCCTGATACTCTGATTGCATAGTGAATATCATGAGCTATCACACAAAGATTTTGGCACAAAAATTTAGTGTCAGAAAAAAGCTAACCTTCTCAGCATAAGATAATGCCGTCCTTGCATCTTTCCTTTCCCATAGCACAGACAAAGCAACAAATACTTCTGCTCTGGTATGATCAATGCTTAATAAATCGTGGACGAGCTTGTTTAGCCTGGAATAATCACACTTTATCTGAAGCAGCATTGCATACTCATCCATACTGGTTGTTGTGTAAGGATCAATTGACCGAACCTACAAAAGCATTTAGATGATTATGCATGATTTTTAAAGTAGTTGAGAGTTGAGACAAAGATATCGATGCGGTGACTACCTTCTCAAATCTCATTATGGCCTCATCATTTTTCCCGATAATGGCTTCAACCTATACAAATGAAATAAATGTCGATCAGCGTCAGTCATGATTAAATGAAAAATCAGGTGAAATTCTGTTTGCATCGTAGTTGATGCCACCCCTAACCTTTGCTGTCTCAGTCAACAAGTGTACATTATTTGGAAATCGTTGTAAGAGTTCAGCAAAGAGTTCCAGCGCCCCTGAGTAAACAAAAAAACATTACACCCTATCCGGTAAGACATCAGATTGTAGAATCTCCGCAAATTAAATGCAAGAACTGAAATCTACAGGGTTAGACAAAAAGAACTAAAAGTTTTATTTCATCTATTGTAGGCATAGGCATCCCACAAAGAAAAAGAGAGCTACCTTTGTAAGCATGCGAGGCAACACAACACTGGGCCTCTACATAACGCTGTGAAAACGAAGATAATTACCAAAAAAGACAAAGAAGAAAATAAATTTTATTGCCAGATATGCTACAACACGAAACCAATGAAACAGCCATCCAAGAAAAGGTATATAGAGTATTAGTTTCCTGGTAAAATAGTCGAGCTGATGCTAACACAAGAACGTAAAAGCAGTAGTTTGTTAGAGGGAATACTATCAAGACGATTTGAATCACTTTCCACTCATGAACAGCTTCTCCCTATGTATAAAATGTATAGTTCATCGGATTTATGAGAAAGTTCTTAAAACCATTATATATAGTCGTATTCGGGGGAACATAATAGATAAAATAAGACACTAACTCACTCACAATAATCAGCTTGGCCGCATAATTAATGAGTGTACTTTCAAACAGTTTTCAACGTTGTAAATACTGTTAAAGAGTAGGCTTACTTGCAACCAACGGGTAGGATCTATCTGATCGAGCGAAACCTTTGCACTTCTATTTGAAGTCTGAAATGAACAAACGACACAACAAATTACAAAGTAGTATGGATTTTACATGGAAAGGGTAACTGCAAAATGGGGAGAAAGAGGTGCAAAACACATTTAAAGAAGTGGTGAAAAATAAAAGCAAGTGGTAAAAGAAAACTCGTAGAAAGGGGCACCTGAGTAAAAGATGATATGATATCCTTTGCACTGACTCCCAGTTCAGCTAAACCTATAACGGCTTCGAGTACATAAGGACACTGCCTGCAGAGAATAAAGATTATATATATATATATATATATATATATATATATATATATATATATGCACTAAGTGTTTATATGCTAGGAAATGTAGGGAAAGAAAATGAAAAAAAACAGACCTTAAACACTCTTTATAAAAAGCAATAGCACCACGGTTGTATCCAGAATTTCGATGAAGCTTTGCCATCAGTATATTCATCTCTAAGCTCCTGGTCTTGACAGATTCCATCTGGCAAAGAAAGAACAAGCGCAAAAATAGATTATAGTTAAGCAAACCATGGCTTATCATCGCTTAATACCTACATGCAGTGTTGGAAGGAAAGAATCCAATTAGTTCACTTGTTTTGTGATATGGATTTGCATTGACGGCAGCAGGTCAACGCAATGCAATTCATATCACATTCAGGAATACCAAAACAATGCATTAATTACGGCCCAAAAATGTTTCACTGAATAAAATTACAGTTACTGAACTCTGGTTATAAAATAGAATAGCAAGATCTACACAAGTCATCCTATAGAAAACCAATCTATAATCTAAGAAGTAGAGAAATCCCTCGACAGCTCTTTTTCCGTCTCATACACATATTTTATTTTCTATATACCAATGTTTGTGGACCAACAAATCCAGAAGACAAAATAAATCTTGATAACCAGACAAACAGATAGCACTCTTACCTCAGCAATCGCAGCTTTTGTTTCATTAAGAGCAAAGTGAGATGAAGCAATCTTGAATCTCACCTAAGACGAAAGTTAGAAAAAGAAGACACACATGAAATTAAACCAAAGCACGTCATTTTCTGGAAACCAAAAGGATCAAGAAGAAACACAACATTAATTTACCTCGTTCTCATTAATAGCAGAAATGCTAGAGGCATTCACAGATGATCTTGTAGATAAAGATAATGAACTCCTCGAAATACCGGAGCTCTGCTTCGGAATCCTTGTGTAATGATGCAACGCTTGCTTGTATGTATGCTGACAAAAGGAAGGAATACAAATTCAGAATTTCGACAAGACTTCATATCTCTCCACCATAGTACTCCAGAGGAGAAGAATAAGCAATACAAATCTACAAATTTATCTTTGCTCACTCCATAAAGTTACATAACCATTTGGATTTTCATATAGTTCAGTCGTAGTTAAGATCCAATAATTTCTTCATAAAGTTCTAAATTTGAGGCACAACTAAACTTTCGAGAACTGAGTAACATTTCTTTCTCAGCAAAGGAGAAACATAAAAGAATTAAACTTTCGAGAACTTACAATAGCTCTCCGGTGTTCTCTCTGATGAAATAAAGCATCGCCCATTAGAATCTGAAAAAACAACACAGAAAGAATCTAACTTCAAATTAACGGACTCAGCTACTAAAATAGAAAATATCGACGGGAGAAAGAAGCTTAACCAAATTCTCCGCCTTGAGCTGAGGACTAGTTTCGGCGCTAACAGTCGAAGATGAAACGAGAAAGCAGCCCTGGATTTAGTTGCATATATAGAGATAATTTCATCAGTTCTTGCTGAAAACTAGGGATTTAGAAAAAGAGAGAATCAAAATGAGTTAAAAGATAGAGAAGTTACAAGCATTTCAGCAGAATCGTAGAGCCCATGCTCTATAAGAGTCGCGATCTGATCCTTTGGAACCTCCATTTGAGAGACAAAGAGAGTTCGTAGTTAGTGGCAATGGTGGAGTTTTTTTCTTCGGAGCAGCGATGAAGTAAAAAGATCCTCCTTCACGCTCGCTCTTCATTTTGAAACAAGAAATCTCTAACCGAACCGAACCGGAAATAACCGGTTATCCATCTGAAATCCATCTCGATTCATTAAAATCCGATTTCCTAGAGCCGTCTTCACCGAAACAAATATCTGGAGCCACCATCACAGTCTTCAACGGCGACTTCTTCGATCGCCGGAAGGTATTTTCTGATGAAACGCGGCGAGAAATTTGCAGAGAGAGCAATCTTAACTGCTTTACAGGGGAAATCGTGTCCGATATGCCTCGAAAATCTAACTGAGCGACGATCCGCCGCCGTGATAACGGCGTGCAAGCACGGATACTGTCTTGCTTGTATTCGGAAGTGGAGCGGCTTCAAGAGGAATTGTCCTCTCTGCAACACTCTTTTTGATTCCTGGTTTATCGTCAGTGATGTTGCTTCTAGAAAATGCCACAAGGAGCATTTACCGATTCTTCGTGATCGTGAGACTTTAACTTATCATCGGGATAATTCTTCCGGTCGCCGGAGGTTATCTCTCTCTCTCTATGAAGTTAAAAATTACTTCTTTATTATATTCACTTGCTTATCACTTAATTAGGATAATTCGAAGGTCGAGGGATGTTTTGGATAACTCTAGCTCAAGATCAAGGCCATTGCCATGGCGGAGATCATTTGGACGGCCAGGTTCAGTTCCTGATTCTATCATCTTCCAGCGAAAGCTTCAGTGGCGAGCTAGGTTGGTTTACTATTGATTCTAACTCTATAGCTTCAGTTGCAATCTGTTAGATTAGTTCTCCGTTGTTTCTAGTGTTGGCTCTAAATGCAGCATATACAATAAGCAATTACGAGCTGTTCGATTACATTCGAGGCGCTTGGAACTAGTAAGTTTCATTATACAATGTGTTATTCTATGTTTGATGTTTGTAGTATTGGAGTTACACTCTTAGATTATTGGATATATGCACATTGGAAGCCTTATATATATATACCTGCCTAGTTGTGTCATCTTTGATAATTGTAGAGTTTGGCGGTGAATGATCACACCAAAGCAAAGATAACTGAAAGAATTGAGCCATGGATTAGAAGAGAGCTTCAGGCAGTCCTTGGAGATCCTGATCCATCAATTATTGTTCATTTTGCGTCAGCTCTTTTCATCAAAAGGCTTGAGAGAGAGAATAATCGACAATCCGGGCAGACCGGGATGTTGGTGGAAGACGAAGTCTCCTCTCTCCGAAAATTCTTGTCTGATAAGGTGGATATATTTTGGCATGAACTAAGGTAAGATTTTTGTGCACTGGGTATTTTTCAAGTAGTTACAGGTTTAGTATAGTAGTACACAAACACATAGGCAACCTAAACCTAGTGACTTGTAAGTTTGAACAGATGATAGAGCTGATATCTGTTTGGTTTAGGTGTTTTTGTCATAGACTGTTTCTGATGAGAACGAAAACATTTTTCAGATGTTTCGCGGAGAGTATTCTCACGATGGAGACGTATGATGCAGTGGTTGAATACAATGAGGTGGCGTAATAGCAGTAAAAAAACAGGTAAAGAAACTTCTTGAGAGGTTAACTCTGTAAATTCTTGGGAGGTTAACTCTGTTTGTATAAAAAAACCGAATTAGGATATGTATTATGTGGGTTTGGTTTCACTAGGTAGAAATCTGTTTGCTTTGTTGGTTCTTTTTCTGAAGTCATATTAATTTTCATTATCTTGTATTCGCTTGCAGATAACCGAGCACTATGCTCTCGCCAAATGAAGCAAATGGACAGACTTACAACACGACTGTTAGTCTCTTGGAAGTTCAATAGTGGAAAGAGTGGACCAGGTAAGACACAAATCAAGAGTTAGAGAGTAGGTAGGAGGAAAATGTTGAGATGATGCAAGTTTAGGTGTGGGGTTAGTTTTGAGATAGCTATAGGTGATTTCTCAAATAGCTGACACTTAGTCTCTCTACTTCCATAATGTACGTCTCTTCTATGCCAAAAATTTTCACCCCCAAATTTTCTTTCCAACGCTTTTCCTCACCTCATCAATTTTTCTTACGTTTCGAGTACCACCTATTTCAGCAACATTAAATATTGTGTAATAGCATTGACTGTCAATTTTTTAATTAAAACTAAACATAATTTTACATAAATTACACGAAGCTTCTATAGAAGTTCAAGAAGAGGAAAATTCATTTGAGTTTCTATTTGAAACCGTACCTTAAAGGCTAAGGCTATAGATTAAATGGTGAAATAATGACATGAATACAAATGGAAAAAAAATTAATAAATAACGCGTTCTCTATTAAGGTATTTGATTGATATAAACTATATAAGTAAGCAAGCGGGTGTAACACAACATAAAATAAAATAAAAAGGCTTCTTCTAAAGGTTGGTAAGCGGCAATCCAGCTGCCATTGCCTATTTGACTTCCCCCATTGGATCATGGTGAGCTCGTCTTCTTTCTTCTCATCTTATCTTTCTCTCTGCCATTTTCTTTTGCTTTAAAGCTCTCTCAATCATGAACATAAAGATCCCCATCACAACATTCCATTCCTCTTCATGAATAATTCTACATCAGGTTTCTTCTCTTTCCCTTTCTGATTCTCAACACTCTTACCACATTTCTAGTTTTGTGTAATATATAGGTTTTTGTTGCACATTCTTGCAAATGTTAGGTAGTCTAGTTGAAATGTGATGATTTTGTGTTGATAACTTGATCTCTGGTGTGGATTGAATGATTAGTGATTATCTCTGTTAAATCATGTCTGATTGTGTTTCTGTGTGTTGTTGACTTGGAATGTGGACAGTGAGGAGGCTGGTTTCGTCTAAAGCAATGAAATGTTTCTACTTCAGCAAAGACAAAACTCAGGATGATGAAGCTAAGACGAGAAAGTTTGGTTCTGCTACGATGGCTAGAGGAGGATCAGGGTCTGAGTTTAACTCTGATACAAGTACTGCTACTTCCATTACTTCTTCCTTGCACGTTCTCTCAGAGACACACAGTAATAATCTCAAAGTCTTTGCCCTCGATGACCTTAAAACCGCTACCAAGAATTTCAGCCGCTCCTTGATGATCGGTGAAGGTGGCTTTGGCGGTGTGTTTCGTGGTGTGATTCAGAACCCTCAAGATTCTCGTAAAAAGATTGAAATTGCAGTTAAACAACTCAGTAGAAGAGGTCTACAGGCAAGCAAATCTCTCTTCGTCCTACTTTTCCTTTCTTTTTAATTAGTATTAACATCATTTGCAGTAGATTTTCTTTCTCGTATTTTCGGTTTTGAGCAATAGATAACAACATAATCACATATGTATGTACTAACAGGGGCATAAAGAATGGGTGACAGAGGTAAATGTACTGGGAGTAGTGGAGCATCCGAATCTGGTGAAGCTGATCGGTTATTGCGCTGAGGATGATGAGAGAGGGATCCAACGGCTACTTGTTTACGAATACGTACCAAACAGAAGTGTTCAAGACCATTTATCCAATCGTTTTATTGTCACTCCGCTCCCTTGGTCCACCAGATTAAAGATTGCTCAGGACACTGCTCGAGGACTCGCTTATCTTCATCAAGGCATGGAGTTTCAGGTGTGCATTCTCTATCCATGACCACAGATGCCTTTCAACTTTTTTGAATGTGTTATTGATATACATATTCATCTTATATGCAGATCATCTTTAGGGATTTCAAATCCTCCAATATTCTTCTTGATGAGAATTGGAATGCAAAACTCTCGGATTTCGGACTGGCTCGAATGGGTCCTTCTGATGGAATCACTCACGTCTCCACTGCGGTATGCCACGCGTGACTTGTTATGTCTCGATTGATTGTTTGAAAAGTCTTAATATTTGATTGGTAGGCAATAACCAAACTATGAATCCACAGGTTGTAGGGACCATTGGTTATGCAGCACCTGAATACATCCAAACAGGACACCTCACGGCCAAGAGCGACGTGTGGAGCTACGGAATCTTTCTATATGAACTCATCACAGGAAGACGGCCTTTCGACCGTAACCGCCCAAGAAACGAGCAGAACATCTTGGAGTGGATAAGACCACACTTGTCCGACATAAAGAAGTTCAAGATGATCATCGACCCAAGACTTGAAGGAAACTACTACCTCAAATCAGCATTGAAGCTAGCTGCGGTTGCAAACCGGTGTTTGATGGTGAAGGCGAAGGCGAGGCCAACGATGAGTCAGGTTTCAGAGATGTTAGAAAGGATAGTGGAAACATCAGATGGTGCTCCTTCAGGACTACCATTGATGAAAAGCTTGACACCTAAAGATGCATTCGAGGCCTCAAGAAGAGAGAGAGTTAAGAGAAGATTTGTTGAACTTTTAATTGGAGAAAATGGTTGTCCCAATTTACCTACTTGGTCTCCTAAACTTGTTACTTCTATTTGATTTTTTGAGAGAACAAACTAATCACCACCGCTTGTGTTATGCCAATATTATAACCCATCCCAAACTTATGGAAAAGAGGAAGCGTAGTATCATTGTCGTTTTGCTATGAATAAAACGGCATGCAGTTTTTCCAATAATAAACACCGTGTCGTTTACTGTTCAAAGTAACATTATCACTGTCTTCTCTGAGTTTTATGTTTCCGATTAAAGCTCCGCCACAATCCAGCTCCGATTATTGGGGTTTTAGGGTTTTCCGATCTGTTCCACAATGCTCTCTATTCGCCGCCATGCCAAAACCCTAGCTTCCTCCTGCACCAAACTAACTCAGAAACGAACCTACGTCGACGTTTACATGAAATGGAAGAGAGATCCTTATTTCGACAACATCGAACACATTCTCCGATCATCTCAGCTCAAATCCGTCCTCGGTCTCAAAAACTGTATCGTCGACGATCCTAATCGCTGCATTCCGATATCTGCCATCTCCAAGAAGACGCGTCAATTCGATGTATCAACCAAAATCGCTCAGTTTTTAAGGAAGTTTCCCTCAATCTTTGAGGAGTTCGTTGGTCCAGAGTATAATCTACCATGGTTTAGATTGACACCAGAAGCTACAGAGCTCGATAGGCAAGAGAGAATCGTTTACCAAACTTCTGCAGAGGATTTGCGTGATAGGTTGAAGAAATTGATTTTGATGAGTAAAGATAATGTTTTGCCACTAAGTATAGTTCAAGGAATGAAATGGTATTTAGGTTTACCTGATGATTACTTGCAATTTCCAGAGATGAATTTAGATTCTTCGTTTAGGTTTGTGGATATGGAAGATGGTGTTAAAGGTTTAGCAGTAGACTATAATGGAGATAAGGTTTTGTCTGTGTTGCAGAAGAATGCAATGAAGAAGAGAGGAAGAAGAGAGGAAGAAGTGAATTTAGAAGAGATTGAGTTTCCTCTGTTTCCATCAAAAGGTTGTAGATTGAGAGTCAAAATTGAAGATTGGTTAAAAGAGTTTCAAAAGCTTCCTTATGTATCACCATATGATGATTATTCATGTTTGGATCCAAGTAGTGATGTAGCAGAGAAGAGAGTTGTTGGGTTTCTTCATGAATTGCTTTGTCTTTTCGTTGAGCATTCCGCTGAAAGGAAGAAGTTGTTATGTCTCAAGAAGTTTTTCGGATTGCCGCAAAAGGTTCATAAGGCATTTGAGAGACATCCGCAGATTTTTTACTTGTCTATGAAGAATAAAACTTGTACAGCTATTCTTAGAGAGCCTTATAGAGATAAAGCCAGTGTTGAAACACATCCTGTGTTAGCTGTAAGGAAGAAATACATCCAGTTGATGAAGAATTCAGAGTTGATTCTGAAGAGTAGAAGGAATCGTTTCGGGTTTAGGGACGAAGGGATTGTAGAGAAAGATTTGGATTTGGATTTTGAAGGCTAAGGCAAAATATTGTACCTTACAAGAATCAGTTTATGACCGATCTTTATTAATCAACTTTCAAACCAGTTTTAAGATGCAGATCATCACTCAGGATATTACAAAAGCTTTGAATGCAAGAATGAATTGCTATACGAAAACAAAAATAAAACAAAACAGAAAGTAAGGTATTCCCCTGAAGACAAAATGGGTATAAGAGTTTGTTATAAAAAAGAAGAGAAATATTTTCAGCTGCTTAATTTCTCAACGATCTTGGAGAGAGCTGAATATGAGCCAATGACTGAAGATATTGCTCCTACTATGATGATTAAGACACACAACATCATCTACAATAAACCAACCAAAACATTGTTAATGAATCGCCTTACAAAACTGAAAACAATGTTTTTGTGAGAAGATTACCTGGGTCGGGGTAACTTTTCTCCTTACAATGCTCAAGAAACACGCTGGAGGAAGTATTAGTGTCTGCACAAAACAAAATATGAACTTATATATCCAAACTTAAGATCATCATTTGTAGATAAACCAGAAATTGAAGGAAAAGACAGCTTACGACGAGCATTGTCAACAATGATCCAATCAATGACATGACAAGACCTGCAGAATTTTTGAGTGTTCACTAAGACAACACTGATTTTCAAGAGAACGAGATTTGTAATCAAAATGGTAAAGAGGATCTTACCAAAGAAGGGAATTGCAAGACCGACAAGCAGAGTAGAGAAAACCAATACGGTTCTAATGCCGATGGCGTACCAATGTGACCTGATATGCCTTGATGGTATCAACTCCTCAAGACTCATTGCTACTGGAGAAATGGTCAAAGCATATTTGGTAAATGGATTGACCACCTGTGAAACGGTTTAAAACAAAACGGTCTTACTTCCCATGTGATAACCAAAATGCAAGAACTAATACGTAATGGAAAGAAAACATATTTGATCCACTTACCGTAGTCCACACAGCAATCTTAGTTGCAACCAAATCTTGAGGCAAGTTGAGAGTAAACTGTGATTGTGTTGATTCTCCAAACATCGTATAACCCATAACAGCGACCCCGGCATACATCAGAGTACAAATACCAAAACTGCACAAAATTATCAATCTTTCTGCTATCAAAATGGTTGCATATTTTCTTGATATTTGCATAGGCGAAAGTCAAAAAGCGGTCTAGAAGATATCGAGTTAAGAGGAGTTTGTAAGAACTTGTTTAAAGCGACATAAGCTTACCATGTCAAGAGAACAGCAGGGTATTGAGATGGTTTGGCCATAGAAGTATAAATATTGGGGAAAACAGCATGTCCTGAGTAGCAGTAACCATAGAGTCCTATAGCTACAGGTAATGTTGACAAATTCAGTGTAGTTCCTTTGCTGTGAATTCCAACTTCATCTACCAAACCAATCCAAAATAAACATAAAACCACTAGCACTGATGCAATCACCCCTCCAGCTGAGATATAACTCAGTACACTGAGATCTCTGAGCCAAACGGTGGGGAGGACCGCGAGAGTTGTAAGCAATGCAAATAGATGGCGAGCATCTAACTGAAATCCTCCAATACTTAAGGCAGCATTTGGATATAATGAAGACAAATTATCACTCTCCAATATTATATATTCCACACAGCAAGCCTGAAAATATGAATACCAAGTAAGAAAATGTATCAATATTATCTAGTATCTACTATATAGTCATTATTAAACTAATCATTTTACAGTAGTAGCTTTTAAGAAGCTTTTTAGGGATCATTTCCATCTAAAAACATATTTTTGCTGCTTTAGTGACGTCAAAAGCAGCTTTAAGAAGGAACAAATCGAAACAAAGAGAAAAAGTTTAAAGCACCATCAGGTAGTGCCAAATCTAGAACTAGTGGCAGAATCTATGGGACCCTTTGCTAACGTGTTTCACAACATGGGGTCACATACTTAAGATCTCTTTGGTTTTTTTTTCAAACACAACATGGAATCTCTTTAGTTATGTACTTTCTTGACAAAAAGAGTCCTGGGATTTCTATTTCTATAAAATATGTTTTAAAGTCAAGTGATGGACGAATCCAAGAAGTACTTACGTATAGCTCCAGGTAGAGTACAATCTGCAATGCATTAAAAAAAATGGAAGAAATTAATATAAAATGAAAGTAATGATACCAAATTCCACTATATTAAGTGGGTAACTGGTAAAGCTACTATTTGATGAGATTTATTCATTTTTCACAGGATTATACTATTTGACTTCTGAAAGTAAACAAGTTGCATCAACAAATGTGTGATAGTAATTTTTTTATAAGATTTCAGATAAAGCTACATACTTGAAACAAAAGTGCTAACTTTTTGTCTTTGGCTTTTGAGTTCTATTTGTTCCAAGGCCAAAAGGCAATTCTCTTTTTGTATATAATTCATTGAGTTTTCTTTATCTCTATTTGGTCCTTAACTTTATATCACCTTCATTACAGAGGAGGATTTTAAGGAAAATTTATCGTCTTACCGAGACAAAGATACGTCCAGTAGTACCAAACGCAGCTTGGCCAATGTCGGGATAGGTCTCGAGGTCAGACTCACTGTCGAGGCAGTAACGAAGGAGGATTCCGGTGTAGAAAGAAAGAAGACCATATACAAATAGTATCATAAGTCCTAACCATCCTCCTTCTTTTGCAGCATAAGGCGTTGAAAGTATTCCAACCCCACATAAAACGTTCAATCCTGCACATGACCCACATGTTATAGAAAATGATGTCAATCATGTTCTTTGAACCTAGACGTGTTTGGTCTAACATGTGCTCCATGTGCTATAGGACAAACAGAGTTGATTGTTATTTTGTACTGTTCTCTTAATTTATAATGACAAACGTTTTCAAACCCCGAAGAAGACGGTCGTAGACCCTCTTACACACACAATCTAGATTCAAACAACAGAGAAAATGTTGACCTGGTTTCATTAGTATTTGTAACGGTGAAGGCACAATTGCAATCAATCTTGCAGCTCTATAGTTCACGAGAAAATCTCAATTTGCTCTACCATGGTTACTACTTTCATCAAGCCAAGCATCAGAGAATCTCTTAAACTTTTTAACCACCCTTTAAAGAAGAGAAGACACAATATTTTAAAGATGAACTCACCATTTAGAACAGCTTGTCCGTATGAACTATTGCGAGACATTGGAATCTCATGAGACACCATGGATGATTTCTCATCCTTTCGCATCGAATGCCTCCTTGAAGGAATAGGAGAGAGCAAGCCATGAGAGCTAAGTCTATGTTTTGGTGGTGCTTGTTCATCTGCTTGTGTTTCTAACAAAGGTTTTGTAACAGCAGGTAATGATTCCGGAGTATGTCTTCTTATCAACGAAGAAGACAAGAAAGAGCTTCCGAATCTCGTCATCGAATTGTTTCCAAGAAAACCGATACCGGGAGACGGTACACTACTGTAAAGATCAATCGACTGCCTACAACATTATCAAGAAACACAGAACCAACTCTTAAATATTTGTTCCAAAATGTAGCAAATCAAATCAAGAATGGTCAAAAAAAAAATCAAGAATCATGAATCAAGAATGGAGCAATATTAGCCAAATGAAACATATTAACTTAACTACGACATAAAGAGTGGAAACAAAGAGAAGCCAAACCTGTAACTCTGAGGCCAAGCAGTGGTGTATGAGCTAGGTTTAGTGTGAGCTTGGTTTTCATCATAAGCATCAGATGAATCAGAATGGCTTCCACCATCTTCTTCTACGTAATCTTTCCTATCGTCTTCGTCCTCGCTCTCAATGTAAAAGCTTTGATCAGAAGGTACGTGATTCATTTTTTTTTTCTCGCAATCCTTAATGAAAAATCTGATTTGAATTCGTGCAAAAGAAAATAAATGGTAAGATTGTCGGAACAATCAAATCCGAAAACAGATAATTGGGGACAAGATCTAACCTGTAAAGTCAACAGTCTCTTGTTCTGTTACAAGAACAGGATTTTAGAGAAATGAAAAAAAATCGAAGCATCAATAATTGAGTCGCAGATCACAACAAGAAAAAAAAAAACATTGGTAAGTAAGATTGTGGGAACAAAAACAGATTTTGAGAGAATTAAGATTGCATCGCTGCGTGAGAATTTCGTTCAATCTTAAGTCATTGATTGGCAGAAGAGAAAACAAATGACAAGGATTGAAGAAAGAAGAAAGTGAGAATCGTTGTTGTTACCTGAAAATGGATTCGGATCAGAATCGGTGCCGGAGAGAAAGAGAGAGAGCTCTGCTGATAGGAGAGAGAGGAGGAGGAGAGTGGAAGAGAGCGAATGAGAGGGAGAGAGAGCGGCTTTTTCTCTGTTCTAGAAATAATAAACTCTTACAAATGTGTTTTCAAATTAAATACTTTTAAGGGTAACTTATTTTATTTATTTAATTGCATTAATCTTTTTCTCTTAAACTTATTTAATTATTAATCATTGAGTATTAATTGTTGCGGTAATAGATTCCCAGTTTTAGTTTGACTGCTAAAGAGACAGATGTCTTCTGAATAGAGAAATTACATGTGCTAGTTTTTTAAAAAAAAGATTTCTCATATTTGAACCATATGAGATTTGGAAAGAAAATGGAATGAAATCGGAAGACAGAGATTACAAACATGTTTGATTTTTTTATTTATAAACATAACTTTTGGTGACAATTGAAAAACAATGTGAAAGTAAGATTTTGTTTAAAACGGAAACAACAAAATATCAATCAGTCTCTTTTGGCAATACATTTGTATATGGTTTGAACTCGTATACCAGATTAAGAATTGGGTTGCAAGTAGTTCGGTTCGATGATTCGTCTCGTTATCCTTTGTGGCAGCTGTCTAAATTTCGATTCTACAAGCTTAGAGGTTTTATAGATCTAGGTGATTATTTGCATAGGACGTGTGATTTATGTTTTTTCTGTATCAACTTAAGAAAGATGAATTACGTTCTTTTCTTACAAGTTACAAGTTTACAACATCAGGCGTGTGTGTGAGTGTCCACGCGCGTTTGGTCGAGTGGAATAAAAAGACAAGAACACACAGTTTAGAACAACAAGGAGATGACTGGATGAGGACGAGTTGCAAACACAAGTGGTGCTACGCCGTGAGAATGTGATTGGTGCAGATTAAACAGTGCTTAATTAATACAGATTTATTTATTTATGGCTTGACGTCATTTTAAAAATTTAATATTATTTGCTTCTCTATCTTACTTCCTAAAGACAAGAAAATGTCATTAATATAGGAATATACACCAAAATAAAAGTAATTAAGTACACTCATTAGCATAATCGAGGGGGTCGTTTATGTCAATTTCTTAATATAATAATGATTATTCTTTTCTTTATGTTGGGTTGGCAAACCATACATATCTTGCTGACGGAGATAATTTAAATTTATTATTGCAATACATCAGCTCTGCCGATTGTGGGATAGTCTCAAATCCCTTATAAAAAAATAAAAATAACAACAAACTGAGAATCTTTCTTTCTTTTTGTTGGTCAGAAACAAACGAACTGAGAATCTGATCATGTATTAAACAAACTAATCAAAGAATGCTTTTTATAAAGGTTTGAAATTTGACGCCTGAGGCCAAAGAAAAAACATAGAAGGTCTCGTTTTGAAAAGTGTCATGAGAAACACAAAAATCAAAACCACATATGAATGGTTACTCCGTACGCAACGGAGCTACTAGTTTTTTTTTTTTTTTTTTTAATCAAAACAAAATGGTTCATTGAACAAGGATTTTAAATCAACGTATTTATTTCACTTATTTAAGTGTCGAAATCTACAAAAATGACTAATGAATTGATGTGATCCCGCAAAAAAATCACAATCGTAAGAAGAAAATCACATGATGTGTAGATCTGTTGTTTGTTCATTTGGACTTTTCTTCTGAAACGATAACTCAAGAGCATGTGCTCATTTGATCTCTCTTTGTTGATTCTCCGCTTCCTTCAACATATATCTCTATCCCCACATGCTTCATTGTTGTATTTTATTTTCATTATCGAAACTATATTTAATACAAAGGACAGGAAGATCATCCTCACAAACATTTGCAAAAATGATACACAAATCAATGCCAAAAGTGATGACACGATGAAGGTTAGGCAGATGGTATTGCACATCAATCATTGATTCAATGTTTTACTTCTGTCTTTTTTTTCTTTTTTTTTGTGTGTGTGTGTGATGAATTATCTGTTTAGACTCCCTATCAACATAATGTCCTAAGCCTTTTGTCTTCTTGTGATGATTTTTGTTCATCATATAAATTGCAAGTAACCATGTTATATAGTTATGTACCTATGGTGCGAAGGTTAAGTTTTACATATGGAGATAACATAATGCTACGTCTTTATACTATATGTACGTTGGGATTTCATATCAAACACAAAAATAAAAAATAAAGCCAAGATGAAAATATGTTTACGTTTAGAGATTTATAAATTTCACATTATAATTGGGTTTTGATAGCTAATAATTATTTACTCTTCAAAATAACATTTTACTCTCCTACTTATCTTCTTTTGTGTTCATCTTGGTGGTTAGAATCTAAATTTTTTAAAAGGTATATGTTTTCCAAAAAAATTTGATCCCTTGGAAAGGATTACTCATATTCCTTAAATTATATTTCTAAGCTCACATACATACATATTAGGCCAAAGATGATTCTTGACATGGCCTAAACTTCGTTTCACTCTTTCTAGATTTGATTTTTTTTGGCTTTTTTGTCAAGTATTATTTTTTTTTTTTTGATAACCGTGGGATCCCAAAGGCTTCCTAGGCCCAAAGACTAATCAACGAGGCCTTGCATCAGGGTACGCTTTACCCCATCGTTAAGGGAGCGGCTAGGTGGCCAACCCGAATCGAACCCAGGAGGGGGAACTCACAGCCGTGAGCCCTTTACCAACTGACCAACGTGGGTTGGTTCTTTTGTCAAGTATTATTCGTCCAATAATCATGATTTGTATTTCTTTTAAAAAAAACTGTCATAACTAATTAGGTTTTAAAATTTAATTAGGAATGAGTTTAGCTTTTTAATTTATTTACGAGTTAGTTTTAGAATATTTTATTAATTTTTACAAAAAAAAATATATATTTTGTTAATTTTGGTTAACAGGACTTATTTTCTTAAAAATCCCCAAAAAACAGAACAATATCCGAATTCATCGGATAAACCCAAACCCCTCTCGGAAAAAACCCAACACCGTCTCTCTCTCACTCTCACTCCCATCGGCGGAAATGGCGTCGGTGGCGGCATCATCGCCGATATCATTCGCTGCATCATTCCTCAAAATCAAAGCATTCCCTCTCTCTCCTCGCTTCTTCCCCATCCGTACACTCCGTTGCTCTGTCTCCTCCTCCTCCTCTGAGCCCATCGAATTCGACATCTCCTTCGCTCCTCCTAAACCCAAACCCTCCTCCACTCGCGGCGGCGTCTCCCCTCAACAACTCTTTATCCCTTGGATCGTCCGTGGTGATGACGGTACTCTCAAACTCCAATCTCAACCTCCCGCTCGTTTAATCCACAATCTCGCCATTGATGCCACTACTCAAAACCCTAAGAAGAAAGATAAACCTAAGAAGAAACAACCTCAAGCTACTTCCTCCTCCGCCACCGCCTCCTCCTCAGCCTCCTCTCCAGCTTCACACTTAGAGCTAAAACCAAAGCTATCCAAAGCGGCGCGTAGGTTTTACAATGAGAATTTTAAAGAACCTCCTCAACGTTTAAGCAAAGTTCTCGCTGCTGCTGGAGGTAAGAACAACCAAACCAAATCCTCTTTATCTCCAATTTTTGAATTTGGGAATTTTTCTCTAATGATATAGATTTTGGTACAGTGGCATCAAGAAGAACCTCTGAAGAACTTATTTTTGATGGGAAGGTTACTGTTAATGGTATTCTCTGCAACACTCCACAGGTAAAAAAAGATCTCATTGTTGGAATCAAATTTTGATGGAAAAAGCTTAGCAATTTTGTTTATGCAGACTCGAGTTGATCCATCAAGAGACATTATATATGTTAATGGAAATCGTATTCCTAAGAAACTTCCTCCAAAAGTTTATTTTGCTTTGAACAAACCTAAAGGGTTAGTCTTCAATAGCTTATTCTCATACGTAGCTTCATGATTTCTATCACAGACTTGTAACTTTTGTTTGATATTTGTTGCATCATACCAATGGCAGATATATTTGTTCTTCCGGAGAGAAAGAGATCAAGTCTGTTATTAGTTTGTTTGATGAGTACTTGTCCTCTTGGGTAAGATATTTTGTTTTCCTGTACATGAATTGTGAGATTTTACCTTCTAAACTGTGTCTTTTAAAGTATGTTGGATTAGAAAGCTTGGTTTAAAAGTCTTGTCTTTGCAATGTAGGATAAAAGGAATCCGGGGACTCCCAAACCTCGCCTTTTTACTGTTGGTCGTCTTGACGTTGCCACAACGGGATTGATAGTTGTTACAAATGATGGTAATTGTATTCACTCAACTCCATGTGCTATATATATATCTTGGTTTGTACATTTTGCTTCAGGACACTGTGTTTTTCTTCCGTTCTTTCTAAAAGAAATGTCAACTTCTTGTTATACAGGAGATTTCGCACAGAAACTTTCACATCCTTCATCTAGTTTACCAAAAGAGTGAGTTCTCATACCATCACTACTCATGGTTAGGTGATCATCTAGTATGATGAACCTTTGGTTGACTAAGATTAAAGAGAAAGGCTAATTCCTGCCATATTACTTCTTTATGAAAATACAATTCAGATAGATGTTCATTGCGGAGCTATTTTTTGAACTTTGGCTGCTGCTAGTAGTCACCAATTCCAGATATTGTGGTTGAGGCTTTGATCCTCTCAGTTGTACTTATCCAAGCACTGATTTTTTTGTGAACATTTATGTTTCATCTAAGTAGTTCAAGGGTTTTGTGTGTTTATGCTGCTCTATTTTTTGTGTTTTTGTGAAATGGCAGATATATTACTACGGTTGTCGGTGATATACACAAACGGCACTTAATGGCTATCAGCGAAGGGACAATTGTGGAAGGAGTCCACTGTGTCCCAGATTCAGTTGAGTTGATGCCAAAGCAGCATGATATACCAAGAGCAAGGCTGCGTATTGTGGTACATTTCCAAAGCTTTCTCAGATTTAAAGTTCTCTGTTGTTGTAGATTCTAAAAGGTGTCACCAGTCCTTATGTTGTTTGCTGGTCCTAGATTATCTTGTGGAAAATTAGATGGGACATTTCTTAGTCACATTGGATTTTTAGTTAGGAACGACAAAGTATCTCCACACACATTATCTAGACTTTTAGGATTCTGTTTATTTCTGACTGCCAAAGTTTTGACCTAACTTCAAACTATGTTATTGAAGTCCAGTGATATCACTCCCCCTACCCTGTATAGCTTCTGAAGAATGTGGATGGTTCTAATGAAAATAGTGTCGTAACCTTTTTATTTGACAATTTTATAGGTTCATAAACCAAACACGTTACAGTATCTAACCTATTGATGTTGGTTGCATGGTTTTCCAGCTGAATTAACGTCTATTGTGTGGACCCTGTGCAGGTTCACGAAGGAAGAAATCATGAAGTCAGGGAATTAGTGAAAAATGCTGGGCTTGAGGTCAGCTTTCTTCTTATGCATTGAAAATGTCTCCTTGCTAATCTTGGATTTACCTTCTTCTTGAATTAGAATAAGAACTCCACAAGAGTTTGAGAAAACATTGAGTTATTAATACCCCATTTCTTGTGAACATACTCATTTGTGAAGTAAGGTTGGAATTGCAGACTTTGTAATTATGAGATTTGATTATGTTCATTCACTGAATGATAGAGAGATATCCAAATCGTTATACTTTTTGCCTTTCAATATACTTCTATCTGTTTCACGTGATATCTAAACACATACTAATTGTTTATGCCTTTACTTGCTCCAGGTTCATTCATTGAAGCGTATCCGTATAGGTGGATTCAGACTTCCTTCAGATCTTGGGTAATGTTCCCTACATTCTGGTGTCACCTTCTTAGTTGCTACGAATTCATATCTTAATTATATATCACACAGGCTAGGGAAGCACGTGGAGTTGAAGCAGAGCGAGCTAAAGGCAATGGGTTGGAAGAATTGAACATGTGCAATTCATCAAACAATTAAAAAAACGCTGTTACCATTAGAAAAAAACAGAATATAATTGTTTAGTTTATATATCTTTATCTTAGTTAGGGATACTTTTTGTTGTAAGTAGAATATTGATATTATCTATGAATTTATTAATAAACTAATACCATATTTCTTTTTATTTTCTTGGAACTTTTCAAAACCTAAACACAAATTATGAATGACTGACTCTTTTATTTATTTGTAGCATATCCCACCTTCCTTTACGATTCTTTGTTAGACTTTGTTCTCCTAAACACAATTGTCTCTGGAATCCAATTAGGGCGAAAAAAATGTCTAACTTCATACGGAAGCAAGAAGTCTGCGGCTCGGGTTTCGGCTATTCCCGGGTTGTGCTCGGCCCTATAGAGTGGAACCGGGACGTCGATTTCGTACCTGATCCAGGACCATGGCAGAGGAATCACAAGCTTCCCTATGAACCAGAAGAACCTTTCTACACCCACAATTTCCCACCGCTTGTGACAGGCCCCTCTGTAGACCCACCACCTCGGGAACCCTTTGGACCACCAATACCGCTCTTTGCTAGACTTGGACTTCATTGCTACAATCTTCAAAAGGTAAACTATTTGGTTTGTATATCATACAAGTAAGTTCTAGTGGTTTTAAGTGTGGCCTTTCCTTCTTTTGATCTTTGTAGGGGACAAACTTGCAATTTGTGGCTCTACACAAGTATCACTCATGGATGACCTCCATTTATTCTTACCTTGTAACATTAGAGGTACTCGATCCAATACGCAACTCTTGTTGCGAGTTTGAAACTTATGTTATGCATGCCGTTGAGAATATAGATTGCTTGAGCGCAATTATAACCGGCTACAGATTAACAACGCCGCAAACTCCAGGTAAATAAATGGCACCTTTCTTGTTGGCTTGACATATTTTTTTCTTTCTTGTTCGATACATTTCCATCTTCATTGGATATTTAACTGTTTTCACTCAGTTTTATTTGGGTATGTCTACTTGTGTGTGTATCTTCAGTGGAGGAAGGCCGCTGGTATGGCTTTAACAAAGATGTTGTGGATTTTTTCTTCAAAGGTGCTATGCCCGATTGGATGCCCGAGGGTGCACTAACGGAAACTGAGAAGCTCCAATGCTATGAGGTTAGCCTTTTAGTCTTAAAAGTTTAAGAGAAGCGTTTTTCTCTTTTATGAAAAAGATGTGATGTTGTTGACATCATTTGCAGATGAAAGAATCAGAGGTGGAAGAAGAGAAGGAATGGCTTCACCTATACGCGGAACTCGCGTTGTTCTCCTTGTGGCAATCTAAGCTGGTGAGGATAAGACTTTACTCAAAACGCTGAGAGGAGAATTTTGTCTAGGTATTAATCTCTTTCTCTTGGTGCGTGTGTTTGTTGTCTTCCAGGAAGCACTGGAGTCTGCAAAGCCATTTGATCTTCGGAAGATAATTGTAAGAACCAAAGAAGATGTGGAGTCGAAGAAGAAGGTGAAGGCGGAGAATGCAATCTTCTACATTAGCTTCAAAACCCGTTGCGGGCAAGAATGCTACGGTATCATAAGGAAAACAACAGACGGAATGCCAGAGCATCTTTCGCTTGAAGTCAAGTGTTTGATGTGAGAGTCTCGTTATGTAAAATGTTTCTCTAAATGTTTTTCAAAAGCAAAAGTAACAATTGATTGATTCAGTCCATTATTGCTTTGTTACGGAATTTAAAGCCCTAACTTACGTTGTAAGGCATAAGTTGATTTTACACATATTGTCCTTCAAAAACAATTAGTATAACCATTAAAAACTTCCTTATTGCTTCATCACATAATCAGAGCACTGTCGTCAGCTTGCTCAAGATCTTAGCAATTGGAGATGTTCTATTTATCTATATATTTGTTATACTTTTTCCTTTATGGCAATTGGCAAAGCTATACTGTTGTTTTGATTTTTCTCCGGCTTAATTAGCACGGATTTGTCTCTACGTGTCAAAATCTTTGGACTCTCTCGTGAACTGTAACATGTATTAAAGATTAAAATTTTAATTAATGACTTGCCAAGAAATAAACGATTATATTAGTTAAGCCGACGTAGCACATGATCCCACATTGTCATGTAAAAAAGTTAAAAACCCATGTTGTTACATAAATTCAATTGATGTCGATGACCCAATCTGGGGGGTCTATGTCTATTATCCAAGACTGAGGAGGCGGGTCAATGTCAATAATCCACGACTCCGAGCATGCCACTTTTGGAAATGTAAACGCAGTGAGAAGAGGTTGTGGATATGGATAAAACACATTATCTTTCACATTAGGGGTGAGGCACACCATCATGACTTCTATCGAAACTTTCAAATTTCCATCGACACCGATTCTTTTACCATGATAGGACCTACAAAGCACAAAATCGAAGATGCGCCTTTAAAGTTGGTTTTGTTAGTAGCCTTTGTAAGAGTAATCGATCAAAGAGCCTTCTCTTTCACTGCTTCTACATCAATAGTAATTTTAATGGGAACAAAGACCAAGGCAATAAGCAGAAATCTTAAGATGGTGGCATGCACTGAAGAAGAGGCAAACCTCCTCTCTTCTTCTGCTGCAGCATCCACGGTAGGTCAGACGTTTAATAGGAGAAGTAAATAATACACCATTCAAGGACATCGTCTATCATTTTTTTTTTCGGATATGTTTTTCTTGATTCTTTAAGTCCTCTACCACTTTTCAAATTATCTATCAGAAATTAATTACTTGTTTTATTAGTATGTTTTGATGAAATCAGTTAAATTATACTTTGTGCAAATGTTGTGGAGTTTATCTATTCAAATACTAATTGAAACACTTTTCATTCAATTAATTTGATTAAATATTCTAATAAAATATTGTCATGAAGAAAATTCATAATAATTAAAACAAAATGATAGTAATATCTCTTTCTTTTACCTTTTCAAACGGATATTTTCTTCTTATTATCTTTATTTTTATTGATTGTTGGAACAAAGCTTATTTATGAGCATCTTGATTTTCTGTCCACAACGATCTTAATAGAAACATAACTCACTGCTATTTTGCAGGAATTGTGGTTCCACCCAAGAATATTGTTGGCTCCAATCACATAAATATTATTAAATTTTCTAATCATCTATGAAGGAACTGCTAATTATTGAAAGGTTTAACAATGTCTTAAACCCATTTAAATTGTAATTTGTTGTGAGGTACAAGATTTTAAATAATCCTAATTGAGTCACTTTTAAATTCTATTAAATTGATTGAATCATTAAATAGCAACAAAAATATAAAGAAGACATTTTTTCTTCTTATTGAATAAGAATTGTGTACATTTTCATAAGGTTGGTGAACACATTATTATTGATTCTAGAAATTTATGCAAAAAGGAAACGTTTTTTTTGGTTGCGCGGATTTCAAATTTATTGGACTACCTATGGACCTTTGAACATCAAATTTAGTTAGACACTAGTATTGGATTATCACTCAACCTAGTATTCACTCTATAGTGAAAGTTATACGAGTGTTGAAAATAGAACTATATTTTGCTGGTAACACTTGGTTTTGATTGACAGATTAAAAGGATTGTAATGAAAGGTAAACTCAAAATTTTAACTCTTTTTCTCTATGACACAAAAGTGAATAATTTACATAAATAAGCAGTATCTCAGTAACCACAACAACGACATTAATGAAAACAAAAACTAAATTCTCTCGGCAACACGTCCACCAACATCCACATTCCCATCCATATCTCCAAGCCATGCCTTGAGACTCGCTTCTTTACCTGCCTTGAACTCCTCAAACTTTGTCGTCTCCACAATATGTTCACCTTTCACTGAGACTTCTTCTTCTTCTTCTTCTTCTTCTTTTAACGCATTGCTTTCCACATTGGGGTCAGCCTCTGACTTCTGTTCTTTGAAATCAAGTTGTGGCCATTTGATGTTGCTTGCTCTCTCCTTAGCCGTCTTGAACACCGATGTGAAATAGTTGCTGCTTTCACTATTATCCTGGCTGTAATCAGAACCACGCGTTGTTGTTGTTATACTGCTGGATCTGCTCCAAGGGTTTGTGGAGTTGAGGATGACCCCTCTTCTCGGTTGTTTAGAAGACATCATCGCTAAAGAGTTCTTGATGTCTCCTATCATCTCATCAGCAATAGGTGAACCACACTCTTTCATAGATTTCACCATGGCTATAGAATCATCCAAGTCTTCGGTATGCAAGCCAGTTTCACGGGACTTCTCCAAAACATTGTTGTTGAGATTAAGAACATTCGGTGCTGCGTTTCGGACATGCTGTTGGATGTAGTAAAGCCCCACTGAGGGTTCATTTGCAATGTACTTTATCATCTCGGCTAAGCTCTCGTTTATCTCCGCAAAACCATCAACAGTAGAGAACTCATGCATTCTGTCAAAAAACACAAAATTCCCAAACATTTTAACTAAAATCAATAGTAACGAAGCAAAACTAGCACACCTGGTCAAGCCAAAACAAAATCAACTAGAAAATACAAACTAAACAATGCTAATAACAGAGCAAGATTAAAACTTTATATACAACGAACTCAAGTTTTTAGTTTTCAGCTACCCATTACTCTTGTTGTGCAAAGATGATGAACGTACGCAGAAGATTCTACGAGAACCAATCCGAATGATATCACTATTGCCCAAAGAGAGGTTTGAGAAGCTTAAAAGGAATCTAGTACAAACTAAGATTCACAAGCAATCTAAGAGGAAGCTAAGGTTAAGAAAAGAGAGCCTTAAATAGATGAATCGAGAACTAATGAACCTCTAATCAATTTGTGTTGCAGACTCATACACAAAACACAACCATGTACACAGAACCATCTGTACCATTGTAGATAACATCTTATCATTCACCAACAAACTCAAATTACAACTAAAAGATCACTTTCACTCCATAAGCATCATCAAATTTAAGTATATAAGCATCATAAAATTTAAGTATACACAGTTTAGCAAACAATTAAACGCCTAAAAACCCCTTCAATCAAATCCAATGAAAACGCCCAATTTATTACTAGCTAGGTCTCGATAAGAATTCAAACAAACACCAAGCGATTCAATAACGTAACCCAGAAGGAAAAATCTCCTAAAACACCAAAAAGAGCATAAATTGAGAAACCAGAAGAGATAATAAGAACTTACAGGAAACCCTAGATGACGACGAAGCAGAGAGAAAAGAGGAGAATCGGTGGTAATTGGGTTCTTCGATTATCAATATCTCTGTCAATAAAGAATTGTGTCTCTCCTGATTTGTTCCTCCTATCATTTGATCACGGGTTCCCAAAAAAAAAAGGTAAATTTCTGAGCTTCCTTCACGGTGAAGTGCAGACAAAAATTGGTGCATAAGGAAGATGACGACGATAATAATCCCCAAAGTTGTTTGGTCCACGTTCTGTGTCCACGTCATCTTTCGCACGTGTCTGCCCTTACCTCGCACGTTTGGATGGTAATTAGTTTGTTTCGATTTCGGACAAAAGAAGAAGACAAGTTAACTTCGGTCGGAATCGTGTAATTTCTTTTTAAAACTTCAAACAAGTCCTCCAATTACTATATGATTACAATATCAACTTTTATCTTTTGAAAATAATGTATTTAACCCCTTCATATAGTTCATAATTAAGATATTAGGCTGTGTGTGGAAATTGTTGAACCAGAAAAACTTTACGGTTTGCATAAAATAACAAAAAATAAGAAATTGAGAAGTCAATTACAATTCGAAACAAACAAGTTTAATCCATATGATGAAAATCAAAAAGAACGAGTCACACTTTCTGGCTCTAGTATGTGCTTTTTGGAAGTTTCGTGTGATCTCTAATATTCAATTCCAAAAATATTTCACCAAGCAAATCCGTTTTTGCTTTGACATCATTGGGCCAATTACGTAAGACATGATTAAAGCAAAAACACTAAGCAAAAAATATATACTTTTCAATAAGACGGATTAATCATACCTTTTTTTTTTATCAATGCAAGAGACGGATTAGTTATACAAAACATGCAAAATGCAAATACGGTCTAAATCTAAAAAAAGGTAGTCATGTATAGCAAGATACTAACCCATTTTACTAATTTGTTCGCGATATACGTTTATAGGAAATGCATGTAGGATGTGTCCGAATATCTTTCGGCGAATGTTGAATAAATTATTTTAACTCAAACAAACAATAGTTATTAGAAGCCACCATACATCTATTAAGAGCCTAAATAAGGACAAAGAAAAAACAAATACGAATAAATCATTGAAAAAAGAGTATAGTAGTCACATTAGGTTTAAACACAAACACAGACGAATGCTGATTAACAAGCACAGACGAATATTAAAATTTTAAATAGTCATGGGATGTCGACAATAAAAAATGGTCATGGCCTTATGGGCCAACATAAGGTCAAAGGGGTCAAAATTAAGCTAAAGCCTGAGCTAGTAGGGTCCTAAAATCGAATTTCAACCATTTCGTCTACTGTTTTCTTTTAATAATCTGGAGATGAATAATTTAGTAGTGTTAAACTACTGAAAGTGGTCTGACCATTAGACTCCCCTTTTACGCTTATATGTATGTATTGGCTAGCTAGACGAGTTCAATCCACGTGTTATGCTGGTTATAAACAAGTTAACTAAAAAACTGATGATTTATTCGAACAAAATTTTGAATTCTATGATAAAAAAAAAAAACTGAAAAGGTTTTAGAGAAACTAAAAATGTTGCATTTCAAACGAAATACATTGCGAATAATTTTGAAAAAAAGGAAGTAGAAAACACACAAACTTATACATATATATCAGTGAAGTATAAAACATTTATTTTATCATTTTCTTCGACTAATTTAAGTTTTGTTTCTTCAAGTATTCAACAACCTAATTAAATATGCTAGTAATATTATTTAATAATTTTTTTTGAAAGAATATTATTTAATAACATTTTCTATTGTATATACATGTTTGTTATATATACATGAAAAATTCGCAGAAACAGTTTGAATTATTTTTGAATTTGTTTTATTAAATCATAAAGAACATTTATTTAATTAAAAAGTATTTATGAATATGTCAACTATCTATCTAGATCCGAAATATCGCATTGAGGACTCGATTTTTCAACTTATTCAAAAATTGTTCACCTATTTTAGTAAATCCGTGGTGTCATGATAACTACCAATGTTGTATATGCTTAATTTTTAGAATGCAACATAAATCAGCCAGTCAAAGCATTGAACTGGAAAACATATAAATAGTAACTTAATTAGTAGCAATTCAACAACGTGAATTATCATTTCCTAAAAAACAAGCAGTAAAAGAAGATTTTAAAAGTAAAATAAAAGTCGGAAAAAATAGGATATGGCCTAAATTCAACATGTTAAAAAGAAATGTTGCTAGAGATGTCAAGATTTTGGTAGAAAGATGAACTAAGTTTTAATAAGTTTAGTTTTCAGTTTAATCTCAAAACAAACTCATTTTAGGACTTTTAAAAGAAATAGGGTGTGTGGATTAATAAGTTGGCACCTACTTTGCTTGGAGTAATTATTGATCCCGCGCCAAACGATTAACTGCATCGTATGTTTGGAGACTTTCTAATCCACGTGTGGACCACCAAACTAAACATAACATCTAAAGTATCGTCACGGATAAATGACGCCTAGCTACCATATAAACACTTCCCATGTTGCGCTTTAAAACATTGTTATTTTTTACTTGAAATATAAGTCCTTTCATTTAGGTTGATAATATTATTACCTATATGATTTACATCATTTGGCGTGAAACAAATGGTCACGGCTGCCAGCAATATATAGTCGATAAATGCAAAAATAGTATTTGAAAGTGTTCCACGAGGGTTATCATTGTTTTTGTGAATTCTGATCTGAATACGATTGAATGTCAGAATGTGTTTATACTAATACGCCACCATTCACATCAGCAAATTAAATTGTGCAAACCTTAAAATTACAAATAGTTGTAGATACAACTGAAAAAAAAAAAAATCAAGAAGAACTGTTTTGTGGTACGTAAAAAATATCTGATGTAATTCCCAAGTCTTTAGAGTGATGTCCACACTAGGACTTGACTTATAACATGAATGCAATTTATTTGCTAAAACCAAAATATTTGAGAAAATAGATTCACAGAATACACCCGATGCAGATGGTCCACAAATTTACCATTATTCATTCCATAGATACGTGTGAGCGAATAAATCTACGTACAACTCACATAGAAACACACAACAAATATGAAAAATATATGGGTTATATATACTATATAAGAATGCTTGCGCATGCATATACATATTTCTAAAGACATGTGATAATCGGTGGGTAGGCAAAAGTACAGCAAGGATTAGGTAGCTAACACTATGGATTGTTCCTTAGTCTAAACAGAAGAGTCAAAGAGAGAATCTTAGTTTAAAGTGTAAACAATTACTTCATTTCTCTCTATATATACTTTCTTAAAGCTAATGTCCTCTCACTGAATATATTATAGTAATGATTAATTAGTTGCAAGATTATGGGTCGTGACCTTTCTTTTCATGGTTTGTTGCTTACATTATTACAGTAGACAATAGATATGAGGTGTGCCATAATTCTCGGTTAATAATAGCCTTTATATGCATATACACAAAGAGATAATTAAAAAGAATATATGTGGAATTGAAATGATAATAATAAAAAATGGAAGTGTGGAAAAAGGTGGAGGAGATAGAGGAATCCATGTGTATCCAAGCACTTGCAGACAAAATGAGCTTCAGAGAAGAGAAAAGCAACCTTTAGCTTTTTCAAGACCACCAGACTCAGAAAAGGAGATTTCAAACACACTCTCTCCTCTTTTAGGGTTCTTATATTTTTCTCTCTCCTCTTCTTTAATTATGTCCTGAGAAAATATCCTTCTCCTTCTCACTTAATCATACCCACCACCAATCCATGATGCATCATCTGATCTCATATGCATGTGTGATGATAGATGAATGAATGGATGGTGATGTGTATGGATGTCTATATTTAGTGGGTGTGTGTGAGGATGAGATGCAAAAGCAACCCCACAAGCAATCCTTGTTTCACTCTCAAAAGACTAAACAAATTAACCAAAAATAAATATATATGCCCTAACTTTAGCCTTTGCCTTTTCCCTTCTCCCTTGCCCTTTCCTTAGGGTTTCTTGTGGGTCTTTCTTTTTCCCTTTGCTCCTTTTTTCTTTTTTTCATTTATCATGATTTATTTTTTTTCTTTTTGACCCAAACACCTCTCCTTTAATTTGCTTGCCTCTTGTCTACATATACATATTTATATACACAGACACATGTATCTCTCTCATCCCATCCTTAATTGTTTTATATAAACCATTTCTCCTCCTCTCTCAATCACCTTCAATCTCTCTCCTTCTCTTTCTCGATCTCTCTGGATCCCCAATCTCACCTCCATGTTTTGTTTGTTGATTCTCTCATCTTCTCTTTTGTCTTTTCACCAAATCGTCATTTAAGGCTTCAAGAACAGTAACCCCAATTCTTCCAGAAGAGAGAGAGAAAACAAATTAAAAGATCTTCCAATTCCATTCTCGTACATGCAAATCACAATCCATGCTATAGATTGTTTCTATTCCTCCTTATTTATTGCTTGCATCTGTTCATGCATGGACCAGGTGGAGAGAGCATTACTTAAAAATAGAATTAGACATCTGTTTTAGGCAAATTAGATTCCTTACATAACCATATATACGTTATGACGCATATACATGTATGTAGATGTACTAATGTATTATATATGTATGCCTGGCTCCCTGTATGCCATATGCTGAGCTCATCGAGTATCGATGACCTCCGTGGATGGCGTATGAGGAGCCATGCATATCCTCATACATATATATACATAATTATGTGATGGTGCCAATTGAATTGTGCTGATGAGCTTCTTTGTAGTCGTCTTTGTTCATTGCCTCATCATGTATAGAAGATTAGAGGTACCTCACGAATCAATCAAATGTTTTTTTTCTTGTGATATATTCCTTTGTTAGATATTTTGGTGACGCTCTCTCTCTGATTTCGTTCTTTCAATTCGTATTTTTACAGTACACATGTTTGTCATATCATAAGCACTTTTTACGAGGATTTCTTCTGTGTTCACATAAGTTTGGCATTTTGTTTTATTTTTTAAAAGAAAATGGTTAATTATAACGATAGCTAATTATTACATTCCCGTACGGTTCAGATGGCTTTTGTATCTTTTCAATCATATCGGTTTTATGAATCTAGCTGTATATGTATATAACTTGTGACCTACCCTTTTATCTTATAACCTAGGGGTGTGTTTATTAAATATTGGTTTCAAATGCACAATAGTTTACACATGCACACCACACATTTCGGACTTTGTTTTCGTGAGGTATTGCAATAATTGCATCTGGTTTGTTGGTCTCACATTGAAAATGCCACATATTATTGTTTTGTAATAAAATACATAGACTACTTAAGATCTAACCTTATACAAAGTTCAAGAACTAGTAAGATTTGATTAGAAATAGACTTATACAAAGTTCAAGAAGTAGTAGGATTTGATTAGAAATAGACTAGGTATTTTGTGGTCTATATTTACTTATGAATAATATATATTATTTGTTTGTTAATTATGGATAGGTATTCTAAATTTCTTCTTCCCGAAATATGGTTACAACTATATTAATATTTCGTAAGCCCATTAAAATTAAATCATTCTATTTAGGTAGCTAGACAGGAACAATAAATAAAAGTTTCTGAAGTACTCTAGTAATTTATCAATATACTTAAGCAAAAAGACAGTTCAGATATACGCTATAAATAAGTTGTAGCCGTTATCTCGACGCCATTATGTTAACATCTATTCGTTTGTCACTTTTTGGTGTGTCTGTTGTTAATATATTGCAAAATTTAAACTTTAGGAGTGTTGATCTCTTAAAGATTTTATTAAAAAATGACATTTGAAAGGATTTGTAAGACAAAAGAGAATCAGTTTTGTGGAGGAAGAGCATCAGTTTTAAGTCGTTTGTCTTGGTCTATTACTCTTAACTCTTTAGCTATTAGCCTATTATTATTCTCTGGCCAACTAACCTTACAATATTTGTTGTTAATGCAAGGTTCTTTCTATTTGTTGTTAATGATATTTACATCTGAAAGGAAAAAAGATACGAAAATTGAAATGTTATTAAATTGGCAGAAACCCTAGGAAAGGGTGAGCCTGCGGTGCCTGTAATTATTCCATGCATCCATCCAACCACGCGTGAGACTGTTGACACAAACACACATGACAATGTATAGCCTCAACTTTTTTAAGTTTTTATAGTTTTCTTTTCACTTTTTCTTATTTTTTAACAAAATTTTGTTAATTAGCAATGTAATATTAACATACTTAATCTATAGAAGAAAGGAGAAAATTTTTAACTATAAGAAAATATAGGAGTTGTTGTAATTCTTGCGTTGTCATGTTAACAAGATGTATTATAAGAATTATGGATAGTTTAGACTTAAGAGATTTTAAATCCAATAGTAACATTATAAGTGTATCAAATTTTTAATATCTATGATTGCAGAAAATAAATCATTATAAAATTGTATGGAATAGATTTTGAATAAATGTGTTTGCGTAAAAAAAAAAGAATAAATGTGCTGTATAACATAGATAAATATCTTTAATCTAATAGTAACTTTTTTTTGTTGAATCTTTAGACTTAAATAAGTAAGGAACAAACCCAAGGTATGCGTTAGGAAGAAACAATCACTAAAAATCCAACACGTAACAAAATTCTTTCTAGTCTCCATTATTTGATTTCACCAGTTAGTCAATATTCGTTTTATAGACTCGTAGTATATCACTTCACTGAATAAATAATTTATTTTATCGTTTACTTATATGCTAAATATGAAGTTTGATATTGGGACTATAAAACCATGGGTGGTAAGGTAATGATGAAAGGAAAATAGAAAGAAATAATGTTTTCATTGCTTTGGGAATCAGCTTTTTTTATATCATCAACAAATAAATATTTTTTTTTTGTCATAATCATTAAAGAAAATGTTGTTTATAATAATGATAAGGGGATGGACCACACTAGTCCCTATATATCTTGTGATTGGGCATTAGGGAATGATGAAATGTATTTTAGTATATCAGTCAAAGTAGGTCAACAAAATAATTTCAACAACCGAGGGCCACGCTTATTCCACTTTTTCCAATCAATTATTCTTAATTCGAAATTCTCTAATTCTAATTATACTTAGGCCGTTATCGATCTTTGTGATGTGATGATATGTGTATTTTACATATAAGACAGATTCTACCTCGTAGTGTGGTTATTAACTTGTTCTCTCTATTTCGTACATTTAAATCATATAATATGTAGTGATGTCAATAGGTATAGTGTGGTTAGGTTCGAGTCCGAAGAATTTCTGGTCCATCTTTAACGAAAATTTTGGGTTAACAATTTTGGATGCAGTAATCCTTTTTTTAACTTAACACAAGTTTAGGGTTGTTCGAATCTGAAATAGGAAAGAAAATAAACTGATTTACCTATATATATAATATTAACGTTTTAAACTTTATGATAATCATTCTAACTAAGTACTTAACGACTGTCAAACCTTTATTAAAAAAAAAAACTTTAACGTCTTTGTTTTAGTTTTTTTTTTTGGAAGCGAAGAAGAGACAAAACTCTAATAGTCTAATTACTCGTTGCACGATCGATTTTGGTAGGTTCTCTTTGAAATTCTAATCTAGCTAAGGTGAAATATGCAGTAAATGTTTTGGGCATAACTGCAAAACAAATATCCAGTTTATAGCAGTTGTGGAATTTGGAGTAAGTTTGTGGGGGAAATTGCAAAAATATATAATCTAAAGCAGTTAGATCTAAAAATATTTCAAAATTTTGAGATATATATACAGTATTTGTAAACAAAAATACCTTTGAGTTGTCATTTAAAACCCATTCTAACAAAGCAAATAAAATCTATATAAAAAACTAACAATGTTCAATAGCAAATATAAAATAAACACATAATCCTATAACTTATAATATATAATTTTCAATATAAGTACTTAGTTTAACAATTTTTCAATTTTTTAGAATTCTAAAAATACCAAAAATTTGAAAAATATCATAAAACATTAAGAGTATCGCTTATAATATATATTTTCGGAGACTCTCATGAAATTGGAATCTTCAGTATAGTTCATCACGAAATCATGCGATTCATATCGTCATAATTGTTGTTCTCTTCTCTGAAACGAACTACTTTTACAACGGATTTATCGAAACTGGTTTTGAGAAATGCCAAAAAAGAATTCGTCCAAACAACAAAACAAAGATGTCTTGTGCAAGCACTATGCTTCAAAAACATCTCGTAGCTATTCACGCATTTTGGTATCAAGAAGATGGTTTCCAAAACAAAATTCGAACGTGATGTCAAATATGCAGTGGTATAAAAAATTGAGTGGTCTTCATCTCAATATACTACAAAAGACAGTTACTAAACCATTTTTAAGATGAAATTGCTATATAGACTGATTTCTTCTTTTTTCACGCAATTTTCTCTTAAGTTTATGATTTGGTTAATCAACTAAACTACAACAGAAGCCCAAGTTGATGCGTGTAATCAAACCATTAAGAGAGTAAACATATGAATGTACCAAAACTAAACCCGATTAAAAAGTAAGAGTTGATTGACTATATGACATAAATTTGAGAAATAACTATGTAATGGCTCTTTATAGTATATGATACTTAACCGGCTCAAATTGAGCTAGTTCCATAAGTTCTGAATTGCCACGTTGCCACGTGAGCATATGTTAACGAAGTCGTTATTTTGATAAGTTAATGGAAGTAATGAAGATACTTTCCGAAAAAAAAAAAAAAGGATTGAAAATGAATACCCTCTAAAAAGATATATAAACACATAACATTTGATCCTACCTAAGATTCGATGGCTAAATATGTTTACATTTGGATCATAAGAAAAAAGGAAGAGACTTAGAACATTAGCCTGCAAATGCAAGTGCAACAAGAGTTTATACTATTAACAATTTAACCAGTAACCAGTAACTAAGGACATTTTCTGATTCAGTTTGACAAACAAATCAGTGGGTTTATTACTTTGATAATCAATTTATCATACAATTTGTAAGGAGAAATAAAAACAATATTGCTGAATATATTTCACATTTTGAGAGGCTTCAGCAACTTAAAAAGTGAGTCCAGACTTGACGATGAGATCAAGAAAACTCAGTAGATTTTTGATATTGGGTCGTTCGTTGGGGTTTTCCCTCACAGCAAGCTCAGCTAATTCAGCCAATTTAAGCAAAGGCTCTACATTTCTTGGCAAACCGATGTTCCTATCGATAATCGCCGCTGCTTTACCTTTCCTGATCAAAGGAACCGCCCATTCCGCTATCCCGGGAGGATCAGATTCTCTATCGATAGCTTTCCGCCCGCTTAGTATCTCAAGAAGCACAATACCGAAGTCATACACATCACCTTCTCTATCACTATTGCTTGAATCCCTTTCATTCGAGCTTACCAATCCGAAATCCGCAATCCTTGCGCACATTTCACCGTCTAACAAGATGTTGGACGTTTTCACATCTCTGTGAATTATCGGAGGATCTACTTCGTTGTGTAAGTAATCAAGTCCTCTTGTAGCCTGCAACATGATCTTCAATCTCATGCTCCAATCCAATTGTGAAAGATCTCCATGGAGATGATCATGGAGCGTACCGTGCGGCATGTACTCATAAACCAAAAGCCGTTCCCCCATTTCAGAGCAGTATCCTAACAAATTCACAATATTGTTGTGTCTGATTTTGCAAAGAATCTCTAGCTCCGACTCGAAACCTCGGTTATTAGAATGAATGATCGTTGCAGCATTCGCTCTTTTGACAGCAACATGTATCCCATCAGACAAAACAGCTTTGTAGACAAACCCGAAGCTACCTCTTCCCAGCTCGTTGAATTCTTTGAATCCGTGAGTCGCATCTTTGAGCTCCGAAAGACGGAAGATTTTGGTCTCCCCGAGAGATACAGCGGTTGGTAGAAGAACCGACTGAGGGACAGGATCAGGATCAGCTTCGACAGAATTCTTATCGAAACAGAAGCAACAAGTCATTTTGCTTCTCTCTTCATCATCTCTTTTACTACCTTTTGTCATCTTTGGAATGAAAGACAAACCAATCAACATCACCAAGAATCCTAAAACAGAGCATCCAATGATGATTACCAATCTCCGTACCTCTCTCTGCTCTTTCTGCTCATGCTCCTTCAATTTCGCAACCCGAATCTTACAGATACCGTAACAAGAACTGTTCTGACATAGTGAACAAGGAGTACAGACCCGGTCCGCATTTGGATTACAAGTGCTGGAAGGAAAATAGCCTTCCAAGCAACTGATTCCACAGCGTAAGCAAATGTTGAGGTTATGAAACGAGCACAAGCTAGTAAGCTCAGATTCTTTCAAGATACTTGCATTGAAAGCAAACCAGCCATCACCACAATTACCGCGTGGCGAACACATCCCGGGGCTACATAACTCCAAAGGAGGACTATAATCCGCTTTCGAAGAATCATGAACTCTCCAACAATCAAGAACCAAATCAAGCTCTCTGACTCCACACGTTGTAGAATCCGAAGACGAAATCGCCACAAAACCCGAAGTATTAGGAGCTGAAGATGACGACGAAGAATTCAAGTTTCTTCCCCAACACTCAACCCCATGATCATCCTCACGGATACCACAGTAATGATTAGCACCAGCTGAAAGAGCGATAAACCGAGGCCGGTTCGGTAACACACCAAACTCTGTTTCATCTCCAAAGCATTGAAGTTTACCTGAATCTTTAGAGACACCACAAACAGAGTTCCTCCCAGAAGCTAAAACCTCGAATTCTTCATTGTTGGAGAAATTCAAAAGGTTTGATTTTGGTCCCCAACAAACCAAGTCTCCATCTTTAGTAACACCACAAGAAAACCCATCTCCAGAAACAATCTTACGAAACATGAGACTATCTATATAAGGATTATGAAAAGAAGAATTCCAAAGAACACCAGAAGTGAAATTAGTGTTATCACTATACTCCCAACAATGAACAGGACCATAATCAGGACCTGAATAGTACAATCCACTTATAGCACAAACATGATTGTTACCAGAAGCGATCTGTAAGTAAGAATTATACTGAAAAGCTCGAGGAACAAGATTCTCAGAAGGATCTTCAAGGTTCCAACAATACGCACGCGAAGTGTTCGACGTAATGGCGCAGAGAAAACCTTCACCACCGGAAAGTGAAGTCATTGGAGGAGAATAACCGGAGATTTCACCTGGGGGTCGGTTTAAAGATCGGTTAGTGTTTCCTCTATCCCAACAGATGACTTCTTGCTTCCCACTTGCGTCAATGGCGCAGAAGAATCCGTTTTCGCCAAAAGCTGCAGCGATTGTGCCTGTTGAGCCATACCCAGAAACAGTAATGATGAGTGATGAAATGGTGAAGAAGATGAAGATGTGGGAATTGGGTGGCATTTTTGGGTTTGAGTTGATGAATGTTTTGGTGAGATGATTGAAGAAGGTTGAGGAAGAAGAAGAATTGATCTGAGAGGTGATTGAGTAGACATGTTAATGAATGCAGTTCTTGTTTTGTTTTTTTTTTAAGAATAAAAATTGTAATAATAATGGAAGTGAGCTGTTATGTCTGCGCGAAGGTTCATTGGAGAGAGACAATCCAAGTTTACAAATTGGTCAGGGAGATGGAATTTACCAAACCAAGAAAAAAAAAAGTATTAATCATTTATTGTAATTTTTGTATGAAATAAATAAAATTCTGTACGGACATTTATTTTACTGTTAGGATCAGAGCTCTGTTATGTTATTGGAAATGGTGACCCATAAAAAAAAAAAAATTATAGTCCAAAGTCCAATTGTCCAAACCATACGGAATTATCGAATGTGGCATACTAATTTTGTGTATATAATCAATAAATTAGTTTTGAATTTTGTGTTAGATAGTTATAACTTATAAGCAAAAAAAAAAAAAAAAAAAAAAAAAAAAAAAAAAAAAAAAAAAAAAACTTATAAGCAAATTAAATTATCAAAAAAAAAAAAACTTATAAGCAAATTAAGGCAAATGTTTTTCACAGCAAGGCAATTATTAGGAAGAAAAAAAAAAGGTTGTGTCGTGCAAATTAGAGTACGGTCAAAAGGATTTAATAGTTGACTTTGCATTTAATCATATGTTCAAAAAGCACATGCTTTTCTCCACGTGATATTAGCTTAAACAGTGCCGTTAATTAAAATATTCTTTATACACTTGCATTTACTTGTTGTCAACATTCGATGTTAGCTATAACGTTGTTTGGATTCTTTGGACTTTGTAGGATCGGATTCAATTGTTTATAAGGTTGTTCCAAGGGACGAAAAACTAAATCAAAACTCAATCAAATCTTTGATGTTATATGATTTGCCTAAATGAAGTATACATGGTAGTATAATTGATTCGTCTAAACTAAACTACACATACCATTTAATGATTTCGTTTTGATGACAATGTTTAGTCCAAACAATAATTAATTATCGCCAAAGCATTAATCATCATAAGAGGATGAGCTCAACTTTATAAAGCATATATTTTTATAAAGATCATGATAGAAAGGCTCGAATTTTTGTTCTTTAATTCTTATCTTCAACTTAACCACTAGATCACGGTAAATTGATTGTTCAATTTAATTTACACTATGCATTAAAAATAAATTACTGGTAAGAGAAACCTAAAACATTACTAGTGGCAATATAAAACCTGAACATATTCATAATTTTCAATAACCACATTTTTTTTTTTTTTTGATAATCCAGGTATCCGGGCCGAAGCCCGACTAGCACCAAGGCTTGAGGCCGGTTCCCTGTCGGGCCGTCCGAGCCCAACGCTCAGTGTGTTTCCTGGAGGCCCTAGGGGGCCAGGTAAAAACCTCGGTGGCCAACGGGAATCGAAGTGCGGGCACCATATTGGGATTACCCCCTCAAATACCACTAGCCCAACCCACGTTGGTTTTTCAATAACCACATTATCATATACTAGTCAACGTTTCCCAAATAGGTTGCTACTTGCTCGCCTAAAGTGCGTTTACCCACACTATCAGTGAAAAAGGGTTTGTTGATATAAATACACAAAAATGGTTTGTGAATAAGAAATAATATTGGTGAGTTCCGAAATTACCGTGAAACGAACGCACCAAACGTGGTCATTGTTCACACTCGGATAAAAAACTTAGTTAATAGTGTTGCAACGTCAAGTCTCCGATTATGTGCTTAGTTAAGGATATTCTGTACATTAAACGCCAACGAGAAACTACGTAATAGCATGTGAGCATTGAATTAAGAACTAAACAAAATCAATTGTTAATTAGGATAATAATAAAGGAAGATCGCACACAGGATCACACCAGATTTAGGGAAGCTTGAAGAGAGAACATCGGCTTGTGTTAAGTGGGCCAAGTAGATACTGTCTTCTCTGTCTTTTACTCCAACTCATATACATACATACATGATACATTCATAAAAAAGTTATAATACATTTATACAACCACTTGTCTTTTTTTTTTTGTTGTATGTCCTTGAATTACAGGTTGTTCTTACACATTTTTCGTTTAATACATATCTCCCTATATCAATAAGACAAATAAAATTTTCGAATCATTAGGAATAAGTAATATTAGTTTACACACATAGGTGGGTTATGTCCGGTCGTCACGGGACGAGTTAGAAGAATCGTAGGTTTTGTAGGCTAAACATGCCGCAGATTGCAGTCTGTAGAATTCATTGTTTCATGCAAATTGCAGACCAGACCGTGAACCTTTTATATTTGACAAAATAATTTGATAATATAAGTACAGATTTTAAAGAATATCTTGTCTATATGCTATATTTAACCTTTATAAACGATAAACAATGTAAGACATAGACTATATATTATTATCAATGTAAGGGTGATAAAATATATTATTCGGTTTGTTATGTTTGTGAATGTCCAACATAGATCATATCAAAGTGTATACGTATTATGATTTGGTTACAATATCACTCTTTTAATTGTTTTGTTTGCAAGTGCTTTGGTCTAGCGTGATCTGCTTAATGTAGAAACGGATCTGAAATATAAGAAACAATTGGGCCGGTAGGCCCGATACTGTCATATTTTTACTTTTTTTTTTAACTATCTATTACTGTTGATTTTTCTTACGCCTTTACCAAATCGGACCCATTTATTCGAGAGACCAATTTCAAAACCTTATCGCGACGACTCTTTGAAGCTCCGTTGCTTACGTGGATCACTCCTCTCCGCCACAAAAACAAAACTAAAAAAGCAGAGTCATGAGCTAAGCCGTCACTCTCACTCTCTGATGTCTCACGAATTCCGATTTCGATTCTAAACTTAAACCTATATCTCCGATCAAACATGGCATCAGTATCTCCATCGCCGTCGTGTTCCACCATACCCACACCAGTTCGACACTCGTCTCGAACATCTTTCGCCGTTGCTGAATTGCGACGATTAAATCAAAGAAGAGCGATCCCAACAGTGTCCGTCAGTCTCGGCCACTTCGCTGATGTTGTACGCAATGACGTTGATTTCTTGAAGAACAAAATCGGTATCGGACTCCGGTGGGCTAACGAGGCTTTTCGTGTACCAGAAGTGACTAAATCCGCTGAGGAATTGTTTTGGCTTCGGCATCTTGAGGATCATGCTTCTTCGAATTTAGAGTCACAATCTTGGCCTCAGCCTTCCTACTCAGGTTTTGGTTTTCGATTTCGGTGATCATGATTGTTAATTTGTTGCTTGACTCGATCAGAACAATGCTTTGATAGATATATCTTAGTTCTGACTTCTGAACCATTTGGTGCATCGTTCGAGAAAGTAGTCCTATGAAAGAGAACAGCTTTTTCAAAAGTAGAGCTTTTTAGATGTCTTGCAATGGCGGCAATAGTGACTGTGATTATAAAGTTGAGACCTTTAGGTTGGAGTACCAGTGGGAGTCGATTGTTGCCACTGATCAAACAAAAATACTTATCTGATGGATGACTAGATTTTTTTTCTTTCCAATCAATGGCATTCCTATATATTCGGAGCACATGTGATTGGTCTCTCCTTGTTTGCTGTTAGTAGTGATCATTTGCTGATGCAGTTTGAATCGTTTGGTAGGGCTCTCTGGGGTGGACTTGTTTATGGCTGATGTCAAAGCCTTGGAGGCATATGCTGCTTACTTTTACTGTCTTTCTAAGATGTGGTCAAGACCACTTCCTGAAGTTTATGATTCACAAGCTGTTGCAGATTACTTTAATTGCAGGCCGCATGTCGTTGCCTATAGGCTTCTCGAGGTATTCGTTAAGAGTTTTGGTTGGTTCTTTTACCAATCACTGGATGATTTTAAACTTTGATAAATGCTTTAGAGATACTGATGATATATGATGAACTGTTTCGTTTTGAGATTAGCACAATGGAAACTAAAATGACCTCAAATTACCAAACTGTTTTTCTAATTGCAGTAAAGTTTTGCTTAGTTTTAGGTACTGCGAAACTGACTGCCCACTATTTAAAATGTTTCCGGGTTACTTAACTATATGCTTCCGTATTTACCTTTATCTTTATAACTACTGGTTTAGAAACTTTAGCCTAACACATTAGTATTTTTGTTTTTCTTGAGTGACAGAAAATTCGGATGTGATTGTAATTGATTTTTAATTATATAGGTATTTTCTGCTTTCATGGTTGCTGCCATCAGACTACGAACATCAGCATCAGACAAAAGCAAAAGTTTAGAAGCTTCAGAGCAGAATTTTGGGATGGTGTTGAAAGAAACCATGCTACATTTGGGTCCAACTTTTATTAAAGGTCTGGCGTTTAGTGTATTATTTTGAAGTATGAAACTTTCCATCAGTCACCATTTACATTTAGAGCCATATATTAAGATACTTTGCTCTGTTGCAAATGATACTTCCCTCTCTTCTGCTGGTCCAGTTGGTCAATCGCTTTCGACGAGGCCAGATATCATTGGGACTGAAATCTCCAAGGTCAGATAGAAGTTATGATCGCATTTGTCTTAATCTCCTAGCTTCTAATTGTCAGTCGTTTTACTTGTATAACGTAATGTCTTGCTAGTGCAATGTTTCCATGGTTTTTTCTCCATTCTGCATGCCACATTTGGTTGCTCTTAGGGATGCAGCTGTCTGACTATGTTAGTTTTCATATGTCATTAACTGGGTTATGATTTGAAACGGCAGGCACTATCTGAACTTCATGACCGAATCCCTCCCTTTCCCTGGCCCGAGGCTGTAAAAATCATTGAAGAGGAATTAGGTGGTCCTGTCGAATCATTCTTTAGCCAGTTTTCTCAAGAAACTGTAGCAGCAGCATCCTTTGGTCAGGTATTTACTCTGGTGTTTATCTTACAAGAAGTAAGCATCATATGAATGAACATGTAGGTTGCAAGCCTAATACTTGACATGCAATTTTTAGGTCTACCGAGGAAGGACTCTTGATGGTTCAGATGTTGCAGTGAAAGTTCAGCGCCCCGATCTGAGACATGCAGTGCTACGCGACATTTACATTTTGCGACTTGGGGTTCGTGTGAAAGCTACCAAGTAATGTCAAATCAATCTACTTGAATCATGTCATAGGTATATGATATTTCTTTTGATTGGTGCAGTTAGGTGTATTGCGAAAGGTAGCAAAGAGAGAAAATGACATTCGTGTATATGCTGATGAGCTTGGAATGGGTTTGGCTGGAGAATTGGACTTTACTTTAGAGGCTGCCAATGCCTTGGAATTTCAGGTACTCGCCATTAGTTTTTTAGAAAACATGATACTTTTAGAGGCTGCCAATGCCTCTGATTTTTGGCTGTAAAGAACCGAAAGTTAGTTTGGCAAAAACAAAATGAAAAAAAGTGTGACAAAAAAAAAAGTTAATGCTTTATGCTTCTTCTGATAGAGATCTTGCTTTGTCCCCTCTAAGTGTGATGTGCTCATTATCTGTCCAGGCGTTAACTTGTGGCTTATATAGCTTGTGCAATCAAAGTTTAAATGTTGTAATTCTTTTCCTTTACAATGTACTCTCCATTCGTGCTACTGTGCTAGTATCTATATTATTTCCTTAATTTTGTGATTTAAGTTTAACGGCAAGCATCTAGTATGTTTTGACTGATTGAAGTACTTCATTTCTTGAAGGAAGCTCATTCACGATTTTCCTATATCCGGGTTCCAAAAGTATATAAGCATCTAACGCGCAAAAGAGTGTTGACCATGGAATGGATGGTTGGTGAAAGCCCCACCGATCTACTCACAATATCTTCTGGTTACTCTGATCATGACAATGAGAGTCATGAAAAGCAAAAAATTGAAGCGAGAAGGCGTCTTCTTGATCTAGTAGGTTAACATATGTTTGGTAGCATAAATCTTCCTCCTGATTATATTTTGATGTTTATTAGTAAAGGCATGCGACTGTTTGTAACGTTACTTCAATGCAGTCAGTGAAAAATAGTAGAATTAATCTTACAGATGCCTTCAGTTGTTTATATTGAACTGCATCGTAATTTGTTTTGATCCATGTTAGTTTGGTAGTACCATTTTGCTAGACTATATGATGTTCAAATGGCTGAGATTGCTTTTTAATTTCCATTGTAGGTGAACAAAGGGGTAGAGGCAACACTAGTTCAACTCCTTGATACAGGTATTTTGCATGCAGATCCGCATCCTGGAAATCTGCGGTACACAACATCAAGACAAATAGGGTATCTCTTGACCATCCATCAGCGTTACTCAGAAAATTCTGACTTTGACAGGATGATCTTGATTTGATAACCATGTGTTTCTATGCAAGGTTTTTGGACTTTGGTTTAGTTTGTCGGATGCAAAGAAAACATCAGCTTGCCATGCTCGCATCAATTGTGCATATCGTAAATGGTGATTGGGCCTTTCTTGTTGAATCTTTGACTGATATGGATGTCATCACGCCAGGTGTTAATACCCGTCGTTTTACTCTGGTAAATATATAATTTCTGATCTCAGATAGTGTAGTGTATTTTCAATTAGAATATAGCTGAATGTTTTGTATATTAACTTTTCAGAAGTTGCTATTCTCATATCTAATGGTTCTTGAAAATAATACAGGATCTGGAATATGCATTGGGAGAGGTTAAACTTATAAACGGGATTCCTGATATCGAGTTCACCAAGGTGAGACATGTATTTCACAAACTGTTCTTCATTGACACAAGAAATAGTTACGTGGAGTATCTACCCCAGTCTTCAAAAATAGATACATTCTTCTCTGTGTTAGTATCCTTGAACCTAGTTACTTAAAGTACTAGGATGCTAGGAAGTTCGATCTGCACTCTTATATTGTAGCAGCCTCTATCTTGTAGCTCGTACATGAGAATGCTACCGATCTACAATGGTTATAGTTTTATCTTCTGGATGAGTACCATTGGATTCACTAATATTTCTTCCAATGCTACTAATTTTGTCAAGGTGCTTAGTAAAATAGTCAAAGTGGCCCTGAAGTATCAGCTACGCATGCCACCATACTTCACACTTGTTCTCCGTTCTCTTGCTTGCTTGGAAGGTAATTGTGATCGAGTCCTTGATTCTTTGTTTGATGGTTTTGTTATCATGGGTTGAAGAAATAGTATATCATCAAAGCATGTTTAAATATATCAAGAGAGAACCCGCCTTTTGAGCTGGTATCTGCATCTGCATGGATCGTGTATAATGTATGGTCAATGTTATATTATATATTTTCTTAACCTGGTGCCTATTTTTTATATGGCTGTGGTAGAAAAACAAAACATTATCCAGGAAATTATCTTAAATGATCATGGATGATATTATAGTCAGATAACTTCATTTGTCATCTCTTTCTAGCCATACTTGGTTAGTTGGTTTCCATTACTTGGCATTTTGCGTCATTCTTTTTGTTGGCCTAGAAGAATATTCAGTTCGTTTGTTTCCACTCTTTAGTTATTTGCGTTCTATTGTTGTCTTCCCAGGTCTGGCTGCAGCTGGAGATCCAAACTTTAAGACATTTGAGGCTGCATACCCTTTTGTGGTTCAAAAACTCATCACTGAAAATTCAGCTGCAACAAGGAAGATTCTTCATTCGGTACTACACAGTTTCTAGTGCAAGTGATTTCTTAGATTCACTGAAAATAGGATAGAAACTTTGTTTCTCTCTTTCATAAAGCTACAATGGCAGAAAATACTTGACTTTATATCATTTGTAGTACATTTCGGAATTCAGTTACATATCATTTCTGGAATTTGCTCTTGTTTATTTTCACTGTGAATTCATTCGTTCACTGTGGATAAATTGATTAATCTCTGATGGTGTATGTAGGCAGTCCTTAACCGAAAGAAGGAATTCCGATGGGAAAGGGTTGCTCTTTTCCTGAGTAAAAGTTCGATGAGGTATAGTGAATCAGACATTTGACTTAATCATTTGAATTATGTCGAGTTATCTTACAGTTCTGCTGCATAAAGCGTTGGGCTAGGTATTATGGAAATGATGGGAACTTTAGTGCCTCTGGCTCTCTTCTAAGTACTTTCTTTAGTTCAGCAACAGAGAACCATAGTTAAATTTCAGAAGTCTCAGATCAATATAATTCCGAATTGTGTGACTGAAAGTTAATTACAAGCAGTCACATGGCTCAAAACAAAGAGCAAGTACTAGGTATTTAAAGTAGCTTTGACTGGTAATGATTAGATCCTGAGATATCGAATGATCTTAGCATGCATATCCTGTCTTAATTTACCCACGTATAATAAGTTATTTTGTACCTTTTCTAGGAAACAATCGCCACTGGTAACGTTATCGAGGGATGAAACTTCTGTTGATAGTTGTTCCAATCCAACGGACAAAGATGCTGACAATGTAAGTTTGGTCTTGAGACTTTTGGCATCCAAAAACGGTGTGGTTCTTAGAAGACTCTTGATGGCTGCGGTTAGTTTCTACATCCTCATTGCTATTCTTCCAGTCGTTTTACCGTTCTGGTTATGGTTATCATTATCCATTTTTATAAATGTTGGATCTATCCCCATGTTGACTTTAACTCGTGATTTAGGTAGATTTGTCATATTTCTGAGGAAAATGACCGTCGAGTAATAAACTTTGTATTGTTCTCTGCTTTGATAAACAGAACGGGACTTCACTGATCCGGACATTTATTTCAAGAGAGGCACATGTCATCCGCCAGAAACTTTGCATGACGATTGCAACTACGATGTACCAATGGATGGTCGGAAGCCTCGGAATTGAATCCCTTAAATTCATCTCTCTTTCAGACCCACAACTATCTTCAGGAATCAACATTACAGTCAAAGACTTCAAGATTCTAATCAGTGACAAGCGTGTCAGAGTAATACTGAGAAAGATACTGGAATCTGCAAAGAGTGACCGAGTTTTGATGCTCAGATTCTGCTGGACTTCCTTTGTCATGTCTCTCACCACCACTGCTCTTGCGTGCCATCGGTTTGTGATCTCGGTCTCTGAAGGTTACGTCAACTACTTATCTCTGTCTGCTCCAGTTGCACTTCGTACCTGAACATCTCACACCAACACAGAACCAGAAGCACCTAATGTATATTGTTGTCAAGACCCCCAACAAAGGGTTCCTTTGTAAGAGGGCGAGATTCCATAGAAAGACTAAAGATTATCGTGTATAGAGTTGTTCCATATCTAAGACTATCAGACAATCATTGCCTGTCGTAGTGATGTTTGACCATATGTTATGATTACAAGCATAAGATCCGAGCCGAGACATCAAAGATCCTTTTGCTCTGCGTCAAGAATACTTAACAGACTTCTTTACTCTAAAATGCCTCAAGAGTGATATCACATCCACCGAAACCAATTCAATACGAAAAACATATTTGATTGAATTGGACAAATCTCATTTAGTAATACTTTAAAACATATCAGTTAACTAGATGTAAAATCTGTCTACTAATATGATATTATATCATAAAGCCTTAAAGCCTTTGAGCTTATAGCAAAATTCATATAAAGAAACAAGAAAAGTGTTCATTCCTAAGTTCATATCATTTACAAAGAATGAACAAACAGCATGTAAAAAGTATAAAAGTCCTATCACTTCTTGAACGTAAACTCAGACAAATCAACCTTGACATGCTCAATAATCTCATTCTCTTCTCTAACAGGACTTACCATGTCAACTTGAGGATGATGACTATTGCTGAATTCAGAATCTGTGATCTCACGCTGGTAAGAGTGATTCTGAGATTCCGGATCGAAGAAATGCTGATGGCCATGGCCTTGGCCGCTATAATCAGAGAATCTAGGAGGAGAAGGAGAGGCAGTGAAGCTGGTTTGTTGGTCGAGGCTGCGGTTATTGTAGTTGTGGAGGAGATGCACCGGTGACATGCCATGTGTTGGCGTAGTAGGGCGGCTCGAGTGAGGTGTGTTAGATCCTGAGTGTCCATGTTTCGTCTGTTTCTTGGCTGTGTGGTGCCATTTCTTCAATGCATTGGCTACCCTATCGTTGAATATGGTCGGTCTCATTGATGTTCCCATCTGCAATCACATTTAGTGTTAGAGAAAGCCTACATCCAAAATAAGCTAAACAATATATGGGACAATCACAATTTGTAGAAAGCCCTTGATAGTATCATCAAACATGACGCTTAGCAATTTAAAATTTGTAAGTATACCTGAGTAACAAGGGCATAGAGAGGTAGAGTGATGTAGCTGCATAGAACTTGTATTAATACCCTGCCATATACAACAAGAAGAAAATTTGATTTTAAGATACAAAACATACATAAGATCATTTTATGCTTTTGTATAGTATGTATAGTTGAAGAAGTTAACAAACCCCATGGTGATCCTAATTGCAATATCTTCGGTTTTGTGGTGGAAGCAGTTTTTGAGTGTGAATTCGTACTGCAAAATTAATTCCAAAACCATAATCATTAATTTATTAAAAATATATTTAAATTGGAAGAAAAGAATTCGAGAAAAGATTGATTGTTATTGCTTACAGTGCTCCAAACGAAGAAAGCCAATTGAAATGCATTCTGTAAAAAAAAATACACAAAGAAAACAAAATTTAGAAAATAATAATAAGGAAATAAATAAATGGTAAATGTAAAACAGTAAAAAAGTGTACCGTGAAAAGAACCAAGTGAATGAGGAAGAGAATGAAACGAGGACGACCAAACCAAAAGAGATCATCACCCGGTTCAACAACAGGAGCTCCTTTAACCACATCTCCTTTTTCTTGAATCCTTAATCCTAATTTCGATATTATCATTTGAAGTTTTGCTCCTACTATCAATATCACCTTCAATTTAAACCAATTATATACAATTATTATTTATTCACAACTACATAATTAATAGATTGAAGACTTTGAAGTTAAAGTGTTTATTACTTACAATCAAGGGAATGAAGGGCAGCCAAAGATATGAGTCCCATCCTATTTTAATTTGAAAAAGACATTGAAATTTATAAGATAATTCGTTGATATATAACAATTTGCTTAATTTACATTCTTAAATGAATTGTTAGAGAACGAGGACAAACCATGTGTATTGGTCAGTATGAATAAGACAGCAATGCACCATATCAGTGGGCTGCATTCACACAAAGATGTGAACTAATTCAATCAAATATATAATTTTAATTTGTGGACGATTAGATTATTGGAAGAAAATATTTCTAAACTTGATTTAAATAGTAAAAGACAATTAAGGGACAAACCTTATACCGACAACCACCGTGAAATCTTGTTCCAAAGATCTTTCAATGTATTTTTGAAAATCGAAACGAGCTGCACTTCCTGCTGGCAAATGTGCCTGCACCAATTGGAGTAATTAATCAACAATTCAGAATTTATTAATCCATGTATGCTAGTTATTATTATTACTTACCATAATAAAACCATGTCTTAGTGTAAGATAATCTACTTTTGTCACTGATCCAAAGAACTGTCTGAAGAAACATGTCTGCATTCCATCCATAAGTTTTGTTGTCAAATTTTAACCAAACTATAGAAAAAATTAGTCAAAAATTTGAAAAATAAAGAAATGAAAACTTACAATCCAAAGGGTAAATGTAGACTTGCTCCATATATTCAAATGTCTACGTCCGAATGATGTATCTCTTGCAAATCTGAACCTCTCTGGATCTATAATAGTTAAATAACCAATTGAACTAATTAAATTAAATCAAATCAGAGGACAGAACATATATCGTTAAATAAAATATGATGTTACTTTCTTGCGTTATATTGTTTATTCATGAGTCAAACAAAAGACGTTGTATCATTGGATAATCTTACTTATAATATCGAATTCGATTATCTAAGTCTATAAAATAAACAACTAATTAATCAAAAAGTAACTTAAGTTGAGATATAGATACGCGATCAAGATGTTAACCTTGGCAAAGTCAACTACCGGATTATTAGTCTTTTTTTTTCTTTGATTATCACTAAAAAAAAAAAACTCTACGGCCATGAGATATAGGGTGTGTTATGTATGTACATACCATTGGCATATTGGTACTCAATTGTTTTGGTCTCTCTCTCCCATGACTTCCATTTCTTCATCTACATATTACATAACCAATATAATAAAAAAACTGAACACATACAAATATATGAATGAACTTGTACAAAATACATAGAGAAGATCATGTACCTTGGTCTTTCCTAAAGCATAGGTTATAATGCAGTAGAGAACATGAAAAACAGCGAGCACAAAGATGAATATATGCAGCTGGTGGATACCATAAGCAGATACTAATGCCACTTTCCCCTGAATATAAAACAAATATGAAATAAGAATCAGATATATTTGCTAAACATAATTAAGGGTGGAAAATTAAAAATAATCAGTATATATATATATATATATATATATATATATGAAACTTGCCTTTTCTGCGCATTTGTCATAACCTTTGGTAGCTAAACTTCGGCGAGGACTATAAAAGTCGTTGGAGTCAAAATCCTCAAGAATTTTGCGGCCATCATCGATATAATCTTTACCGTATTTAGCGATTTCTTGTTGGTTGCTACAAGGATGCCAAGTGGCAGCAATATTTCTTGGAATGCAAATCTCGGAGACTGGTGTTTGCAATACAACCAATAGAAGCGATATGAATCCCAGAAGCATCAACTCTATTTTCATGATCATAAACCAACAACAAAAAAAGAAAGTTAGTCGAGAATCCAAATGGAGAAAGATCAATCATATTGTCATATAAAAAGTCGTCTTTGATGACAATTTTTTTTATAGAATAGTGAACTTGCCTGCTTTAACCTTTTCAAGAGCTTCAGATAAAGCTTTCTTGTGCTTCTTTTTAAACCACTACAATAAGTGAAAAGAAGAATTAGAGATTAATTATGGGGTTACCGAATAAATTTTGATTTCCTAGTTAAGAAAAAGCGAGATGATGCATTAATAACCTTAAACTGCCAAATTAATATAGTAATTAATGTGTATCTTCTTATCACTTAGAGAAAAGCAAAAAGAGAGAAAGGAAGATTTGAAAATATAAAAAATGGAAAATATACGTACGTGACCAATAAAGTGCAAGAAGTATTCGATCATGATGGAAATGAAAAGGAGAACGAAGCAAACAACAGCAACAGCCCATGTTGGTGTCTCCTCCAACGATCGCTCTTTTATTGCCATTAATTTCACTGCTCAAAACTCTTAAGTTTTTTTTTTGGTTAAACTTTAAACTCTTAAGTTTCTTAGCTTTTAGGGTTTGGCAAGTTTTATCTTCTTTTTTTTTTGTGCAATGGCAAGTTTAATCTATAAGGGGAAAAGGAGAAAGAAAGTGATATGGCCTTTGTTCCTGTTATGTCTCTATATATATATTGGAATAGAAACAAGATGCATATGTTATTTCTTTGGAGAGGGAATTATAAAAGAAAGTCAAATAAGTGAAAGCCGCAATTATTTATTAAAAAAATAAGGGAAACGAAGACTTTTGACTAATTCAAAGATAACGACTTGAGATGAAGTGGCATGAGGAGACTGGCCAGTAACGCCGTGTGAACTTAGCTACCACTTCTTATGGTATACCTTAAAACGAATTTTTCGATTTTAAAAACTCAATGTAGTGTTCGGTCGTTGTGATAAAGACCGAAATTTTGTTTTCAAAAAAAAAAAAAGACCGAAATTTTGTTCATGAGGCGCATTCATATTTTATGAGTTTATGGTACGATCAAAGAAATGATTTTTTGGCAGCTGACGAAAACGGTACATAAAAACTTAAAAACGGTAAAACGATTCTGGTTTGGTGGTGCCGTGGTGGCCTAAAAATGATTCATGTCTCTATGCCATACCAGGATTTAAACCTCCAAAGCACAACTTTTTATTCTTTTGGAAAATTGTAGGTACGTGGTAAACATTTCACAAAATCCACTATAATTTATTTTGAATCATGTGTTAAGTACAACATGTAATATCGTGTGCTATGGGTTAGACGACTATTCATCTGGAAATAGTTATTAGTTAGGTATGTTGGTTAAGACGTTGGATCATCATTGATAACAAGTATGTTAAGATATTTTCATAAATATTTTGTGTATTGATATTACTAAAAAAAAAAATCAAATTGTGACAAGTGAACTCAAGCAAGGTGGGCTTAGGACATAGTTGCCGTTACCGGAAATCCGGAATTTGATTATCGTCTCATATGTTAAACCTACCTGTTGTTGTTAATATTGAAATTTTTTATATTTTTTCTTTGTACCCAATTAAAAATTTACAAGTTGGCAGTTACATTTTTTTTACCCATAATGAAGGTATGCAATTTTTTCTTCATATAAAAAGATGAAATTGAAAATATCTTTAAGCGTGAGGTAAAACTTAGCGTGAAGTCAAACTTAACGAAAGCTGGAATTGGAAGTACTTTGGGTTGACTATGATAATAGTTTCTTAAAATAATTATGGGTCTGCCTTGCATTTCTTGATTGATTTATACAAAACGATCAGTGGCTTATAGAAAGGACTTGAAATCCAAGGTGACTAAAGAAAGAAAACACTCACTAACGGTATTTACAAATTTAGAATCATGAAAAGATATTCTTTCTTACTTCCAATCTCGATGGAACATTTACCATATTAACACAATGGCCATGATTGTTATTTTTCAACTCAATTTTGATATGACTGTCCGACTAATAGTATTAGTCATATTTCAATCAAATTTTTTTCTAAGTAAACTAATATACTTTATCAATATAGCCAATACCAGAGTACAATTCCATTTTTTATAAGAATGAAATAAATTTTAGTGTTAATACAATGACCATTATTTTATGGTTCTATCCTAGAAAACTTATTTCCACCAAGTCAGAGTTGGAACTTCAATAGAATAGTGTACTTTCACATTTTCACTCTAAGCTGAAAAATTGATAAAATAATATTTTAACCGTTTCATCAGGAAGTTGAAATAATTAAATAATTTATTATTTAAAAATAGAAGTTTAGAGTCAACTCAAATCATATTGACATTGCCATTATATGATTTGTACTGATCTAAACTTCCTAAGCGTTGACCCTTTATTGGTAAGGTTGTGGTGTAAAATGACTAAAATCATGTGTCCATCTTTGTTTTGACCCCTAGTTCCAATTTTTCAATCTTAACCGATCTCATATGGTTTCCTTCTTTGAATTTTGTATTCTTCGTCCACATCGTTATCCAATATAAAATTTTGAAAGTCATCTCTAAAAACGTGTTGTTCCCTTGTTTTTTCTACAAGTTGGGCAAATATTAATAATGAGTACTCCCTCTGTTCCAAATTATAAGATGCTTTTGTTAAAAACACAAAGATTAAGAAGTAATAAATGTTTATTTATTTATAAAAATTTAACCAATAAGAAAAAAGGACAGCAGAATTCTAAAGGTCATAAATAAACTAAATAAACATAAATTATGCATAAAAATCTGAAAAAATCTTATATTGTGGAACAAAAAAAAAAAGCTTAAACATCCTATAATTTGGAACAGAGGGAGTAGTATTCAATTCAGAATAAATTTTAATTATATTCAGATTTAATCTATAAATTGATTGACAGTTTTATATTTCTCCAAGTTGGACAAATAACAATAACTAATCTTCATTTCTTGTTTCATGATTAAAATTATATTCATGCAGTCTTAGTCTAGATTAATTAGCACCACTTGAAATTTTCATGATTTCGAGTAGGCCTGGGCGTTCGGATATTCGGGTCGGGTTTTTCGGGTTCGGGTTTTTCGGATTTAGAAAACTAAGACCCGTTCAGGTATTTTAAAACTTCGGGTTCGGATCGGGTTCGGGTCGGGTATTTCGGGTTCGGGTTCGGGTTTACCCAAAGTATCCAAATATTTAAAAATTTGTATCCGATTCTATGAAAAGTATTGAAAATACTCAGAAAATCTATAAATTTTAAGTATTTAATACCCTAATCTAACCAAAAGTAGCTAAAACACCCGAAATATCTTAACATCCGAATAATTTAGACATTTAGGCTATTACAAGTATAAATATTACTAATATATTGTAGCTATGTATTTATATTTCGGATATGTTCGGGTACTTGTTCGGGTTCGAGTTCGGGTCGGGTTCGGGTTCGGGTTTTCGGGTTGTGTAGTTTAGAACCCGTTCGGGTATTTTAAAACTTCGGGTTCGGGTTCGGATCGGGTTTTTCAAGTCGGTTTCGGTTCGGTTCTTCGGGTTCGGGTATTATGCCCAGGCCTAATTTCGAGTATGGTTTGGTTTTTCTTGTTTGACCGCCCATTAAGTTTCTTTGAAGAAAAAACATAGAAATTGTAGTTCAGTTTCTTATTTTAGCTTAAGAAAATATTACGTTTATTACATAAAAAAAAGTTCAGGAAATATCAACTATTTACAAGCGCTTTCAGAGCCTAACTACTAAGAAAAATGAACACGAAAGTTATTACATTCGAAGCCAATTAGTATACGGAAACAGCAAAGTATACAAGGTTAGCTTTTTCTCCTCATAAATTTTAATTAAAAATCATCTGCAATTATGTACGTTATGTCCATAAAAAATGAAAACAAAATGTACACGATGTATTTTTTTTTTTTACTGTTTGTAATTCATTTATGTATTATATCAGTTTTCATATTCATTTATGTATCATATCAGTTTTCATATTTCCAAAATACTCTATAAATGTTTTTTGAATATCTTAAAATAAAATTATGCATAATATTTACAGCAAATTATGTTATTTACATATTTCAATTCATGACATGAAATCTCTTTTAGCTAATTGCTTAGGAATATATAAACTATAATGGTTTTTACTCTATATATTTTTATGAATTTATATTCATATTTAGTGACAGTATTATTAAACTTAATCATATTCTAAATACGTTTAAGAATAATTTACTAACCGGTTTTTAAATAGAATTTGATATTTTGAGAATCATATCATGTATTGTAAAAGAGAAAATATATATTTAATATACAAAACTGGTTGTACAAAATATTTTTTTTAATACAAGTTATCTATTGATTTATACTGTGTTATTACTTATTATATATTTATTATGTTTTAGTTAGTAAATGTGTTTCCTTCGTTTTGTGTGAAAGATATCATCACAAATTTCTCAACTTCTTCTTTATTTTTGTGGATTTCGTATTATAAGCGACTTTGATTGTTTTTTACTGGATTAAATCCATTTAGTTTAGATTAAATATTAGTGGGCTTCATAAAAATAGTTAGTGGGCTTCTCATAGAAAAAATTGAGTTCATTCGCTCAAGATTTAGTGGGACAGAACGTTAGAGGAGCCGGGTAACAAGTCTTTTTCGTCTTTTTGGATGTTTGATGTCTGATGCTCTTTCTGTATGATTATTTCTGTCTTTGTTGTTTAGATAGATTCTTATTATAAACTGGAAATTTATTTGTGATTATTGGGATCTTTATGCTATAATTGTCTGTTTTGATTCCTGAGTTTAAGATCTAGTTACGCCATGAATCTGACTAATTTTTTTTAGTAGGAGAATCTATCGTTTTTAATCAACTTGTCTTTCTGGGATTTTGAAGTTCAGATTTGCTAAGTTGACTCTCGTTTATGAATATATTCATAAATATTCATCTAGTTAGTTTTATGAATATTTAAGTATTCACGTTATGAATATTGCCCAAGTATTAAAACGAAGAAAAATCAAAGGACATCTATTCAAGAGTTATGAAAAATGGTAATTCGTGTACCAATGATATTATCGAGTCTAAAAAGTTATTCATCATAACATCATTGTCTTGATATCATCCACATTATCATTATATCTTCATCATATCATCATTACATACTCATAATCAAATCATCACATCCACATCATCATCACCAAATCCTCATCATCATTTCTTATAAGTTTATTACTCCTAAAGTAAACAAAATTTTTATTTTTTAAAAAAATATATCAATTGGAAATAAATTTAAATTTTTACAGCTAAAGTAAACAAAATTTAATTCAAACTGCAAAACAAATTCATTTTAAACAGCATTTGGATCTTGAGTCCTGATGTTAATTTTGAATTAAAAAAAATTGATTTTCTATCTTCTCCAACCTCTCACGAGCAGTTTTGCCCCCACAAACCTAGATTCCCAAATTGTAAATACATTATTGAGAATGGCGTCATACATGGAAGATACATATGTTCTATTCGATTCATGTTGACTATTAAAACCATACGTTTACGATTGTCACTTCACTATTAATTAGTTTGACTATTAATTCATTATTATTAGTCCGTTAATATTATTATTTTTAATCTTGCTGACAAACAAAAAAAAGATTAAAAAAAAATATTATCGGAGAACTGGTTGAGATGAAAGTGTCACCAAATAATATTCTTTTGCCGAGATTCTTGGACGATTGGTTTCTGCTTTCAGTTTGATAAAAATTAAAAATATACGATACAAAGAGGACAAGTTATTAAACCGACCATTTCTATAATTAAAACATTTTTGTGACTAGTTGGTTTTCAAAATAGGTTGAACAGATACATTTCTTATATTTGATTCCTTTTGACTGTTAAACATACGTTATATACGTGTATGTGTGTGTCACTTCACTATTATTGGATAACTGATTAATAAAGAAAAATATTACTGGACAGGTTGAGATTAAATTAACTAAATCGTGAGGAAAAAATTACTGGTGAGATTATAGCTTTTATACAAATATAATATTTCTTTTGCCGAAACATGGACGCTACTACAACCTCTGATCCGAGATTCTTGGACGATTGGTCTCGATAATGAATGTATGACACTGTGACGCCGTATAACCAAATTGAACAAGATCGATTTAAATTACTCTCTATCACTTTAATGATTATTACAGATTTTAAATTTTTTTAAAAACTGTGTGTTACCTATTATATTCCTCCTTTATATAAAATTTTAATGCAAATTCGAAAAGATCAATTATTTATTATAATGTTAACTAAAAAAATAGTTAATAATTTTACACATAAATATAGAACATATATCACTTAAAATGAAATAATATGATAAGAATTTGAATTAAATATGATTTTCGTTTTTTGTAGTTTCCATGATTTTGTTTTATGTTAAGGTATTATTGTAACTAGAATATTTAGGCCTGTGACAATACAAATTGCTAAATTTAATAGTTCAAAAAAATATGATAATTTTCTCAGAAAAATCATAATATATTACAAATGTTTTTTTTCCAAGCTACCACAATTTCAAAAAAATAAAAATAAACTGATATATTTTTAGAATTGACATTTTTCTAAAAATAGTTTTGTTTCATCCTAAAATCCTATTTAGAGACGACTTTCATATAATTTATTGTTATATCTTTTTCGATTCTCTTATCCACTACATAAATGTTAAAGTGTGGAATTATCTCACGAGTGATCTTTTTAAATCCGGTATCCACTAACTAAAGTTTGAGATTTTTTCGAATATAAGTTTTCTAGAAATGTTGCACGTTTACAATTTTGTTAGTTCTCAAAACCCGTTCACCGTTTCAACTTTCCCACATATCATGGTGACGCACTCGTTCCTGATTTACACATTACGCAAGTGTATACCGACATTAAAAGTCCATGTCGTACCAACACACGTGAGCCAAGTCCTCCCACTTGCAATAATTTAGTTCTTTATCTTTTAATGATTTGTTCAAAGTAATCTCTTGTGGCTCACAAAATCACAAGTCCAACTCATAAGTTGACTCATGACCCTTACCTATCTCCAAATTTCACCCTTCACTACTATCCAAACTCCTAAAACGCAAAACGATAAAAACATCAAATATAAAGTATTGCAACATGAGTGATGGATTGATTGGTTTCACATTGGGGAGATATATAAAACTGATTACAAAATACTTGACCATCTTTTGTTATCTAGTATCTTTAACAATCATCTACTAAAGACTTTACCCTCCTTTGCCTATTACTTTGCCTTTAACATCATCCTTGTCTTCCACCGCCACGGTAGATCTAGCCGCAGCCGGCGCTGCCATCTCCATCTCGGCAGCCAACGCTTTTTCCCTAAACTTTTTGTAGATATCACTCTTGTAAAACTTCTTGGTCCGGATCACCAAAACCATCGAGACCAATACACCGAACAAAGTTACCGCAGTAATTATTATAAAAGACAACTTAAAACAAGACGTGCCTATGCAATTCAAATCTTGCCCTTCTACTCTCGTTTTCCCTAATGCCTTATATTGTTTACCCGCCTCCACGTCGTACAAATACCCTGCCACCCGAACGTTTAGCAAGTAAGACCCGATCGGGCTCGCGACTGACCCGAAGTTATACAACGTCGAGTAGTACTTAAGCCCGAAAATCTCGGATATTATAGCAAATAGAAGCGGCCATTGCGCACCGAAACAAAACCCAATGATGACCGATGCGACATAGAGTCCACCAGGGACATTAAAAGCGATGAGGAGATGACCAGCGCAGGACAAGAGGAGGACCATTGTGAGCATTAGAGGTCTTGGAAATTTGTATTTGATCAAGAAGATCTCAGAGACCACACCTGAAACCACACGACCATAGTAATTCCATATGCTTACGAGTGACACAAACGTGCTTACACTTCTCTTTGGGTAACCCAACGAGTCTCCGATTTGACCCAAATTGTCTATCGCCGTCAAAGTCCCTCCTACACCACATATCGTTGCTAAGAACAAAATCAACATGTCTACGCTAAACAACGCTTGCAAGATTGTATAGTCATCTCCTCTCTCCGGTGGATTAAACACAGTCCTCCAACACGACGCTGTTTTAACCTTCTCCTCTTCCTCCTTTGTCTCTTCATCATCATCTTTGAACTCTGATGAATCTAACTTGGGTTTCTCAGTTACGACATTGATGGGTGCTGGATCGTTTAAGGCGACTTGTTTCTCCCTCCAAAGCTTCTTCTCTTCCAAGATGACGACTATGATGGGCAAAAGAAGCAAGACGATCACCACTGCGGCGCTACCTCCAAACTCGCTTTGTGTAAAGCCCGAGAGTTTGTTGATGATGATGACCACCATGAGAAACGTCGCAAGCCCGAGTGATATGTAGAGGAAGTTATAGAACACCTTTAGTTCGTTTGTCTGTCTCTTCACTTTCATTATTCTTATCGTTCTCAAAAACGCAAACGAGACTATTGCGGGCAACCAACCTACAAATACAATCACTCATACAATTAGTGGGTTTCAATTCAAGATTTGCTCTGTTTTTGCTCTGTTTTGCTCTGTTTTACTCTGTTTCATGTCATTAACAATACGGTCTCATTAATAATTGTATAAATTGTGCTTACCAATCATCAAGATGAGCTCTTTTGTGTCTTCACCATAAAAGGCACGGTAGAGCTGTGTAATAATGGCGCCACTAAGACCAACATAGCCCTTGAGAATCCCCAAGACAACCCCACGTGACTCCGGGAAGTTCTTAACGCACGTGACGAGAGATCCGGTATTAGCGAATGACTGGGAGTTGGCTCCAACGCAGATGTAGAGACACATGTGCCAAACTTGAGGTTTCGAGATCCGTTCCGTGACGGCGAGCCAAATCATGAAGTATCCAAAGAAGTTAAGGATGGCTCCGATCAAGAGGATGAACCAAGGTGGAGTTACCTCATTGAGTAGACCAGCGAGGACTCCAACGTTGGCTCCAAGATCTTTGAAGAAACTGAGGAGATTAAGAGTGGTTTGGTCGTAGCCTAAGGTTTTCTTGATATCGCCTGAGTAGATACCAAACATGTAAGTGGCTCCAGCGGTAGACATGATTAAGAGACTTCCAAAGAACATGAACCATCTTCCGGTTAGGATTTGGATGGTTAAGCTCTTCATTGAGCCACCGGGACTTGCAGCCACCATTTTTTGGTTTTAGGAGAGAAGTGTGTGTGTCGAGAGGGATGCTTTTTGGTTGTGTTCTTGGTGGAATATATTAGCCACGAAGTTTGTGTGAGAGAGGAGAGAAGAGAGAAGAGAGAAGAGGTAGAGGGCGAAGACCGTTGACATTGACTTGGAGAGTGATTAGGAGAGGAAGGCTGGCACTGGAAGCTATCCTTCATCCTATATTATATAATAGTATCAAAATATTATGTTGATTAAGAAAAAAATGAAAAAAAGACAAGAAAAAAATGAATAAATTCAACCCAAGAAGGCAAGAATGGATGATTTTTCCATTTTTCCTATTTTTTATAGAAACAAGAAGTAGAAAAAATTGAAAAGATTTTGACTATTACATTTATGGTAGCAATCTAGCTAGTATAGATAGTTCTTCAAAAAAAAAGATAAGATAGATATTCATAAAGACCGCCCATATTAAGTGGGTGGGTGGACTAAGCTAGAACTTAGAAGGAATCCGTAGTGTGAATGTGTGTATAAATAGACATATATACGTATGTATCTAGACATATATACGTATGCATATCCATGATGTCATCTCTATGATTTTTCCCTAAGAAACAATTATAATATTCTTGATAATTAATACTAGTAATTATTGATTTCATTTTTAGAAACCACCGGATTGTTAGAATGTCTTTTAAAATGACAAATGAATTATATTATTGGAATGCTTTAGAAATTTTTAGAGGGTTGACCAAAAAATATAAACTTTAAGAGAATATTCAAAACAAATTTATATTTCTAAGAAATTAACAACTCTTAATAAACAAAATCTTACATAGCAAATATAGTGTTAGATAGTAGAAGAACATAACATGTTTGGGATAAATATATTCTTTTAATGTGACTGAATCATATGTCGCTACATGGATTTATTGGGAGATTTTGTGCCTACACATCAAGATTCCAACAAGACTATGGTGAAATAATTTGGGTTTTTTTCTCGTTTGCTAACGGTGTGGTTACTCCGTCAGGGACCAAAGTCACCAAACAGATAAACATCTTCGAAAATGAGATATATAACTCAAGCTTTTGTATCGAAATCCGGTTCATGTATGAATTTTTTTTTACGTGGCATATTCAAATTATATTGGAATATTCGGTTACTTTCAACAAACGGTAAAATTTATTTACCTTATGTATGCAATAGGTAAAATAGTTCATTTATGCTCCAAGGAACGATTGAAGCTATAAGAATAATGACGTCTGATTCGCTGTATCTAAACAATACTATGAGAAAGATGTCACCTACAAATTCAGTAGTTAACCACGTGTAAATACAGTTACATGATCAATAATGTTCTATAGAATATCTAGGTGTAAAAGACAGATGTGAACACCGATTGATGAGTGGGTTTCAGTATTAACATACACATTTGAATTATGTATGAAAATTTAATATAATAAATGTACCTATAGCAAGTGTTCAATTATTTTGGACAAACATTCATATTGCAAAATTAGTGTGTACCTTTGTATCAATAAACATAGTAAATTGAAGTAGAGTGATCGTTAACCGAAAAGACATAGGCAACAAAAAATTAGGTGTAGAAGTTCGAATCACATTCAATGCAAATTAAGTTATTGAAAATGAGTTTTCGAGGACACTATTTTAATGAAACAAGGTGTCACATTCTAAAAAAAAAAAAAAAAAAAAAAATTCAATCTCTAATACGTTTAAATAGGGTCCTCGATTTTTTTTAAAACGTTTAAATGTTGGGAGACTCACAAAAATGCCCCTTTTTTAATACCCCTTTTCAAAAATGCCCCCTTTGGCTGTCCATTTTTAAAAATACCACTTTTTATGTACAAAATGACTAAATTACCCTTCTTTTAATAAAAGATATCACAAATATATAAGGAAATATAACAAAATTAGGTCCACAAAATACAAAATATTTTTTGGCGGGAAAAGTGATCCCGCAATTTTTCCCGCCAAAACACTTGTAAAAACTTGTAAAACCTTTAAAATACCTTGTAAAATTTTCCCGTAAAATTTTTTCCCGCCAAAAAATTTTCCCGCCAAAAAATTTTTTTTGCGGGAAAAGTGATTCCGCAATTTTTTTGGCGTTAAATTTTTGGCGGGAAAATTTTTCCCGCCAAAAATTTACAAGGTATTTTAAAGGTTTTTTACAAGGTATTTATAAGGTTTTACAATGTATTTTAAAAGGTTTTACAACGTATTTACAAGGTATTTATAAGATATTATAAGATTTTACAAGCTATTTTATAAGGTTTTTACAAGTTATAAGGTTTTACAAGTTTCTTATAAGGTTTTACAAGTTATAAATACCTTATAAAACCTTATAAGTACCTTGTAAAACCTTTTAAAATACATTGTAAAACCTTACAAAACACTTGTAAATACTCTGTAAAAAATCTTTAAAATACCTTGTAAATTTTTCCCGCCAAAAATTTTTCCGCCAAAAAAATTTCGCAAAAAAAATTGCGGAATCACTTTTCCCGCAAAAAAAAATTTTTGGCGGGAAAAATTTTTACGGGAAAATTTTACAAGGTTTTTTAAAGGTTTTTACAAGTGTTTTGGCGGGAAAATTGCGGGATCACTTTTCCCGCCAAAAAATATTTTGTATTTTGTGGACCTAATTTTGTTTCAAATAAGGGTAAAATGGTCATTAAAAATTAAAAGAGGGCAAACTTAAAAATGGACTCTCAAAGGGGGCATTTTTGAAAAGGGGTATTGAAAAAGGGGCATTTTTAACAATTTCTCTTAAATGTTTAAGTACTATACCTTCATGTAAAAACATAATAGTTTTGATTTTCTTAATAACATATCAGTTCCATGTTACAAACACACACAAAAAAACAGTATATATATTTTTTTTAGTTTACGTATATGGTTCGCATATAATGCTTAATAGAAACTAAAAAAATTCTCTTTAAATATAAAAGTACTATTTAACTTATATTTGTTCAAGTTTCAAAAAAAAAAAAAAAATTAACGCAAAGAAACAGTCAAATTCTATTCGAAGTAGAAGTAATAATTTTCTATGATAATAACATTGTCTCAAAATTAAAAATCTATAGTAGTTGGGAATTGATATCGGCGTTAGTTGCTGCTGTCCACAACTTGATCAACGTGTGAAATGAATCATCAAAAAGATTTTCCAATATTATGTTTCTCTTAATTTGACTCTCTTTTTTCAACATCTTATTTTGACTAGCTTTCATGACAAAGTTTTTCTATGCATTGCTCTATGTATATAGAATGAAGAATATGTTTATCTTTTTCGATGAAAGAATATAGTATTAAAGCGACAAAAAAAAAGAATCACAGAATAAGTATGTTTTTTTTTGGACAAACACAGAATAAGTATGTTAAGACATTTCTTTCCTCCTTATTCATTATATTTCGGTGCATTTAATCTTAATAAGGAGGTTTACAAAAGTCAAAAGAGCTCAAAGACAAATCTTAATAAGTACTGCTGAACGGCAACTCTGCGTATATTATCTTCTCTTTCTGAACAGTCAACATGAAGTTCAGTTTGGATTTTGGAGGTTTAGAAAAATGGTTACTTATGTAAAACATAATCTTCTATGGATTAGTTTTTACGGTTTTGTATTCGAATGAGCTTATATGTTTGATTAGTTTCTACGGTTTTTATTCATATTCTGATGTAGTTTCGAATTCTTGATTATTCGAATCCAGTAGGTTAAATTTATCCGAAATATCATCCCAATATTTTTAATTTTTTTTGAAACCACTTGTCACATTGTTCATTCACTCACGTACCTCAAAAGTCAAAAGTCAAAATAAAATATTTTCAAAATGTAATACTAGAAGTTCAAATGGTTTTTAATGCGGTAAAAAAATATCAAGTAAATAACTGGATTGATAAATTTAATACATGGTATTTAAAAAATTTAGTAAGTTTTTTTTAATACATTTCAAGTACTTTTAATTTTATCTTAATTGTCTAACAATTAGTTTTGATTAAAATCAAAAGAAATAAATTGAAGGCATGTCAAAGTTGAAAAAATGATACACCAACTAACTCGAATAAGATCCTTTTCGAATTATGGACGTACCGGTCGAACTAGACTAATCACATCACATTAAAAACTATATGATAGACTTAGTCTTTATTTCTATTTTTATCAAACACGAAACTCGTTAATTATATAATAATATACGATCACGATTTAAACAACTAAGATTGAAGGACTTAATCCCTTAAATAATATAACTAGTCAGCAAAAAGGCAGGAACATAACATCTTCTCCAATGAATACATCTCATGTCTTATGAATGAATTACTAACTGATTGGTCTGATTACTTATTCTTACTTGATCAAGATTTTGAGTATAATACATTTAATTTGCTTTCGTTGAATAGTCGGTCCAATGTATTGTTTTTTTCTCTTCTTAATTGGTCAGGGCCTACGGGCCGGGATCAATGTATAGGTATTTGATTACCACATAAAAATTAAGTGTCTTTTGTTCGTATACAACATATAAAAATTGAAGACGTGCAATATGAAATGTCTATAATGAAGACTTAAATATGAGGACAGAAAATGATAATTAGAGATTTATATATGGACTATATGAGGTAAATTGAGGCCTCTCCCTTGAACACCACATGAACATGCTGACTTTTTAACCTGCACGTATTGACTTTTTGTTTAGGTTATGTTTTTTGTTGCTTCATTAAAATCCATTCTCAATCGATCCTTTAGTCGTTGCATTTATACCCTATCATCCTTAGGGTAGATCAACTTTTGTTCCTACATTTTCTTGTCCTCTTTGTATATAAAGCTAAGCATTGGTAGATTTATTTTTCGTCTTTGCAATGTTTTCTTGATGCTTTTGCATAAATTGTATATTCAGTATGTTGCATTATTCATTATTTATAGCTTTGGTTTTCGCATTTATATCCAAGCTGTTTTCGTGATAGTGTGTACTAGTCTTGGATTAGCAGCAGAATTGGTAATCTTGGGTTATCTATTGATAGTAGTGGTTTTTACATGTGATTATAGACCATACATATTTTTAAGCTCTATATCACCTGTAGTTTTAAGCTGGATCAAAGTGTTCTCAACTCTTTAGAATATGGACCAACTACGAAATTTCAGAACATCGTGTATGCAGTAAATTCACAGCCGTGTGGTATGCTTCACATTATCATATAGTCGTTCGGATACGAGCACACGCAAACATCTCCCATAACAGATTGACATGGTGACTTTTTAACCCAAATGTATTGATGTTTTCTGGTTTTGTGAGTTTTTTTTTTTTTGCTTCATAGATAACTCTTCATCTTCAATCCTTAGGGTCGGTAAACTTCTATTCCTAAAATTTCCAATATAATTTTTGTATACAAATTGTTTAATTATTTGACGTTTTCTATGTTTACTTAATGTTTTTGCAATCTAGCTAATTCGCAACATTAATCATATGCATCTTTGGTTGTCGCATGTGAAAGCTCATGGATTTTCCAACTCCAAACCAATTTAGAGTGAATCGATTATCTCATATCTTTTATATATTATAGGTCTCCTTTTATTTTCGATATGTGCTTCTTAAAACAACCTCTCCAAATGATGGTTCTTTCTGCCTCGAAGCTAATCTCTTCCAAAGATTGGCAACATATCTTACTTGAGTCCACGATATGAGCTTTGATACAATGTCAATTTTTATGAGCTTTCCAACTCAAAATCAACAAAGAGTCAGTAAATTAACCCATGTCCGTTGTATATTTGCATGATGTTTTTTCAGCTTTGTGTTTCGGAATTAAGTATCATGTGTCCTAAGAATTCTACCTCATCAACATCCACAACTATTGTATATTGTGAATATTAAATAAATATGATCCAAACTCTACTAAAGTTATGGTGTTTCATCTTGTACATACCATTTAGATTCCCACTTACTTTCAGATAGACCCATGTAAAATTCAACTGTGAGAGGATTTAATAGATTTGTTGAAAGATTCACATATATACATCTTTTTCTTTAAATCATCTGACGTTTTTGGAATCATAATTGACAATATGGATAAGTATACCCATTTTGTCAACAAAGCAAGTAGTTTTCTTTTTCTTTACCTGTTACAACATCTTTCACTCATAGAAAAATCTAGCATTTTGAAAAAAATGATTTACTATTAACGACAGACGAATTCAACTATCGATTCCAAAACTTTGAGTCTACAATCTACGGTCTTTTGTTTACTCTAAATTATAGCTGTAAGATTCTGTTAACTCATTGCTCAACTTCTAGTTTAAGAGAAGTTCTAAAATAAAATGTATAATGTGTTGGTCACTGGAGATCTAACCGACACAACGTTCCCTGCACTGAACATTTCTCATGCACACGCACAAGAACGACGACTATACAATTTTTTTTTTTTTTTGGCCTTCCAATTTGTAACCATAAAATAATTATTTTAAGATTAAAACATATGAACTGATTATGATAGTAATATCGTTGTGTCACTATCCGAAATCAAATTGTATAATAAATGTTGTTGAAAAATATATATTTAGAATCAAGAAAGTGACTTTTATTGGAGCGCCAATGAATATGATTACATAACAGCCTTCTTGATACGTTTTATTCATTACGGTCCCAAGTTCACATCTTTGAACTTACGTTACATCAAATCATTACATAAAGAGATTTGGTCTCATTACACATCTTTTCCTTTTTAGAAAATTCCAAATAAAGAATATGCTTTTGAATATGAGAAAACTGGTATCAACAAATTAATTCATTAATGAATTACAAATTTGAAATGCATCATGATGTTTTGCAGAATCAGTGACTCTGTAACAAACAGAGACTAAAAGGTCCTAATAGTAAGTTGGCAACTATCTTCTTGTTTAAGAGATATGTAAATCTTTATGAGCTAAGGTAATTAGGCTTAACTTGATTTTGTTGATTAGCCTTGACGCTCTCTGCTGATCTACTATGTATATGCATTCCAGAGTTTTGTTAACGAAGCTCTTTTTGAGTCAATGGAAAATAACAATTTAGTAAAACAAAAATAACACATATCTATAAGATTAATAAAAGCCTATTTCGAAGATAATGTTTAATTTCTTCTCCGAACTTAAACACAAATCTATACAATATAAAAATCTTCAAAACATACAATCAATATCCTTGAAAATGGTCTGTTGATCGGCTCTTTTGTCGCCGGATTGCTTGAACGCTACAGTGGGAGCGATTCTGCAACTCCTCCTCTGGTGTTCGAGCACGAGTTCACCGGCTAACCAATCCAGCTTCTCATAATTGCTCTCTTCATTGATTTTTTTACCACCAAACAGAACAGACTCTGCGTTCTTTTGCCTCAGCATCTCCTCTGCTACTCCCACAAGCATATTCACATTGCTTGGACTGGCATCTGTGTCTATGTTTGGTTTGCACGGACCAAAGCTTGATCCATTCGCCTATAAAACCACCCAAACAAAACTTCTGGTATCAATATCAAGATTCCGCTTCACATAACTAGTCTTACCATTCCGCGATTCTGTAGTTTAAAACATACAAAATCGCGGAATGACATAATGATGAACTAACAAACCACATAAGCATTTACCTGAATACGGACGTAGTTACTCCTCCTACACTGACCAAACGCCATGGAAACAGCCTGATCCACAGTATCAGCCGCTCCATCAGCGGAAATCCGAACCGCAGGCCGAGCCCAATGCTTAGCCTTCCACTTCATAACCTTATCACAATCATACTTAACATCAACCAACTGTCCCGTACCAAGTGACAACACAAGCAAATCCTCAACACCTCTAACAAACGGAAACTCTTGCTTATTATGTAACACATGAGTAATCGCTGCAGCCGTCGGATTACTCATAGCTAAACCACCATCAACCGCCACACACCGCGTTTTACCATCAACTGATCTCATCTCCACCGGCTCAAACACTCCTGGCTCAGCCCACGTAGCTCTACAAACCTCCCACAGCTTAAAATCATAACCATCCGTTTCCAACGCATCAGCACGTGAAAACAAGAACGGTGCAGAGCTCGTGAGGTCATAACACGGAATCAAAACCGGTTTAAGCGTATCCTTAAGCGTAAGCTCATCAAACGACTCCTTCATCGCTCTCTCAAGCTTCGAACCCGACCCACCCGAACCACCCGACCCGGTTTTCATAACCCGGTTTAGTATCCCCGGTGGTGATTTGTTGTAAAAGCTTTTACCTTTCTTAGCTAAAAACCGCCACGTGTCTTCCGCTTTGAAGATCGGACGGTTACCATCACTCGACGCGAAAAGCATCGCCGTGAAAATCCCTCCGATACCGGAACCGGAAGCTACGTCGAAGTAATCAGCTATTCGGGCATTCGGGTCACCCGATTTCGATTTCAGAGCATGTTCTAAATACGCTAAAGCTTTTCCAGGTATAATCCCTCTCATTCCACCACTATCGATACTCAAAACACAAACTTTACCTCTCTGGTTCTTAATTGAACCCGGAACGACGCCGTTTAAACCATCCACCATCGCCGGTGATGCCGTTTCTTGCTCTGGACTCGGGTCTCTGCTCCTTGATTCCATAAGCTTCGGGTCATCATCATACCCGAAAAGAAACTTGCTTTCAAGAATCGAGAAAATCTCGTAGCTAAGCTTATCCGTTTCAATGCTCGGTTCTTGCATATCCGCCGCCGTCACTCCACCGTCACCGCCGTTACTCTGTTTGATTAAATGCTTAAAAGCTCCGATAGAATCAATCGGTTTGTTGTGTACTCTTTGCATCGTAACCCAAACAACAAAAACCAAAAAAAGAGTATTTAAATCAAATCTTTAAACCCCTCTCTAGGCATTATCGCCAAGACAAGACAAAAACCTAATCTTTTTTATAATCTGTCATAAGAACACGAGAAACAAAAAGAGAGTACGAGAAGTCTTATTCGCAACCGATGCTTTTGTTTTTGTTTCTGTCTTTATTTTCCCTCCTTAAGTCACTCGAAAATTTCAAAAAGAAAAAAATTCAAGAGAAAAAGGAGAATGATTCTACTTGAGAAGACAAAAAGAGTGAATTTTTATTATTATTCGGACAGTATCAATAAAGAGAGATGAAGAAGAAGGAGCAAGAACAGAGAAACTGCAAAGGATCTTCTTTTATAGTGTCTTTTTATCTCACGCGTGACTTTTGTTGCTTAGTAATAAGGAATGAAGCAATGAATAGTACGGGACCAGCAGTTACATGCATACAAATCTTTTAAGTTTCTGACACTAATTAAAGGAAAATGTTTTATTGGACTGCCAAATATTCCAAGAATTTTGAGGTGTGTTTTGCTCAAACTTCATTCCTTAATCATGTAGTATTAAGGTGGGATTATGTGGTTGTTACATATAAATACAAAGAGTAATAATACAAATCTTTTTTGTATTTCTATGGATTATGATTGATTAGAAGAATGTATTTCTATAGTTTCTATTTTTCCCAAAATAAATTAAGAGACCAATAATGTATGTATTGAGACTCTCCCATAGCCACATGAACGGAACAAATGCACCTCTTGAAAATTAAAAATTCATAAAACAATTTGAGGCAATTGGTTAAACACTCTCTTTCGAAAACTTAAGTCCCCAATACATTTCTAAACTTTTCATTTAGTAACTAGTATTTTCAATAAATTGATACAACTTTACATCTGAGCTGACATAATTTTAGTATATATAAGTTATGTTATTTTCAGAGTCGCTATGTAACATTCGGTGACGATTATAGCCTTTAAGGTTGTCATGTGATTTTCAAGGCCGTTTATAATCTTCCAGGTTGGTTTGTGATTTTAGGCTTGGATTGAGATTTATTTTTTGTTATGAGTGTTAATATCATTAAAAAAAAAGTTTGGCTTTTAATAGAGTAAGAATCTATAGGTTTAAATCCTTGGCAAAGAAATAAAAACACGGAGACAAAAGATTTGGAAGTCACATAGTGTGAATTCATGTTAACCAGAGCTGCATTAGGTTGCGGTATCGCTTGTGTTGCGGTGATTACATTGCGTATCTTTCTTTCGATAAGCTTGAAGATAGTGGTAGCTAGGATCCAGACTTGGTTGTGCACAACATTATTCCTCTACTTCGAGATTAATTAATATGGTAAAATGATAAAGTAAATGAAAAACAAAATATGGTTGCATGAAAACATATCAATAAAGTCATTCAGTCCTTGCCAACGTCTAGTGTCTTACTTAAGTAACATTTATGAAAGCCAATGAGATATAAATAAAATTGCTGCTCTTTTTCTATATTGTGGTCGTTAGAATTTCTTATATATTACATATTGCATTTATTATGTAGGTCTATATTGGGATGATGATACAATAATAATGTTAACTCAAATCATAATACCACATACAATATCAAACCAAAACTTAAATTTGCGGCCATCACCCGGAGTTATCGGAACTTTAATGATTAAAAATAATATGTTTGGTGGTAATTGACTCTTGTCCCAAACAATAATCAAATGACGAAATGATTCACGTGTGTTGATTATAGTTGACTATATAGAGGAATCTGTGGAGTCCAAATCAAACAGATGCAAGCGTTAAATCATTTTTTTTTTGGCAACAAGCATCAGTAACCGATGAATTGTTATACTATCTTCCAAACAATATAGTAAACGTTAAGTATATTATTGTAAATTTGATCATCAGTTAGCCAACAATCTGAAACATAGTTACGAATAATTGGATTTGGTTCGAACAAGCAAGTGACCAGTGGAGTAATAAAGTTGGTGGTATGGGCACCGACGGGGGAGAGGTCCACGTCACTGTTGGTCCCGTAATCCTCGCTTCTTTTTTTTTGTCTTACACAAATCTGAATAGTTGATGTTAATAAAAGAAGAAGAAAGGTTTTTGAATCTTTTGATTTTTTGTTCCGTTTTTGTCGCTGCGCGTGGAGCCCTTCGACTACATTTATGATCTTTTTGCCAAACAAATATAGGATCTTCTTTATTTTAAGCATAATATAAGAGTGTGGTTTACTTTGCCCGTGATTTTGGGTTTGTTACTTAACTTAGTTGGGTAATAGATTTTGTCTATCCGTATTTAAGTTGTTCAAAACGGCTATTTCGAGATTTTATATACACGTTAACAAATTGTCTACTTGCATGTTATTTGTCCCATTCCATTACGTGAGATTATATATCGAATGGGATCATGATATGAGATAAGGAAGGGGGTACTCGTGGTACACCTAATCTTGGAAAAATCACTTTCTTAAACTTATGTAGCACAACATTGGCGTTAGTGGATTATTTGTGAGTATTTTGCGGATATCTTTTGTTTGGTCTCTGCATGTAGTATAACTTTTATTTTGTTAAATAGTAAAAGAAATCGAAAAACGGATAAGCCATACCACTATCTATATCTCTTATATATTAAAATGTAAAACGAGTAAAGGATAATCCAAATCATAACTTGTTTTCTAGACACAGTTACAAATATCTAATTTTATGTTAATCGTTACTTATTTTTAACAAGATTGATATGGAGAAGAAGGGAATACAACAAGACAAATATAAAAATATTTATTCCCATCCCCACTTTATATTATTTGGTCTTATTCTTCTCCTCTCTCTTTTTCTTTTATAACAATTTATTTATCTATGTTTGTTCCCCAACTCTAAATCAGCATCTGTTTTTGTTGTCTTCTAGTTTGGTGGTAATTAACTAGCACCTATTACGGTTTTGAATGGAAAAAATGGATTAAACAATGCGTATCAAACGTGTTAAGCGGATCATGTGGATCAAAGAGGAACTAAAGCCACTAGGCTATCAAATTTTTTCTACCTAAATGTTTTTTTGATAACACCTAATTTTTTTACATGGATTATATAATTCTGCATTGATATAACAAGACCAAGAGTCAAGTTGGGTATTATTATTATGATTCTTATGTAAAAGTAAACCGATCCCGACCAGAATCGACAACTCTGAAACCGAAAAGAAGTAACATACCCTAGTGGAGAGATAAGAAAAAAAAATGATGGAACATAAAACGCCAACACCAGTAATAAGACATGTATACCACTATTATCCATAAAGCTTTTGGCCATTGACCGATTTATCTTCCACCGGACTCATGTAATATCCAATTCTCTTTAAAGTATGAATGAAATACTATTTTTTTCACCTTTTTATGTTTTTTTCTTGGCCTTTTCCATGATTTGGTCTTTGATTTATCATTTTTTTTTTTTTTTCCTCGAACACCATTTTATTAAGTAATCGGGCGGAGACTTTCTTCTATAGAGAGCCAATCCGGAGCCGATGTGCTTACATGGGAGAATAGGGAACCTCGTGCTCTTGCCTTTTTTGCGAGGCAATCGGCACGAACATTGTTACAACGACGAATAAATCTAATAGAGAAAGAGGGGAAAAAAAGCTTCAAAAGCTTAAAATGTTGCAATTCTACTGCTAAAGTAGGCCAATTAGAAGGGTTATGCAAAATGGTAATTAGCTCGGAGCAGTCAGTCGCGAAGCCAAAACTCGTCTTCTTTAGTGGGAGTTATTGTGGTGTAATACCACTTCACTAAGATGACTATACAAAAAAAAGTCAAAAGAGGGCTTTTTTTACTTGCATTAACAGAAAGAAACTTATGCATATCAATTGAAATTTTCCAATATTTCAAAAAAATATTTTATAACATCAAAATACATGTCGACACAAATTGAGATAACTCAAAAGAAATAAAAAGCATAAAACGAAAACATTATTCATTTTGTTAGGATTTATACTGTTTTGTCAATGTATGTGATTGTTAGGTATTAGTCATTTTATGCTATTATACTGTTACAAAAAAAAACACATTTAATAATAGTAACTGTGGGAACAAATTTATTTTGTTAAGTGTACTGTTACAGTGATACTACATGAGAATGCATCGACATCAAGAAGAAATAGAAAATTAACCAAAACGACGCAGTTTTTTGTGCCGAGACTTACTAGACTAATACAGGGTTTAAGGCTAGACACCAAACGACAACGTTTAAAGAAGGGTTTAGGCATTAGAGAGACTTTCGTGTTCTTCTTCTCCGATCCTCTTCTCTACTAGCTGAGAACAAAAATGAGTACTTTCATGGCTTCCAAACGATTCCGTCCACCTCTTTTACTATGTCGTTTGATAAACCCAAAACCCATTTCTTCACAGTCTCGATTTCTCCATCCTCCGGATAATCAAAGTCGAGACATTCCCGATTCCACTACTGAAATCATCTCAGAACTAGAATTTCCTCATAAAGCCTCTAGACCAAATCATTCACCTTTAGTTTCAACCTCTGAGACTGAGAATCATGTGGACGACGCTCTTGTAATCGAAGTTCTTCTAGGTCGTAGAAACGACCCCGTCTCAGCTCTTCAATACTGCAGTTGGGTCAAGCCTTTACGTAGTCTCTGTGAAGGTGGAGATGTCTTCTGGGTACTCATTCATATTCTCTTTAGCTCTCCTCACACGCACGATCGTGCTAGCAATTTGCTCGTAATGTTTGTTTCAAGCAATCCAACGCTAATTCCAAGCGCAATGGTTAACTATTTGGTTGATTCGTCTAAAAGGTTTGGTTTTGAACTTAGCTCACGAGCTTTCAATTACTTGTTGAATGCTTATATTCGAAATAGGCGAATGGATTATGCTGTAGATTGCTTTAATTTGATGGTGGATCGAAATGTGGTTCCTTTTGTTCCATATGTGAACAATGTTTTAAGCTCTTTAGTTAGAAGTAATTTGATAGATGAAGCTAAAGAGATTTATAATAAGATGGTTTTGATTGGTGTTGCTGGTGATAATGTAACGACGCAGTTGTTGATGCGAGCTAGTTTGAGAGAGCGAAAGCCCGAAGAGGCTGTGAAAATCTTTAGGAGAGTTATGAGTAGAGGAGCAGAACCAGATGGTTTGTTGTTTAGTCTTGCTGTTCAAGCTGCTTGTAAGATGCCAGATTTGGTTATGGCTTTGGAATTGTTGAGAGATATGAGGGAGAAGTTAGGTGTCCCGGCCTCGCAGGAAACGTATACTAGTGTGATTGTGGCTTGTGTGAAGGAAGGTAATATGGAGGAGGCGGTGAAGGTTAAGGATGAGATGGTTGGTTTTGGGATACCGATGAGTGTAATTGCTGCAACGAGTTTGATTACTGGATATTGCAAGGGGAATGAGTTAGGTAAGGCTTTGGATTTCATTAATAGAATGGAGGAGGAAGGGCTGGCTCCAGACAAAGTTATGTTTTCTGTTATGATCGAATGGTTTTGTAAGAATATGGAGATGGAGAAAGCTGTTGAGATTTACAAGCGGATGAAATCTGTAGGGATTGCTCCTTCATCTGTTCTTGTCCACACAATGATCCAAGGGTGTTTGAAAGCGGAGTCACCAGAAACAGCGCTAGAAATCTTTAACGACAATTATGAAAGCTGGCTTGCGCATGGTTTCATGTGTAACAAGATTTTCTTATTGTTATGCAAGCAAGGTAAGGTCGATGCTGCGACGAGCTTTTTGAGGATGATGGAAAACAAAGGGATTGAGCCGAATGTAGTTTTTTACAATAACATGATGCTTGCTCATTGCAGAATGAAAAACATGGACTTGGCTCGTTCAATATTTTTGGAAATGCTGGAAAAGGGTCTACAGCCGAATAACTTCACTTATTCCATCTTGATTGATGGATTTTTCAAGAATCAAGATGAACAGAATGCTTGGGATGTCATCAATCAGATGATTGCTTCTAATTTCGAAGCTAATGAAGTCATATATAATACGATCATCAATGGTTTATGCAAAGTTGGTCAGACATCTAAAGCCAAAGAGATGTTGCAAAATTTGCTAAAAGAAAAGCGCTATTCCATGGGTTGCACGAGTTACAATAGCATCATAGATGGATTTGTTAAAGAAGGTGAAAACGATTCTGCTGTGGAAACTTACAGAGAGATGAGTGAAAATGGTATATCTCCAAATGTTGTAACCTTCACAAGCTTGATCAATGGATTCTGCAAAAGTAACAGAATGGATCTAGCTCTTGAAATGGTACATGAAATGAAAAGCATGGAGTTGAAACTTGATATTCCAGCCTACGGTGCACTGATAGACGGGTTCTGTAAAAAGAATGACATGAAAACCGCATATACTCTGTTCTCTGAACTGCTGGAACTAGGATTGATGCCAAATGTGTCTGTCTACAATAGTTTGATTTCAGGATTCCGTAATTTGGGAAAGATGGATGCAGCGATTGACTTGTATAAGAAAATGGTGAATGATGGAATAAGTTGTGATCTGTTTACATATACAACGATAATCGATGGTTTGTTAAAAGACGGAAATCTAATTCTTGCCTCTGATTTGTACTCGGAGTTGCTTGCTTTGGGTATTGTCCCTGATGAAGTTCTGTACATGGTACTTGTCAACGGTCTTAGTAAGAAGGGACAGTTTGTGAGAGCAAGCAAGATGTTAGAGGAGATGAAGAAGAAAGATGTGACTCCAAATGTGCTTATATACAGTACTGTTATCGCAGGACATCATAGAGAAGGAAATCTCAATGAGGCTTTTAGACTTCATGATGAGATGCTTGAGAAAGGTATTGTACATGATGATACTATATTCAATTTACTCGTGAGTGGAAAAGTTGAGAAACCTCCTGCTGCAGCCAAGATTAGTAGCTTGGCTTCTCCTGAGATGAGATCGAGCCACTAAAAAATAAATGTCTCTCAAGCCGTATGATCTTTAGAAGACATACAAAAGGAGATTGTCATTACTCTTTTCAGTAAAATCCTTTTATGGGAGCAGGATTTTGTCCTCTGGAATTGGTGTAACTCCCGCAGGACTCCGGACGTTGTCTTCATGATCTGATTGCTCTCTATTCTTATGAATGATTCCAGTGCCATTTCATGATCTGATTGCTCTCTATTCTTATGAATGATTCCAGTGCCATACACCGCAAGCGCTTGTAGATGTTTGCGTGACATTCCTTGTTTGTTGTACTGAATCGGACTAGATCTCTCAAGTATGTCTTCCACTAATTCAAATGACTGAACCAGAGGTAAACGATGGGCTTAGATAGGTATTAGTGTATATAACAGTCTTTGTTGTAAATATCCATTTCGCATATACAATGGCATAACCTTTTTTAAGTTAAGTCTATGATCGATTTCTAACTTGACTGATGCCAAAAGTTTTCAAAACTTACATACAAAACCAAGTCCAATAAAGAAACGTATTTTTAGATTTTAAAGGCTTGTAAAAAGATTGTATTAAGAACCCTAGCTTACAAAATTGCCTCATTTCCACTAGAATCAGAGGGATTCACGAGGACTAGTTGATGGACTGATCCTAGAAGGCATCTTCAAAAGTCTCTCTGTTTCGCACATGAAGGAGTGTTTAGGAGTTATAGACATCTTGTTCACCTCGTTATCAAGAACAACCTCATCATCACAGTCCTCCTCACTATCTGTATCTCCATACACTATGACTTCCGGCAAAAACTCATCCTCATCATAAGTCTTCTTTTTCACCTCTGACCAGTAGATGAAGTACCGAGAGATAACACTTCAAGATTTACAAGCAAATGGGTGAGGAAGAGAGTAAAAGTTATGTAATGATTTCAATCTCATTTCAAGACATGCACTAGAATTTTCATTAAAGCTCAAGTCGGGGTAAATCATCAAATGAGTCAAAGAAACTTCTATAAGTTTCTCATGTTGCTTCGTAATAGAAGTAATAGAAAAACAAAAGAGAGTTAAGATAGTGAACCTGTTAGAGCTTTCCAACAAGCACGGGTCGAACGGGAAGAATCCACCAAAAGCACGAGAGAGCTCAGACTCGGGTAGGTCATCAAAAATGAAGGCTTCCGAGACAATGATCATACCACCAGCTTTGGCTTGTTTAAGGAACTCAGAAACTACAGATGGAAGGCACACCTGTTCACACACAAAAAAAAAAGTTGGTGCAAGCTTAATGCATTTGATACTTTGGTTCAGAGCTATTGTGTGTGTGATAGTATAAGTTACCTTCAACGGGTCTAGTTTGTGAGATAAAACCGACTCCAATGGTGTAAGCTGCGATAGGAAGCGAGGAACAGCTAGGATTGATCTCATTCGGAAGCATAGCACATACAAGATTGCCTACAGTCACAGAAAAGTAACAAAGTTAAGTCACTACTTGACATAATTGTGTATCACTCCAGCCGCTGATAGGCAAATAAAACTCTTTGAGACTTATAAGGGTAAAGATGATTGATAAGTAGAGACGTCGATGATAAGATGGTTCTAAACTTGGGTAAAAGCAATAAGATGGTTCTAAACTTGGACTATACCTGACATCCTGAATAAAAATCTTGATGTTCTTCAGGCCTAGCATCATCATTGCATGTTCTGCAGTAATCCGCACACTCATCCACCAATCTAGGATTTCGGAGACGAGAGAAACAATGTTACAACAAACTGCAACTTGAATCAGATTAAAACAATCATCTTTTGTCAGTTTTTAAGCAGTCTCTTTCTACCTTTTCAACATGCTAGCCACAAAAGAAGTAGGCAAAAACTTTGCACGAGCCAAGTAGCTAGCTAGATAAGCCACTGCATTCGTCCTGTTTAGTAAGGGGAGAAACCAAAACCATGTACAAGTGGTGAGTCTGGTGACTAGAGAACAGTATTAGCTTGCAGAGAAATTTTACCGTGAAGGATAAGATGAAACTGAGCTAGTAACTTGATGTTTGTTGCTGGAGAGAAATATGTCCAACAGCTTACTGGCAAATTTCACACCACAATTTTTAGGATCAAGTGAGCACGCATAGAACATCAGGAACTGCAGAGGAAAGCAAAATGAGTCTAAGCCAAGACATCTCATGCCAACAATGAAGTAAAGTGTTAGGAGCCTAGAATGACGAATTATATAGTCTTTACTGTGATAGATACGGTGCATACCTGTGAAATTTTTGTTTTTTGCGTGTTCAGAATTAAGTTCTCAAACGACTCGAACAGATTTTCAAACACCTGCGCCAAAACCATGAAAAACAGAACCCCCAAAAGATGAACGCATCTACCATAAAGGTAATGAAACGAAAGATATGTTGATGAAGCACCATTTGGGGACATACCTCATCCAGACGACCAGCATCTTGACAGGATTCAAGATGATGAAAAGATAGGACCATCAAATCGTCCAACGATTTAGAGAATACATTTCCATTTTGATTTAGAGACCGAACTGAAAACTGCAAAAGAAAAATCAAATTCATGAATGATGGCAGACGAATCAAAGTCCAAATTTTCATAGTAAGAGAAAAAGCATCTTGTACTCCTGAAACTTTCAACCAAGTTTATGGATCCAGCATAAACAGCAGATAAACACACTAACCCTACCTCCGCTCCTTCATTGGTAGTGCCTTCAACTGCAAGGTCAAGTTCCATATCAAACATGACTATGGTGGAGTCATCTTGGAGAATATCATCCCACCCAATCTCCAACTGCAAAGATGATCATTCAAGCATATCATTTCACTAGCCACTTCACTAAATGGCTATACTATACTTGTACGAGAAAAACAGATATTCGTGAAGCAAATTCCGTCCACTTACATCGAGATCTCGCAACCTCTCCATTACAACCCTAAGAATCCCGTTGCCAACAACTTTACCGATGATTGAGCTGTTCTCCAACTTCAACAAGTTCTCCACGTATGGCACTACAAGCTGAAACTGCAAGACAATAAAATAGTTTTTTGTCATTTTGTTAACCACATGTATGGGGTAGCTGTTACATTGATTTTAGCAGAATTAAAAGCATACGCGGTTTTTGTCGTGTACGCTAGGCATACTCTGGACGAGTATGGGCAGTAATATCGAGGGAGCAAGGGGAACTAAATAAGAAATCTTGAGAAGAGCTGCGTGCACCCGGGAACGAACTTCCAGCATCTTATTGTTGAGTATGCGGGGTTGCGAAAGTAAATTAGATACGAGCATATTTAAACAAGAGATCAGATGCTTTCCACTAGTAGTGGCCTAGAGATGGTAAAGAACAAAAACACAAACTGTTAACTAAGCTCCTTGAGGAGATATTATATATGGTTGATGATGACATGAGGGATAGTTGCTGAGCTGTGTACCAGTGATACGATTAGGTCCAGCAATGCATACATTACATTTACATTAGATTTGTGATCCCAAATTCTCGTCCCAAGAATCTAAGGACAATAAATGTGATGAAAGTCAGAGGAAAGTCAGGAATGTGTGTGATAAATAAATAAATAAACTTACAATTTCAAGAAGCCGGTTATGGTGAACTTCATCTAAACAAGCAACAGAGCGTGATAGAGTTTTCAAGAGTGTCTGCAAAGTGAATGAGAAATGAAGATGTCTCGTAGCAACAACAAACAAAAAAAAAGATTGGATTGTCATATGAGGAAAAAAACACACCTCTCGCTGAGCCACAACATCGACATCTTCAGGCACCTCTTTCTGTGCCACAACATGGCCATCAGATTTCTTTTTAATGTACATTAACTGAACAAGCTCATTATATTGTTCGGTATCTCCCTGGATTTAACAAAAAAAAATACTTTTAAAGAACTCACACACACAGAAACATATATGTGTATACAAAGTGAAAGAAGCAACATTTGTGCAAGACTCACACTTTGGACAGATGCAAGGACCTCTCTAATGGCTAACACCAAAGCTTTGTCGCTTAACTCAGCATTGTCCACTTCTTCTGCTCCCATTCTCTATGCTACTGCTTCGAAATTTCACCTACTATCAAAATCCAAGATTAGAGCAGCAAAACACTAAACCCTTAATTAAGAGAAATTCATTCTATTCAATTTTTTCTTCTCGCCCTAACAGTTTTCTTCTAAACCAAGAAACCAGAGCCCACCATGAACAAGCAAAGGTTAGGCCTAAGCTTGGGGAGTTTACCTACGTCGTCTTCTTCTTCTCTTTGTCGGCAGAGGAATTAGTTCGAATGAATCCCGCGAAACCCTCAAAATTAACATTATATATAACTTCAATTAATTAATCATTGATCTAATTCCAAACTAACCTAATGCAAACTATAACATTTCCATATATAATAATAGTATAATACATAAAATTTCTAACCTAACCTAAGAAAATTATTAAACATAACAAAAAGTATTTTTAGATTGTGTTTAAATATAAAGATAATAAATACTATTTGGGAAAAAATAATCTTTTATGAATAGACAAATAGTATAATGACACGTGTCCCTGATGGATCTCCATGAACGACTCGAGAGGAGTTTGGGCTTACGGCTAAGGCCCAAGCAAATCAAAGGTCTTTTAGTTCTTATTACCCTTGCTCGCTAAAGGTGTGCTCAGAGTTTTTTTTTTTTTTTTTGATAACCCAGTATTCAGACCACACAGTGATCTGACTAGCCCACTGGGCCTAAGCCCGCGTCACAGGGATTTTTAAGCCTCCACTTAAGGGCCCCCTGATAAACTGGTGGTCTGGGGCGCCTGAGCAAGTCCGCAGGTAAATTCCCAGGTGACCACAGGAGTGAGAGAGCGAAACTGCGTCTGGGGAGGATCGATCCCTGGCCTAGACCAACAGGGCGATCCTTCCAACCAAATGAGAACCACTCGCCCACCACCATGTGGTTGTGTGCTCAGAGTTGCTTGCTTGGATTGCGTGTGGCACAATCGAAGCAAAGCATTGGCAACAACACAATATTTCAAACTATCGGTTAAATCCATTACCACAAACATATTCACTACCTTGTCAACAACACAAGATTTCACACTTTTTTTCTTCTCTTCCCATGTTTTGGGTTATTTAGGTATAAAATTGGAATGTAAAGATAGTAAATTCTCTTTATCTTCTGTTTTGTTCAAAAGGATTGAATTTTTTCAACTACTTCACTTTACTCATATGGCCATACAATGTCTCGTTTATTTATTAAAACCCCAAAAAAAAGACTAAATTAAAGTTGGAAAAATGGGGATAAGAAATAAGTGAATGTGGTGAAGCTAGGGGATATTATACGACCCAATACGACATTGTACTTTAATTACAAACGACGACGTGTCCCATTCATTTCCTTTTCTTTAATCATTCAATACTCTCTTTTCTTTTCTTAACCATTTACTCTATTTTCGGCAAATTTGTTTGTTTGCAATTATGCACGTGTCTTATGTTATCGACTAATCTACTAACCTCACGAGTATTTACACTATAACTTTCACACTTGGGAATTATCATCGTTGACAACATACGTGATGGTTCTTTTCGTTTCATTATTGGCACATAATTACATGTATACACAATTTTGGAGGATTGTAACACCGTCCAATGCTAAGAACATCGAGTGTACATTTGGCTTTTTCCTCTTGGTAAGAAATATGGACAAAAATATTTTCAATTTTCAATAAGGAAGTTTTATTATTGTGTAAAATGACTGATTTTACCGATTCATCTCGAACCAAAGCTCACTCTATATATAAAAGATATACCCTTAGAGCAACCACATTGATTAGTTTCTAAGCAAAGTTTCTAAGTATATTTTATTAGTTAATTTTGGTAGTTTTGTAGTTTAGAGTTTTTGTAGAGATTTTGAAAATTTTATGATCCATTGGTGGAATCCTTATATGGGTTTCTAAAAAGATTTCATAGCCAAAAAAAATTCATAAGACATCATAAAATAAACAATCTCAATTTTTTTGTTTGTTTTGACTTAATTTAAACCAATCAAAATTGTCCACGTTGCAGTTTCTATACACCTCCATAATTTCTAATTTTGAGATCGATCCTATCATTTTGGTTGAAATTTCATTTTTTTTTGGGCTAAGAAACCCATTAGAAACAGCTTAAAAACGCCAATGGACTTGGTCTTAGACCATCTAAATGAGTAAAACTCGAGATTATTTTCGTCACTAAATGAAACGACCGAACATGGTCTTGATTCCACAAGACTATGGTATATAAAAGAGATAAGTCACATAATCCTTTCGTATCATTCAATATATGATCAATAAAAAAAGGGAAAAAATTTAAAAGTAAATAGTGATCACCTCATGGATCAAAACAAGTGGTCAAAGAAGAAGAATTGATCATGGCAATGAAAGGGAATCCTGATGATGCTACAACTGTCTTTAACGGTTTCATTTCTGTGATCGGTAGATATACCGGCAACGGCTTCCCATGCAAACTCATCACAGATCGATTCAAACCCATGTAATAATCTGCTGGTTCCAAATTTCTAATTTTTGAAGATGAAGATATTCCAAGACTTAGCTCGAGATCGTTGTGCTCATTTCCTGAAAACATTCCAAGTTTTTTTGTGAATCATGTCATAACGTCGACAATAACTAATCTTAAACTAAATATATCGAGTTGAATAAGATATATAGTCTAGTGGTTTGTGTTAGTGTTGTCGTCGAGTAAAATCTATATAAAATATATATGCCTTGAATTTCTAACGAGAATGGTTCTGAAAGGTAAGGCTAGCTAGCTAGGGTTTGGTTGATCAAATTAAAGGTGTATGTGCAACATGTGTCAAAGTGAAGTTGTAATTAGGGTTTTTAGCTTTCACCTAAATGACATAGCACATAACAATGATTTAGTATGCATATTTATAATCGTGACCCTACATTTATAAATTACCTTTATTATAAGCACCCAACTTAGTATCCCCTTCCTTCTTTCTTATCTCATTGCATTTTGCTGCTGCTGCATTCCACCCCCTATGAGTATTGTTCATTCAAACACTTTTATAAATCTTAAACATTCTTAATATTGAATGAAATTGTACCCGGGAGAAGAGTAATCGAACCTGTTTTGGAAGAGATGGATGTGATCATTTCTCATATGGGTGTTTTTGTATTTGGAACCTCCTCTTGCTAAGCTTGCACTCGCTCGTCTAAGAGATTGCACAAACTCTTCTTTGCTTAAATTCTTCATCTATCATATATCATTCAAAATATCCATATATTAGTAATCTAAGGTCCAAATTCTCTGTCTCTTTATATATACACATATCTAAACCTAATTAATTAATTAGCTTAGCTCTAATATATGAAACAATAAGTTTATATGAAAAATAACCTTTTCAATGTCCTGTTTGTAATCATCCACGATAAAGTTGATATCTGCTTGGAGTCCCCGGAATCTGATAGCAGCTCGGTCGTACGCTCTGTTATGTATTTGAATATATAAGTCAACTAATATTTCTCTAAAGATATAAATTCTTTTTAAAATTTCAAAAAAAAAAAAGAACAAGTGTTATGTCATGTAACATCTGTTACTATTTCTTACACCTTGCGGCTGTGTAGGCTGTGTCGAAACCACCTGTTTTTAACAAAACAGAAGACAAAAGTGAAAAAGTGAAAATCTTTCATCATTTGGTTTACTCTTTTTAGACTTCTCTTATCCAAGAAGGTTTTTAACCTTAACACAATAAGAAAGAAATAGAACATTTCATCTACTTACCCAAATAAACCTGTTTTCCACAGTCCCTACACATAAATCCCAAAACCAAGTGTTAATCTTATAAATAATTAACATCAAATATTTTATAACTTTAGTTTATGAATGAATACCAAATATGAGATTCCCAACGGCCGGTTCGACGGTAAAAGGTGACGCCACGATAATGGGAGCTTCTGGATCTTGGACCACGTCGACTCTTCTTCTTCATCACCAATATTTCTTGTTTATTTCTTTGCATCGACGACAGATTCAACCACTCGTTTCCGGCGCCCGATAACACACTCTCCGGAGGAGGAGGAGGAGGAGGAAGGATTTCGACGTCTTCTTTTCTTTTAAGGATTCCGAATGTAATTAAAGACAAGTTGTCGTTTGAGTGATTAATGGAATCTTCTTCTTGATTGAAGATGGAGGTTGGTACTTTGCAATCTTCATCTTCGTTGTGTGTCGACAAGATTCCGAGGTTGAGGTCCAACATGAGTATTTGTAGGAAGGAGTAAAATGGCGTCGTTTGTGTGATTGTTCCGGTGACTCTAGAGAGAGTCTAAGAGTCTATCTAAAAGAGGGAAGAAAAAGAACGTGGGACGTGTTGTTCAGTGCGATTGTCTACGCTGATTTATTAATTTTTGGCTACTTTTCAGTCATATCTATTTATTAAATAATTTTATTTTATTTTCCTATATTCACACGTGTATAAACCACCAATTTCCGAACATCTTGAAAACATATAAGAGCGACTTACCCAAAAAATATCTTAGCCAATCTATTACTCGTTCTTATATGTTTTCAAGATATTCGGAAATTCGTGTATAGTCCGAATAGTACGTAAATACACGTTCATATGTATATGAATACAGAAAATTTGGTGAACGAGAATATAAATATGAACAGTAAATATATGTGTTTATATTTTTATTTAAACTAATATGCTATACATGATTTATTTTCATTTTCTATTAAATTTTTATTTTTTCATATTAATGTTTTTGTATACAACAATGTTATATTTATTTTGTACATAGATAAATGAACAAATAAATTTGTATTAACTATTACTCTTTTCTAATATCTTATGGCGACCATCTCCACTCTTTACTAATACGATTATGTAATTTGTATATAACTATTACTCTTTTTCTAATATTATTACATATTGAAAGATTATGAACTTATATCACGAGTGGGGGCACCCGAACATGAATGCATTATGAGGAAGATTTTTTTGGTAGACCAAATCGGTATCAAATTTTCTGCACCACAATAAAACCATACAAAATCTTTTTTTTTGATAGATATGTTAATGAATACAATAATGCAGTGTAATGGAACGTGTTGGGGACCTAAGCGTCGGTCCAATAAAGCCAACTACCACTTTTGTATAAGAAACCTTAATGAAGAGAGAGTGTGACTTATTTTATTTTATTTTTTTATTTTTTTTTGGACAAAGAGTGTGACTTATTTATGTCATTCGTTTGTGACATAAATAAACAATTCAGCAATCACCAAGTACGGGCCTGATTGGTTCCGGCTGTAGCTGTAGATTTTTTACTGTAGATTTTAGGCTGTAGATGTTTTGGCTGTGACTGTAGATTTTAGTGCTGTAGTATTTTTGCTGTAACATTTAAAATTTTGGAAAGTTAAAAATGGTATGCTTTAGAAAAAAAGGCTTTCTACAGCCAAAAAAATTAATTATGGAAATATTTTGGCTGTGAGAAAAAAAAGGAAAGCTAAAGCTTCTAAAGCTTGATTGGATCTAATTCAATGCTTTTTTTTTTTTTTTTTGAGCAAAAGATCTAATTCAATGCTTTAGAAATTTTTTTGCTTTGTAAAGACTCTAAAGCACTTGCCAATCAGGCCCTACATCTAGATATCAATACTTTAGAAAAGTTTGATGATAAGTTCGTGTGCATATCTCAGCCGTCCATTTTCTCAAGATTTGATGAAAGTACAAAACTAGATTTGTTTTAAGGAATCTTTTTTATCCGTCCTCTGCACTCTAAATCTGGCCTTTCCGTGTATGGTAAGACCAAATCTTAATATTTCTTCTCATCATCATTCTCTTTCCTTTTATAATTGCTAATTTCTTCTTTTTTCTTCTTTTTTTCCCCATGAAAATGATGTTGTGCTGCATCTAAATAATCATTAAATGCAAGATTTAACCATGGCACAGTTTTTTACTTCGAGAGTAAAATGACCACAACAAACGACGACCTTAAAGAGGCTGCGCTAATAACGATATATATATATTCGTTGTTTCTAAAAGCTTTCACATTTTCAAAAAGTAGGATCAAAGGAGCTGGACAAAAAGGGTCACACACAAAGACAAAGCTGATCCACATATACCACCACGCAATTTACTTAACCGTCACTACAGAATTTGAAGCCGAATACATCAACTTTTGTCACTGAAACTCGTGAGGTTTCTTGTGATTGTCCTTTTCAGCCATAGCAAAAAGCCAACTATTACCGCTTTTGACACAGGCAAGATTATCAAATTCCCCCCCTAAACCGGATGGAAGTTACTTTCGTCGGGCATGATACGAACCACCACCTCCTTGATGATAATAAAACCGGTGACGAGACCCACCACTCTTCCCACTGCCTTCCCCGGTTCGAGTGGATCCTCTGCTTCCTCCAGAAGTCCAATTCAATATCTGTGTTCCTAACCCATTAGCTTCCTCTTCGTCCCTCTCATTGTACTCGAGTACTAACCTCTTTATGTCTTGTTTCTCTTCCAATTCCGCGGCTTCTTTCTGTTTTGTGCTCTGCACTAAGGAACAATCACTCGGGATTAGCATTTGCCTTGTTTGTTGTTTGTTTCCTCTCTTCACTAGGACTTTCACTTGAACCTCTCTTTGCTCTCCGTTCTCTTCATCCAACAATTCTTCACCGTTTTCACCTACTACCCGCCCAAAATGATGGTGATCTTTTCCAGATCCTTCAAAAACACTCATCGGTATTGTCATGTTCAATGCCGGTCTACCACGTAATTCTAGCTTCCTTTGCTCCATGCTCTCCTGCATCCACAAAACATATCAGTACTTAACCATGTTCAAATTCCTTGATCTTTCAAATTCGGACAAATAAGTTCCATCTTGCATCAGTGTAAACTGGTTTTTCCACCAAACTAAATTAGAGAAAATAGATGCATCAATCTACATAAAAAAAAAGACGGATTCTGAACTTGCCTGAAGTAAGGCCTTCAGTTCTTGATCAAAGTCTGCTTGTTCCTCAGGATCTACGGTTACCACCTTTTGCCTTACACGAAATTTATCATCATCAGATCCAGGCCCATCGCCATCATCATAGTCATCCCCATCACCACTCTCAGATCCCCGCTCATGATTTCCATCATCCAACTCTTCGTTCTGTCCATCTCGGACCACGGAGCCACTACCAGAATCGCTGTCGCTTTCTTCACCGTGAGCTTCTCCATTCTCTCTAATATCTTTGGCAGTACTTTTCCCGTTAGAAGAGATAACATCAGAAGACGACCTGTTTAAAGGCTTTGTATCTGAGTGTCTTTCTATACTGACTTTGTCTCCTGAAGAAGCATGTTCACGCTCTTCCAGCTGAAGTATAGCTGCATTGACCTCATCAATGGTTGCGTAACGAGTCATATTGGCTCTCAAATTGGCAAATAGATCCTGCGTTGAGACAGAAGTTAAGACACATTATTTGTTACAGATACACTGAACCCTTAAAGTGAAAATTGGATAATTTCAACAAAAAAATCTATCTCATGTCCACTATGATAAAAGTACAAGACAAACCTGCAAGTCAAATTCAATATCCAGTGGAAGGTGGCCCTTGCTCAGGATGTATCTCTGGAAGTGTATTAAAAATTGATCAAGCCTTTTCTTTGAAGAACCTCGATCAAAGTAGTGCCCACAGGTTTCCAGAAGAATGATAACCATCCTGATACGGAAAAAATCTTCTGGTGGATCCAGCACCTCTTGCTAACATCATAAAAGTATATACAACAGTCAATCAGTGGAAGAGAAGGACTGAAAATTAAACGTAAAGCACTGATCCTGCAGAGTAGAGAAACACATAGCATTTCTGTAAGATAATAACAGCAGTTCAACTCTCTCTCCATATGAAAAATGACTTCTGGTTTCAATCACTCCACAGTGTATGTCATCATAATAAGTTTTACAACATAGTATTCTACATTTGTATATCATGAGGAATGTATAAAAGAAAGTAAGCACGAGAAGAGACTTATGATTATAATTTTTTAAATGCCAAAACACATAAAAGAGGAGCAATTACGATTTAATAAAGGATTGACTCTGGAAGAGTCTTAGGCTAACTTACCTCTGAAGTATCATGACCATATAAAAGAGTTAGATAAAGCGTCTCAAAAATCACAGATGAATCTACGTGCTCATAGTTGTACAGCTCCCCTAAGAATCTCATATGGGCTAGTCGCTTCTGTTGTGCCCCATATTCATTCAACTCAAGCCCAACCCTTATCTCCTCCAGTACCTTCAAGTGAAAACAATGTACCTCGTTACTTCAGATAACAGATGTGATACTAACCCGTGGACAACATGCAACACCTTAAAAGAAAATGTGAGATGAATAAGTCTGCAAAAGCTATAGATAAAATTTCAGTCAAGTATGTAATATAATTCATGAGACGGCATAACCAAGAAACAAAATACACCAAACATCAAAAGAAATCAGAATAGTTTTCTTGAGAGCCAGGGAGAAGCCATTTATGCAACACTATCTAGAGTAATAGTTATCTAACTGTTGGGAACCAATTTGTACGTAAAACCCCATGACCAGAGTAATTTTCTACAGTAAAACTCTGAAACTTTTGATTTTTCTGAACTTACGGATTTACAGATCCAGACAGCTCAAAATGAAAAGCCATATGTATTAGACTATTAGTCTATTAGATACAGTGGAAGGAACATACCTCATCAACAACAGCCACCGCAAACTCATCATGATGGCGGCTCAAACCAGAAGTCAAGGAAGCAATTAAGTGAATCTGACCATACTTTCCCTTGTGAATCTTCATAAAGCACTTTAAGATGTATTGCTCACATTCACTCCATGGCAGCTTCCGCAGTTGCTTTAGTACGTTTGCAATGGAATCTTTATCAAGATCCGAGAATAGCAATTTTCGAATATACTGCAGAAATTTGAATAGAAGTATAAGAAAAATCAAGTCTCCAATACAATTGCGCAACGAAAAATTATTGAAACATAAAAGATATGGAAGTTGGAGATTAGTAAGTACCTGATGCAATGGTGGACGGACTTTAGAAATTCTTGCTGATCTTTCAGGAGGTTTACACAGGTAGTAGGCATTTTCCACAAGAGTGCTTTGACGAGGATCTAAATTCTTGACATTTTTCAGGCGCATCAATATGTCCAGCATATTTGTCATCCTGAGTGTGGTTTCGGGAGACCGATAAAGGAAACGGCCACATGTCTCCAGAAGATTGCAAGCAACATCAATGTTATGATGAGTAAATTCATCTAAGCAAGCCTGAAAAAGCAAAACAAAATAGGGAAGTGAACAT